GAAAGAGTGTCGATCTTAGTTAGGATCGGATCGTAAGATCGGGACCGGCTACGATCGGCCTAAGATCTGTAAGTGGATCGGGTATAACTTTTAGCTAAGACGATTGTAAAATTGGCGTAACTTGCTAAAACTGATCCGGCTTTATTTAGTACTTAACACTGGTTGAAGGAAGAGACATGTGTTGCGGGTGAGGTCAATTTTAACTGACTGGTAAAACATGACATGTTACATTAAAACATCATGAATCCTCCAAACCCCCAACACTGTATTATTTAGGTATTTCTGATGCTGCCAGAACGATAGCACGAGAAAACGTTTTGTGAATGTCACTTCTGATGCAAATGTAGCGGTCGAAGGCGTTTGACTTCCAGTCTCCATGTAATTTAATCAACACTGGAGGCATTCCTACGTGGAAGGCGAATGTACATCCTCCCCGCCTGAAAGAATGACCACTGTGTGACTTGGATCATAGCCACAAGAGACCAACACACACTTGAGAGCTTTTATGAAGCTATGGTACGTTAAGCTCTGAATTTGGTCGCTGACTCTATAAGAGAACAGGTGGCGATCGGTTGGTATACCTGTCTGTAACTTCTGGAGAGCAGGGGCGGTGGGGTAGCGTAGTGGTTAAAGCGTTCGTTCGTCACGCCGAAGACCGGGGTTCGATTCCCCACATGGGTACACTATGTGAAGCCCATTTCTGGTGTTCCCCGCCGTGATATAGCTGGAATATTGCTAAAAGCACTCACTCACTCACTCACTATGGAGAGCACATAGCGCCGACACCGGACAGAGTGGGGAACCTGGCACGGCACAAAGTGGTATGGCGAGGGTGCGTTGGCCGAGCTGGATTGTCTTGGTGTGTAGCACTCTGAGCAAGCACAGAGTTGTCTTCCCAGTATCGTTTGTGACAGTCAGACGAGTTGGTTGGGTAAGTGTAAAATCATATCATGAATCTTGAATTGATAGATAATTAAATTGTTGCTTGAATGTATAATTTTTCATATTAGTCTATTCATGGACACACAAAAGGAATTTTCACCTTACGTCGTTCCACTTCTTGCGGACTTCACCTGCTGATCTAACACCAGCTGTGCTGGCGCTTAATGTGAAATATTTGAAATATGCATGTACTGATATAGTATCCAATATTCTTATCATGAAAAATATATCTGTTTGTCATATATCAAATTCTTTGATGATTTCATCGATCATTTATTTATAGTCCATGTCAATGTTCTTGTTTCCACATGGCTTCAGAAAATGGGTTTTTGAAAATTAAATAAAACCTTAATTATATTCACTTGTCCTTTATGGTGGCTTTTTATGAAATTTATGAAGGATAATCCAAAATAAATATTGTGTTGATAATTAGATCATTGGCTATAAACCTGTTTAAGAAATGGGCCTGCAAGCCTGCACGCCAAGTATAATTGCTTTTAAAGTCACTCTCAGACTCAAATCCCAATTTAGTATTACTAAAGGGTTTAGTTCCGCACATTTTACTTTCTTCCATTTTAATTATCAGTTATAGTATATTTTTACCCAACTTATGTGATCACTTACCATATGATATTTCCAGTTGAAGAAAAGTGTCCATGTTACTCCTTACCCAAAGACGTATACGTCTTTGAGTTACCGAATGTGGGATGCGGAAGTAAAGTAGGAAATGGTTGGGATGTTTACAATCGAGAGTTACCTGCCCAATTTACCGGTGCAAATAGAATATGTTCCTGATGAAAAAGCTAAACATCATGGATGCACATTAACGAACTACCACCGTAACTATGGGAGTGCAAGATGTGAAAGGATTATAAAAACATGTTGAAAACATGGAATAGCACTTGCTTTGAAGCAATCTTCTCCCAGATAGAATCTTTACATTTCTTCGTGACTCCTGGTCCGAAAGAAGCAGACAAAAGGAAGTCATGGTGGACCCCTTCGTCAACCAAAATGGATATTTCTTCAGGAGAAGAATTGCTCTTTCTCGCTCGAGGTTTCTTCTCCGCGCTTACAGCTGTTTCCAAAACGACTTCCATCGTCTGCTAGGGTATGCAAGGGAGATAACTCGTGCCTCGCACTTTTCTATCTTTCGCACGAAAGAGTGTCGATCTTAGTTAGGATCGGATCGTAAGATCGGGACCGGCTACGATCGGCCTAAGATCTGTAAGTGGAACGGGTATAACTTTTAGCTAAGACGATTGTAAAATTGGCGTAACTTGCTAAGACTGATCCGGCTTTATTTAGTACTTAACACTGGTTGAATGAAGAGACATGTGTTGCGGGTGAGGTCAATTTTAACTGACTGGTAAAACATGACATGTTACATTAAAACATCATGAATCCTCCAAACCCCCAACACTGTATTATTTAGGTATTTCTGATGCTGCCAGAACGATAGCACGAGAAAACGTTTTGTGAATGTCACTTCTGATGCAAAATGTAGCGGTCGAAGGCGTTTGACTTCCAGTCTCCATGTAATTTAATCAACACTGGAGGCATTCCTACGTGGAAGGCGAATGTACATCCTCCCCGCCTGAAAGAATGACCACTGTGTGACTTGGATCATAGCCACAAGAGACCAACACACACTTGAGAGCTTTTATGAAGCTATGGTACGTTAAGCTCTGAATTTGGTCGCTGACTCTATAAGAGAACAGGTGGCGATCGGTTGGTATACCTGTCTGTAACTTCTGGAGAGCAGGGGCGGTGGGGTAGCGTAGTGGTTAAAGCGTTCGTTCGTCACGCCGAAGACCGGGGTTCGATTCCCCACATGGGTACACTATGTGAAGCCCATTTCTGGTGTTCCCCGCCGTGATATAGCTGGAATATTGCTAAAAGCACTCACTCACTCACTCACTATGGAGAGCACATAGCGCCGACACCGGACAGAGTGGGGAACCTGGCACGGCACAAAGTGGTATGGCGAGGGTGCGTTGGCCGAGCTGGATTGTCTTAGTGTGTAGCACTCTGAGCAGCACAGAGTTGTCTTCCCAGGACATATCACGATACCCAATCATAAAAGAAATAATTCTTCGACATCAGTACTCCTGTTTATTGCGTTAGTATTGTTACACAACATTGATAACATAACATGGCATTCTAATGCAAATCTAAGTAACAATTATCTTGAAAACAAAAACACTATTAATAGGGTATGGTCACTGTTTAACATTAAGGTAAAATATGAATGTCAAAATTATCATTACATGAGGGAGTGAACATGGTTTTACGTCGCTTTTAGCAATATCACGGCGTGGGACACAGGAAATGGGCTTCATACATTGTACCCATGTTGGGAATTGAAACCGGGTCTTCCGACATAAATTTATGAATTAAGCCTATTTCTTTAAAATAATTCAAGATTAAATGGGATTAAACGTTATTGAAAAAGATCCTTTATTGTTGTATGGGACAACTGGAATGTTTAAGGCAGCATCTATGGAATGACGATATGTCTACGTCACATGACCCTGGAATGTTAAGGCAGCATCTATGGAATGACGAGTATGTCTACGTCACATGACCCTGGAATGTTAAGGCAGCATCTATGGAATGACGATATGTCTACGTCACATGACCCTGGAATGTTAAGGCAGCATCTATGGAATGACGATATGTCTACGTCACATGACCCTGGAATGTTAAGGCAGCATCTATGGAATGACGATATGTCTACGTCACATGACCCGCGAATGTTAAGGCAGCATCTATGGAATGACGAATGCCTGGAATGTTAAGGCAGCATCTATGGAATGACGGTATGTCTACGTCACATGACCCTGGAATGTTAAGGCAGCATCTATGGAATGACGATATGTCTACGTCACATGACCCTGGAATGTTAAGGCAGCATCTATGGAATGACGATATGTCTACGTCACATCCCCCTGGAATGTTAAGGCAGCATCTATGGAATGACGGTATGTCTACGTCACATGACCCTGGAATGTTAAGGCAGCATCTATGGAATGACGATATGTCTACGTCACATGACCCTGGAATGTTAAGGCAGCATCTATGGAATGACGATATGTCTACGTCACATGACCCTGGAATGTTAAGGCAGCATCTATGGAATGACGATATGTCTACGTCACATGACCCTGGAATGTTAAGGCAGCATCTATGGAATGACCCTCGACGTCACAAGACAGCATCTAAGGAATGACGGAATGTCTACGTCCCATGTCCCTGGAATGTTAAGGCAGCATCAATTGTAATGAGTTTATGCAAGCTATTTATAGCCCTTCAGTATATGGTCACATGATCATCATAGAGAGCCTCGTTTGGGGGATATAGAAAAACATGGCGTCTACGTAACGCTACATGACATTGTATTTAACCTTGGAATGAATGTTGCAACTTCCATTAAGGAATAAAACATTACATGGTGTCAGAAGTAGAGACGAACGCACAAGCATGGATTTTAGTGGAGTATCTGCACCTCAGATGAACTGGGAGTCGGGAAATATCCATGAAAACTGGCGGCGTTTCCGTCAGCATGTTGACCTCATGTTCACCGGACCTCTCAGTGGCAAGGGCGAAACAGCAAAGATAAGTTTCTTGCTAATTTGGGTGAATCAAAAGGGCAGAGACATTTTTAACACACTCAACATCAGTGATGAAGACAAGAAAAAGTTGGATAAAGTATATGAAGCATACGAGAAGTATGTAAAACCAAGGTCAAACGGATTCACGCTCGATTCCTATTTCTGTCGAGAAATCAAGCGCCCGGCGAAACACTGGACGACTTCATCACTGGACTCAAGCTTCTAGTGAGGGATTGTGAATACGGCAACCAAACTGATGACCAAGTAAGAGATAGAATTGTGTTAGGAACGAATGCGCACCGGGTCAGAGAAAAGCTAATCAGTGAAGGCAATAAACTAACACTTACATCAGCAATCGAGATAGCAAAGACACATGAACTGGCACAGGCCCAAATTAAAAGCATCGAGGGTGAAAATAAGTCTATCAACAGTATTGGGATGGACAAAATGAATGAAAAGAAGAAATCCATGGCACAGCAGCGCCACAGGTCAACAAGGTCATATCAGAAGGATCAAGGTCAAGCTGAAATTAGTAAAACGCCTAAAAGCAAGTACACCCAGTCTGATGCATGTGGGAGATGTGGCAATAGATCACATGCCTCCTCAAGTCAGTGCCCAGCAAACAGGCACCAGTGCAGGAAATGTGGCAAATGGGGTCATTTTGAAAAGGTCTGTTATGCAAAAGCAATACACATACTTGACGAACAAAGTGAAGACCAGTGCACTTACAATACACATGATCAGATCCATGATACAGCTTTCTGTGATGAACTGTACATAGATTCCATAGACACCACAGGTAAAGAAGTCAAATATGACGATCAAGCTTTCGTGAAGCTGAAGCTGAGACAACAAGATACCACAAGTGAAGTAAACTTCAAAATCGATACAGGTGCAATGATGAATATAATTCCTGAAAAGCTTTACCAAAGTAAGGAAATAAACAAAACCACTGCACTGGAACCGACACTTACCAATCTCCTTGCATATGGTGGAATCAGGATACAAGGCAAGCGTGGGAAAGTAACACTGGATTGCACACACAAGAACTTGACATCAGCTGAAGATTTCATTGTACTGGACACTGAAGGCCCTCCAATAATAGGTCTACAGACATGTTTGAGACTAAACATACTCCAACTTCCCTGTACTGTTGACAAACAACGTGAAGTAATGGATGAATATGCAGATGTATTTGAAGGCCTAGGACTATTCCCAGGTGAACACAGCATCCGCACGAACCCAGAAATATTACCAGCTGTCAATGCCCCGAGGAATGTACCTGTTGCCTTGAGAAACAAGGTAAAAGAAGAAATTGAAAGAATGGAGAACATAGGCGTCCTTATCAAAGTTGACGAGCCAACCCCCTGGGTGAATTTCATGGTAGTAGTTGAAAAGCCCAAATCGAACAAGGTCAGAATTTGTCTTGATCCCAAGGAGCTTAATAAAGCAGTACAAAGGGAACACCACAGAATTCCAAACCTTGATGATGTTATATCCAAACTTGCAGGCAGCAAATACTTCAGCAAGCTGGATGCCCGCAGTGGATACTGGCAGATAAAACTAACAGAAGAGAGCTCAATGTTGACTACCTTCAACACACCCTATGGCAGATACAGGTTCACAAGAATGCCCTTTGGTCTACATTCAGCACAAGATGTATTCCAGAAGCGAGTTGACGAAACATATGAAGGCCTTGATGGTGTTGACGCAATCGCAGACGACATCCTCATCTATGGGCGGACATTAGAAGAACATAATACTCACCTCAGAGCAGCATTACAACGATCACGTGAAAGGGGCGTGAAATTGAACAAAGACAAGTGTGTCATCGGAGTGAATGAAGTCACTTACTTCGGACACAAATTCACAAGTCAAGGCCTTATGCCAGATCCAGTGAAAGTCACTGCCATCGTCAATATGGATCCTCCGGCCAACAAAGAGGAACTGCTTACTATCCTCGGAATGGCAAACTACCTAGCCAAATTTGTGCCAAACTTGTCTGACATCACAGCTACCCTAAGGATGTTAACAAGGCAAGACGCTTGGCAGCGTGGCATTGGGATGCAACACAGGACCAAGCCTTCAGTCATCTCAAGACCATGTTGTCATGCGAACCAGGACCAGTACTCCAGTACTTCAACCCAGAAAAAGAAGTCACTCTACAAGTGGATGCCTCAAAATATGGGTTAGGCTCAGTCATGCTCCAGGAAGATAGACCTGTGGCGTACTCCTCAAGGACATTAACGGTGACTGAACAAAACTATGCTCAAATTGAAAAGGAGATGTTAGCAATATGCTTTGGAGTGGAAAGAAACCATCAATTTCTCTATGGCAGAGGAATTTACCGTCCCTCTGATCACAAGCCCTTGGAGTCAATCATGAAGAAACCACTGGCCATGACCCCACCACGACTTCAACGAATGTTACTCCGCCTACAGAAGTATCGTTTTGAGGTAAAATTCAAGCCAGGGGAAACAAATACCAGTTGCTGATGCACTGTCACGTCACCCACTGAAGGAGACAGCATCAGACATGGAAGATCTGGACACACAAATACACATGGTCCTATCATCCTTGCCAGTGTCCGACAACAGACTTACAGAACTCAAGGAACAAACAAGTGAAGACAAACAAATGATAGCACTTACACAGATCATCAAGGCTGGATGGCCAAACGACAAGTCCAGCTGCCCCAAAATTGTCGCAGATTTCTGGTCAGTACGTGATGAGCTGTCGTATGGAGAAGGCTTAATTCTTCGCGGGGACAGAATAGTGATACCCAGCACAATGAGGAAAGAAATGCTCTCCAAAGTACACACCGGACACATGGGCATGGAGAAAACCAAACGGCGTGCACGAGATGTATTATATTGGCCTGGAATGTCCTCCCAGATAGACGACCTAGTCTCAAGCTGTGGAATCTGTCAAGAAAACCAAATGTCAAACCCTAAAGAACCACTTACACCTCATGAAATACCATCACGCCCCTGGCAGATGATAGGCACAGATCTATTCCAACTAGAAGGCTGCCACTACATCATAGCAGTGGATTACTACAGCAGGTTCTTCGAAGTCACAAGTCTCCAGGACACAAAATCTTACACAGTGATCCAGAAGCTAAAAGGTTTCTTTGCTCGTCATGGCATCCCGGAGGTAGTTAAATCAGATAACGGCCCACAGTACAGCTCTGATGAATTCAAGAATTTCTCTAAACTCAACATCAGTGATGAAGACAAGAAAAAGTTGGATAAAGTATATGAAGCATACGAGAAGTATGTAAAACCAAGGTCAAACGTGATTCACGCTCGATTCCTATTTCTGTCGAGAAATCAAGCGCCCGGCGAAACACTGGACGACTTCATCACTGGACTCAAGCTTCTAGTGAGGGATTGTGAATACGGCAACCAAACTGATGACCAAGTAAGAGATAGAATTGTGTTAGGAACGAATGCGCACCGGGTCAGAGAAAAGCTAATCAGTGAAGGCAATAAACTAACACTTACATCAGCAATCGAGATAGCAAAGACACATGAACTGGCACAGGCCCAAATTAAAAGCATCGAGGGTGAAAATAAGTCTATCAACAGCATTGGGATGGACAAAATGAATGAAAAGAAGAAATCCATGGCACAGCAGCCACAGGTCAACAAGGTCATATCAGAAGGATCAAGGTCAAGCTGAAATTAGTAAAACGCCTAAAAGCAAGTACACCCAGTCTGATGCATGTGGGAGATGTGGCAATAGATCACATGCCTCCTCAAGTCAGTGCCCAGCAAACAGGCACCAGTGCAGGAAATGTGGCAAATGGGGTCATTTTGAAAAGGTCTGTTATGCAAAAGCAATACACATACTTGACGAAGAAAGTGATGACCAGTGCACTTACAATACACATGATCAGATCCATGATACAGCTTTCTGTGATGAACTGTACATAGATTCCATAGACACCACAGGTAAAGAAGTCAAATATGACAATCAAGCTTTCGTGAAGCTGAAGCTGAGCCAACAAGATACCACAAGTGAAGTAACCTTCAAAATTGATACAGGTGCAATGATGAATATCATCCCTGAAAAGCTTTACCAAAGTAAGGAAATAAACAAAACCACTGCACTGGAACCGACACTTACCAATCTCCTTGCATATGGTGGAATCAGAATACAAGGCCAGCGTGGGAAAGTAACACTGGATTGCACACACAAGAACTTGACATCAGCTGAAGAGTTCATTGTACTGGACACTGAAGGCCCTCCAATAATAGGTCTACAGACATGTTTGAGACTAAACATACTCCAACTTCTCTGTACTGTTGACAAACAACGTGAAGTAATGGATGAATATGCAGATGTATTTGAAGGCCTAGGACTATTCCCAGGTGAACACAGCATCCGCACGAACCCAGAAATATTACCAGCTGTCAATGCCCCGAGGAATGTACCTGTTGCTTTGAGAAACAAGGTAAAAGAAGAAATTGAAAGAATGGAGAACATAGGCGTCCTTATCAAAGTTGATGAGCCAACCCCCTGGGTGAATTCGATGGTAGTAGTTGAAAAGCCCAAATCCAACAAGGTCAGAATTTGTCTTGATCCCAAGGAACTTAATAAAGCAGTACAAAGGGAACACCACAGAATTCCAAACCTTGATGATGTTATATCCAAACTTGCAGGCAGCAAATACTTCAGCAAGCTGGATGCCCGCAGTGGATACTGGCAGATAAAACTAACAGAAGAGAGCTCAATGTTGACTACCTTCAACACACCCTATGGCAGATACAGGTTCACAAGAATGCCCTTTGGTCTACATTCAGCACAAGATGTATTCCAGAAGCGAGTTGACGAAACATATGAAGGCCTTGATGGTGTTGACGCAATCGCAGACGACATCCTCATCTATGGGCGGACATTAGAAGAACATAATACTCACCTCAGAGCAGCATTACAACGATCACGTGAAAGGGGCGTGAAATTGAACAAAGACAAGTGTGTCATCGGAGTGAATGAAGTCACTTACTTCGGACACAAATTCACAAGTCAAGGCCTTATGCCAGATCCAGTGAAAGTCACTGCCATCGTCAATATGGATCCTCCGGCCAACAAAGAGGAACTGCTTACTATCCTCGGAATGGCAAACTACCTAGCCAAATTTGTGCCAAACTTGTCTGACATCACAGCACCCCTAAGGATGTTAACAAGGCAAGACGCAGCGTGGCATTGGGATGCAACACAGGACCAAGCCTTCAGTCATCTCAAGACCATGTTGTCATGCGAACCAGGACCAGTACTCCAGTACTTCAACCCAGAAAAAGAAGTCACTCTACAAGTGGATGCCTCAAAATATGGGTTAGGCTCAGTCATGCTCCAGGAAGATAGACCTGTGGCGTACTCCTCAAGGACATTAACGGTGACTGAACAAAACTATGCTCAAATTGAAAAGGAGCTGTTAGCAATATGCTTTGGAGTGGAAAGAAACCATCAATTTCTCTATGGCAGAGAATTTACCGTCCCCTCTGATCACAAGCCCTTGGAGTCAATCATGAAGAAACCACTGGCCATGACCCCACCACGACTTCAACGAATGTTACTCCGCCTACAGAAGTACCGTTTTGAGGTAAAATTCAAGCCAGGGAAACAAATACCAGTTGCTGATGCACTGTCACGTCACCCACTGAAGGAGACAGCATCAGACATGGAAGATCTGGACACACAAATACACATGGTCCTATCATCCTTGCCAGTGTCAGACAACAGACTTACAGAACTCAAGGAACAAACAAGTGAAGACAAACAAATGATAGCACTTACACAGATCATCAAGGCTGGATGGCCAAACGACAAGTCCAGCTGCCCCAAAATTGTCGCAGATTTCTGGTCAGTACGTGATGAGCTGTCGTATGGAGAAGGCTTAATTCTTCGCGGGGACAGAATAGTGATACCCAGCACAATGAGGAAAGAAATGCTCTCCAAAGTACACACCGGACACATGGGCATGGAGAAAACCAAACGGCGTGCACGAGATGTATTATATTGGCCTGGAATGTCCTCCCAGATAGACGACCTAGTCTCAAGCTGTGGAATCTGTCAAGAAAACCAAATGTCAAACCCTAAAGAACCACTTACACCTCATGAAATACCATCACGCCCCTGGCAGATGATAGGCACAGATCTATTCCAACTAGAAGGCTGCCACTACATCATAGCAGTGGATTACTACAGCAGGTTCTTCGAAGTCACAAGTCTCCAGGACACAAAATCTTACACAGTGATCCAGAGGCTAAAAGGTTTCTTTGCTCGTCATGGCATCCCGGAGGTAGTTAAATCAGATAACGGCCCACAGTACAGCTCTGATGAATTCAAGAATTTCTCTAAAGCCTGGAACTTTAACCATGTCACCAGCAGCCCAGGTTACCCAGCATCCAATGGCCTGGCAGAGAAAACAGTCCAAACTGCTAAAAGACTATTGTCCAAGTCCAAACAAGATAAACAAGACCCATACCTAGCATTGTTGGAGTACAGGAACACCCCAATTGACAACATAGCATCACCAGCACAAATGAGCATGAGTCGCCGTCTCAGATCTATCCTACCAGCAACCCACAAACAGCTACAGTCCCAGACCATTAATTGCTCGGATGCCAAGGAGAAACTACTCAACAAACAGCTGAAACAAAAACTCTTCTATGATCAGAAGGCACATGCTCTTGCACCTCTTAAAGGACATGATGTTGTTCGCATGCAAACCCCCTCAGGCAAGTGGCAACCAGCCAGAATAGTTCAACAGATGGACACCCCAAGATCATATCTAGTCCGAACACAGGCTGACAAGGTCTACCGCCGAAACCGCAGACACCTCTCTAATCCCATCAAGAGATGTATGTTCACAGAAGAGGGTGAGGCCAATCACCCCATACAACCAGATCAAAATCAGCAGCAACATCACAACACCGACCATCAGCACCAACACAACAATCCCTGTACTAACACAGCTGACTCAGCTAATGCCACTCACAATGAAAGGCAACCCAAGACCTTCACTGCAAGTGGCAGACCAGTTTTCAAGCCGTCAAGATACGATGCCTAAAAAACCCGCTGAAAGTTCAATTATAATGTGTATCAATGAACTGTAAATATGTTTATCTCGTAACTGCACAGTGTTTGATGCAGCATTATTAGGTTGTGTACTCTGTTAAAGTACAAAAAGTTTGTGTTAAGTTCAAAGACAATTCAAGTTCAACATGACTCCTGAGTGCCAAAGAACTTTATTCCCTTCAAGTTACAAACATGATGACATCGAGCTGATTATCACATGAAACAACATAAGCTGTAATGATAACAAGATACGTTAAATTTCACATCAAAAGAAGAGAGATGTAATGAGTTTATGCAAGCTATTTATAGCCCTTCAGTATATGGTCACATGATCATCATAGAGAGCCTCGTTTGGGGGGATATAGAAAAACATGGCGTCTACGTAACGCTACATGACATTGTATTTAACCTTGGAATGAATGTTGCAACCTCCATTAAGGAATAAAACATTACAATTCATGATGAAGTTTACCAGTGGCTGTGTCAAGGCAGGAGCTCTTTCTTCTGACAATCCTGGTTCTATTTCAACTGTCTTCATCCTGGCTATCAGTGTGTAGCCCTGGCCGAATTTGGTCTTCAAATGTTGTGGTGTTCCAAGACACACGAACCTTCCATTCACCATGATGGCAATTCTTGTACATAGAGCATCACATTCTTCCATGCTGAAAAGATTGGATACCATGTATTGCTAATTTTTCAGAATATCCAGCAATTTCAAGAATTGAATTTTTGAAGTATTAATATCCAAAGAATCAAAAACTTGGACATGCCTAATTTCAGAATGCAAAAAATATTGGGACACACAACATGATTTTACTAACCTGTGAGACGTGAGAACGAGTGTCCTGCCGCACTCACGTACCTGTGACAAGACGTTACAGAGCTGCCTCCTGGCTTTGGGGTCCATCCCCGTGGACGGCTCATCCAGCATGATGAAGGCCGGGTCTCCAACCAGAGCGATGGCGGTGCTCAGCTTACGCTTGTTGCCACCACTGTAGAAATGATTGAAATATATGTAGTACGATAAAATACATGCATATCATGGCCACTATCACGCAAATTAAGACGTCAAAACAAACAAAATACAATGATTGAATGAGTCTCTTTTTAGCACTACAATTACCTTCACCTGTATTCGGATGTTGGTTTGTCAGAATACTGTCTGAGCATCATGATATCCAGCAGGTCACACACGCCTTTGATGCAGTTCTCCGGCACTCCCTTGAGTCTGGCGTACATGGTGAGAGTCTCTCGTCCGGTCATCTGGTCAATCAGGGCATCAAACTGGGGACAGTAGCCCATGTTCTCCTGCACCTGTGATGAGTATTGGAAACATACATACATACATACGCACGCACGCACGCACGCACACACACACACACACACACTCTCTCTCTCTCTCTCTCTCACTCACTCACTCCACTCACTCACTCCACTCACACACTCCACTCTTTTATAACTTTAAAAGTTGATTCAACATCACCAACTTCAGAGGTGTTCATCAAAGTCATTAAGCTTCTTCATCTTGCTTGTAAGCACACCTCTAATCTGACCTCTCTCCTGTCTAAGAGTTTTTACCACATCAATATCATCACTTTCATTAGTTTCCTGGTGTTTCATGTTGATATTCAGAATTTCACAGTCTATCAAAACGGCGAATCACAATCGTGAAATTTCTTGAACTGATGTTAGGTTACAGTCTCAACAAACGATTCTTGTTTCTTGTAACACCGCAGTTTATTTCCGTCATGATGCGTTTCATTACTTGAACAGTATAAGTCATTCAGCAGGTTCAAGCTGAAACCATACAGAACCTGATTTACCAAATGTTGCATACAAGGTACATCATGAATAATTGTTTAGGCTCAAATACAAATTATGAAAGAATAACTTTGCTTTTGAAACATTAGTTTACAAGTCAAAATTACACTGTTGACACATTTGTTTACATTTCAAAGTTACGACAATTCTACAACTAATACAGCAAATTCGACAACAGTTCTCCCGAAATGATGACAATGCCTGACTCATATGAAAGGTACTTACAAATTTCGTGGCAGAATCAGTTTGCTTTCCGTCTAATTGCACCAGTTTTGCTCCAAAGACGATGCTCGTCACCGGAAAACAGGCCATGTGCGTTTTCGCCTTCCCACCCTCCTTGCTTAACCTCCCCACAGTTATCGCCCCCAGAAGTCACCAATCCCACAGAAATTATCTCCCTTAGAAGTCACCAATCTCACAGAAATTATCTCCCTTAGTACTTCCTACTGCTCTACACAGTCACCAAGATCTATAAACTAGGGAAATTGAGATTACAATTTCAAAATTGAAATTGTCAAAGTTAAAACTGACTTATTGAGGCTACACATATGTATTGAATATTGGTTACTTGGTTTGTTTTAATCTAAGCTGACATGTACATATCTGCATCACGGTTATTGAATGACATAAATTACCTCCGAAAGTAAACACTTAAATGTGGCATCTCACATCAGACATTTGATATTTAGTTTTAGGGCATGTTTGGATATGAAACTGAGTTGATAAAGGGCAAGCCTTTATCCCTGTCTTGAAACAACCCATTATTTGTTCTGGTGAATAAAACATGCATTGATAAGGGTATTTTGTTCTTCGTCCATGGAATCACAACTTGAATCATTTCTTCTATGTACCGGTGCGCGTACCCAATCTAAAGTTTGAACAAACAATGCAGCCCATCATGTCATGTTTACATATATTTGTAATAATTCGGAGTAGATTGTTACACCGTTTACAAGCAAATGACGTACGGATTCTGGATTAGAGGCATATACAAAAGCAGGAGGAAGTGTTTGTACTGATGATTGGTATGGGTGTACATGTAGTTACAGTAGACTTATAAGCATGTTCCGTACACAGCAATGTGTAATATCTGAGGTAAAACATTCCAAAAGATAAATCCTGGAGAATAAACAAAAACATATACGAAAAGATAAGATGCTCATCTTTGATGAGTTGATGGTAAGCTGAAGAGATGTTCACGGTTGACCGATGGTTAGAGTCAATTTCTTTACCACAAGAGATATCACTTAACATAAAAATTACCTTCTATCTCAGATTTTAGGCAAAACTATTCTCGTGGTATCTGCAATAGGCCTATAACACGTAAACGTTCAGCTCGTCGGAAACTTCCTTGAAGTTCATTTAAGTGATTTGGACCGTTTGTTTCCCAGAAAACAATTGCCTCTGCTTACTGCAATGGTAAATCTCACAAACCACCCAATACATGTGTGTAGGAGGTCATGTGCTCTATGATGATCTCAGTCTTGTGTTTGGGAACTTATTTTCTTAGGACAAGTTCTTGCCACTGTGACAGAAATCACTTACTTACATAGCCATACATTGGTCTATGTTCCTCTTGTTTCACTTCAAAATAGTTCCTCCAGTGTTTTGGATAGTTAATACATACAAACTACAGAAACAAACGCACAAGGTCATCCATCATTGAATACTACCACAGTACGACATTTTCAGAGCAAGCACCTCAGCTACACATTGCAGTCATGCCCAAAGGCTTGAAGTTTTCACCAAACAGTATCCGGACAAACAATGATGAATTCATCAACAGTATAGAGGAGGGATTGCAAAAGCTAGCGCCAGGGGGCATTGTTGACTTCGTGAGACACTAGACTGCCAACGTCCTCAACACAGAAAAAAAACAGAAACCCAATGTCACTCATTATGAAAGCAAAGCAAAACAAAGGCAAGGACACAACCCACTTCAACAGCTTGACCGGCAACACCAGCAGGCAGCAGACAAAAGACCACACATTCCATACATTGGTGAATGTTTCTCTCGTTTTATCTCAAAATAGAGGTTAATACATAAGTCTATGTCTATAGAAGTAAACATGAAAACCGACCTTCCTGGTACCGATAGTGGCTGTACATATCCATGTAGGACTTGCCAAAACTGTAGTGAGGAAAAAGGAGGAGAAACACCCAGTCAGTGATATTTGCCTCAGTTTCCTCTCCTAAGAGGGTCAGCATGAGGACTGTTAACAGGGTTGCAAGACCTGTCAGGAGAAAAAGAGAAATGAACAAACTGAACATCATAACTCATACTCTTCAATTTATGGACACTATATCATCTTAGTGTTATTTACGTACACTCAAAAATGCGTTACCTGTGATGATATTTAAGATGATGATGACAACCATCCCGGTAGGAGGCGACTTGAACATATATTGAAGTGCATACATGAATGGCAGAACTGCCAAACCATACACCAGCAGGACGAGGAACACGATGCCCAATCTCCCATCTTCGGTATATGCTGGTATCTGATATCCAGCAAACACAATCAACAGCAAAAAGGATGGAATCAGGTAGTTGATGTAGTCCCAGGCCAGGTTGGACAACCAGAAGACAAACGGTCCAACTCCACTGACAGTCTGAAGATGTTTGGCGCCCACCAATCTCTCCTTGATGAGAAAGTACACGAAGGAAGAAGTTAGGAAGGCCATGCCGAAGATAAGACAAAAAGCCACAGAAAAGCCAAGTTAAAGTACTGCTACAAATGATGTTTCCGATGTTTTTTGGGCATCAGATGGAAGTGGGTTGTTGATTGTTATGATGGAATGATCTTGAGATGTAAAATGTTTTAGGATTGCATTCATCATGAACGACAAAGATATGGGCTGGCTGTGATAGGATTGTCCATTAAAAAAACTAATTGCTTCTTTATTAGATTTGAACTGAGCTCCAATGATCATTTTCTTGTTGTATCCTCCGATTCCAAGGTCTTTTGCTCTTGATAGGAAATAGCTTGTCACATCATGTTTCGACACATTTATCATCTCAGGTTTGTTTTCAGTCCCTACTAACTGATCATGGTATGTTTGTGCAAAGGCCTGTGACAGATGGTCCGAGCTGCTTTGGTTTGGACCATAAAGATATGGGACGTAGGTGCCTTTGAATGGTGCCAAGTGTAAAGTTAATGGAACCTCGACAGCTTCTCCAGGCTCCACTTTGCTGATAGCCAGGGCAGCAATGGTGAAAATAACCGGCAACAGAAGCTGGACAATGGTGATGGTCTTGTTCCTCCATGTGTGAAGAGCCTTCTTTACAAACATTCCTCTGAAGCGGGATAACTCCAGGAGTATTCCTCTGGTTTTTGTGAAGCCCTGGTTGAATGCTGAAATGAATATATGTTTAAAGAAAAGATATCAGTAAAGTATATTGTTTTACTTGTCGCTTGCATGTTATTTCATTGAGTGCGTTGATGGTATGACCCTATCAAAAATTGAACTTTGATAAATATAATAATAGAGAATAAATACAGCTTTACGGATACATTTTTAATATATCTGCTCAACAAACCACTGGCCAATGATCTTCCACACCTCATTGTTTTCAGATTCTGTTGATAAACTGTTCTCGTCACGATATGGTTGAAATGTTGCCGATGTGACGATAAATACTAACTCACTCACTCACTCAGATTCTGTTGAAATATGCAGACACAATATCACATCTTTAAATACAATATGTGTGGTATCATTTCGTGCAATACTGTGCAGGCAGGTACTTTTGTTCTATGAACACATGCTCTATTCGATGTAATTTACCTAACATATCAGCCGTGCCCCTGTCTCTCAGTTCATAATTTTCATTGCTCCAACCATATATTCCGCTTGATATCAAATTGTTTCTTGATCCTGTAGGATAATCTTCATTGGCATTTCCACACTCTTGTTCCTCCTCACCCGCTCTGTTCAAGAGATACAACAATAAATGTGTTTTTCTGTACCTTGGCACATAGCGCTTGAGTAGCAGTACATTATTTGACAATAACATTGTATGGCTGAATTCTGCTAATTAATCTTTACTTTAGTTATAAACAATATATTTGTCAACTACTAACTTGAGAAACACTTCCTCCATGGTAGTTGCACTTGCACCAAAGCTAGATATGCCAAGCTTTCCCCTCTGTGTTTCAATCTCATTGAAGAGAGCAGCAAAATTGGCTGACTGGTCATCAGGCAGCAGGTAGGAGAGTTCAGCATTGATCTCACCCTCCATGACTGCTGTAGGGACGTGCTGCTGGACAACTGCCGTCACTGATGCCACCTGACAGGTGGGTTCCTTCATCATCACCAGGTGGTAGCCAGCCCCTGAAGATACAAAACTATGTTTTGAGACAGATAAGAAGGCGAAAGTCATGAAATAACAAACGTTCATTGAAGTCAAAATATCATTTGAAATCGTTTTAACATCACAAGTATTAAAATGACGAAGACATACATCATTGTACAGGCATTACAACACAGCCATACCATAGAGCTTCTTCAGGAAGTAGGATGTTCCACAGCACTTGACCACCCCTTCTGATCATAATGGCGATGCGGTCACCCAGAAGGTCAGCCTCGTCCATGAAATGAGTGGTCAGCAACATGGTCCGGCCCTGCTTGTTCCTCTGAAGGATGTCACATGTCTGTCTTCTGGATGCAGGATCCATACCGGAAGTCGGCTCATCCAGGATAACGATCTAAAATTGTTCTTACATCAGTGTAAATGTACTTACATCAATACTGTTTATCATCAGGATAAACTATCGAATATTCGAATGGTATTCTGTTATACAAATAACGGAGAGCATTTTATAATGCCAACTTCCTCATGATTAGGAAATATAATGAGTGCATAAGGAGTATCAAGTAATGAAGCAGTCAGCATATGCTCCGAAACGTGGGAATAATGACGTGGACGTACACAAATACATACCCTCGGGAGATATCTTTAATAACGATAGTGTTGGCCTACCTTGGATCCTCCAATCAGAGCAATGCCAACAGAAAGCTTCCTCTTCTGTCCTCCAGAGAGATGCTGAGACTCTGTGAATCTCTTCATACTCAAGCCAACATCATTTATCACAGTGGTCACTTCAGATTGAACATTCTTGGTCGGACAGCCTTTCAACTACAAGGGCAGAACATTTTAATGATTTCCTAGTTTGGTTTGTATATAACATACTTGTACTCCTGGTTCCAGCTAAACCACAAACTGTATAAATGTAAGTGTTACCATATTCTGCCTACTTTACAGAAGGACGAATACAGGTTGTTTTAGCAACATTAGAGAGTGTTTAGCAATATCCTACCCCACCGCCCCGTGCAACACTAAAACATTAGAAGAATATATACGTGGCAATTAATGAGTGGACACCTTATATAATCATTGAACTTTATCAAGTGCTACTTCAATGTTCACACACATGATCTGGGCCCCTGATTATACAGATCAAATTCTTTCAAGGTAACTTACACAGGCAAAGAACTCCAGATGTTCCTGGACAGTCAGGCTGTCAAACAGGATGTTGTGTTGAGGGCAGAGACCTAGACTCTGCCGGACACTCTGGATGTCGATGTTGCCGTTCACAATGGCGGTGCCTCCAGATGCAGGAATGAAACCTGCAAATAGATACACAGTAGTCATCACTACATACAGGGCCAAAATATACCACTTCCAGTTATTTGTTGTGTATAATTCGTTACGCTATGACTGGTCGCATGTGAGATACATACATTTTGGATTACATCAAATTTAATGTCGACAGGGAACTGTAACTTGGCAAGTTAACCTGGCATATGCTCCTCCTAAAATTCAAATCAAAAGTATGCACCTCGTCATAAATATCATAAAAATGGTGCTTAGAAAAGCACATTAAACTGATTAGATGGCCTCATGTAAGCGTTCAGTCAGAAAATTGACAACACAAGACCGAATTCGAGCACTAATTGAAGGTTTAATTGTAGCAAACTAAAGTTCACTGAAATCGCCATAAATTAAAGTGAAAAGTGTATGGCTGCCGGGGTCGTTACAACAGACACACAACACGGTTCACATTTAATTAATGTTGAACTCACTCGCAGGGTCCACAATGACTAAATAACGCAGTGTTTGGTGAAACCGCCTCGAACTGATTCTCTGTTGAGGGTGCTGCCACTCATCATGCAATGCATGGGTCAATTCCTAAATGTTCTGAACTAGAGGATCCCTTGCTCTCACCCTACGTCCCAAAATGTCCCACAAATGCTCAATAGGATTCATGTCTGGAATTCTGGCTGGCCATGGTAGTGTCTCAATGGCGTTGTGTTGGAGATGCTGAACAACAGCTCGAGAACGATATGGTCTGGCATTATTGTCCATGAAGAATGGTCGTGTGGCGAGAGCATGGTTATCGAAATGAGACACTACAGCACCGTCCAGGATCAAGTTCTGGTACATCTGTCCATACAATGGAACTGTGATGAGGTCAAATTTACAGTCATAGGAGCAACACCCCCACACCATGACGGATCAACCCCAAATGGAACTTTAACTTGAATGCTCCTCTGATCATATGCTATGCCTCTCTGCCTCCAAACTCGTGCCTTCCCGTCTGTATGATGCAGCAAAAATCGGCTTTCATTGGACCAGTGGATCCTTCTCCATGTCCTCAGGTTCCAGCGAGCACGTGCTTGACACCAGGTTAAACGGGCATGGAGGTCTGATTGGCAGTCTTGCTCTCAATCCTGCACAGCATGTCCTGCTTGACTGTATTGATTTTTCCATCAAAAGGGAAAAATATTTTAAAGTTAAAACATTGAAGGATCTGTTTTATAATGTTAATTATCATTTAATAATTGAATTTTTAAAGGAAATAGAATTATTAGATAAATTTTGAATAATATGTTTTGTAAACAGATAAATGGTATTTTAAACATGGTAGTATGAATTTACAACTGCGATTGTTAGTGGCTGTACCCTCAAAGGGGGTAAAAGTATCGAAAAATTATTGTCCCCCTGAGAGGGTACATAAGTCCCAAAACTTTCAAAGTAAATTTAAGCTTACCAGATTTATAATCGTAGTATTTTTGTTCCCTTAAAATTCGGCTAAACTTTTCCTACAATCGCCAGCGGCTGAAGGGATGGTGTAAATCCAACTGGAGTTCATGCAGGTAGCAAAGGCACTGTAAGTCCCCATGGTCCCTGATATGGTGATCTACCTTCAGCTGTTGGCGACCGATAGCCTGTTCTTATCTTGTATTGTCCTAATAGTGCTATTAGTTTTAACTTTCCACACTACTTTTAATTCTAATGGTGATATTCTAGCTGTTTTACTGTCCTTTGATGACAGTTTTTTTATAATATACACATATTCCATTTCAATGTCAAACATGTTCTCGTCACGATATGGCTGAAATATTGCCGATGTTAAATATTAACTCACTCGCTCACTCACTCACTCACTCAATCCTGCAGAATTAAGGCATCGTCTAATGGTGCTGATGGACACTCAGTTGTATGGATGCCATCCATGTCGCAGCTGTGTACAAGTAGACATTGGGCTTCGTCTGGCATGGCGTACGAGAGCACGATCTTCCCTGTCATTGGTTTTTCTGGGACGTCCAGACCTCGGTGCATCCTTCACTTCACCGGTAGCAGGATCCTTACGTATCAGCTTGCTGATGACAGTGCGATTAATGTTCAGTTGTGCTCCAATAGCAGACATGACATACCAGTCTGGTGCATACCAATAATATGCCATCTTTGGCTCAGGGGCACTAGACGCGTGGGCATTTCACTGGTTGGTCACAATAAAGCTTAATTTATGCATACAATCATATTTTAGCCGTGTCTGCCAACATAACATACGCAAAAAGGGGCTATGTGCATATTGCATTTACAGCAAACCGACCCCTCCCAAAATATGCATGCTTAAGGCAAGCATGCACGTGCAGCTCGGAACAGGGGGTGTTTGTGATTTTATGCTCACAGATGATGTTGTATATTACATATGTACGTGTAGTGTAAAAAACCCGAAAATTATATTTCTACTTTGATTTAAATGGGTGGTGCGATACTTTTGACGAGTGGTATAATACATACACAAAAAGTATCACCACTTGTCTTTAAACCGATGGCTATATATACCTGTATGGACAAAGTAAATAGGAAAAAAGAACCTCCATATTCAGATTTCAGAAGAAATACAATCCAATGTACTGGTCCGACTTTATCATGCGATTTTATCATGAATACCTGGATTCCCGCCCGAAGCACCCATCACACATCCGTCACACACCCGTCACACGCTCGTCACACGCCCGTCACACCCGTCACACATCCGTCACACATCTATCACACATCCGTCACACCCCCGTAAGTACAATATATTTACCTGTAAGAACAGACATGGTTGTAGTTTTTCCAGCGCCGTTGTGACCCAGGAGAACAGAGATCTGACCCTCGAACATGTTGAGACTCATCCCATCCACAGCTACCTTCTTCTTAGATCCGGAACCGAACACCTTGACAGGAAGAGGAAATTGAATGCATTTTACATTGGTTATTTTATTTCATAAGTAGGTTTCAGTTGACAATAATTGTCTTTTTGTATGATGTCAACTGACGGATAAATCACAGACATTAGCGCGGTGTCGGCTATGATTTCATACCCATTTGTTCTTAAGATAGCAATGCAGTCGTAAAAGTTCCGCAATACTTGGATCCTTTCGTAACAAATGTTAAAAAACATTGAGTTCTTAAATGAGTGTCCCAAATGAAACCTTTGAAACAACATAGTTATTAAATGGAAAATGTTTTGTGTTTCCTTTCTGTTTTGTTGATGACGTCAATATCTGACGTATATAAACTCTGTCAAAAAAGAAACGCAACCCCTGTCCTCAGATATGAAAAATTCGTTTGAATGAAGTTATTGCTTCCAAACTAAATGTTATTCGAATGTATTGAAATTATACAAGTAATTAATGAAGATTACCATCCAAACAACTGCATTTGTACGCATAAGTGTATTTTATTGCTTATTCCGTCACAACGCATGAAATGACCCTCATGGTGACTTCGCACAAAAAAACCACATGCAAATCATGAAAATGGCAGTTAATGTAGGGGTGTATAAAAGCCCATGTGCTTTCGTATTATATTCATTCATTTGTCGCCGAAAAGCTGTGTGAAAAATGCCACGATTGAGTGATGCCGACCGAAATATCGCCATTGGTCGTGTTCAAGCCGGAGAAAGTTTTGGAACTGTTGCACGGCACCTAAATGTTCAAACAACGATATCCCGACTTTGGAGCCGCTACAACAACTTCAATTTGACCAACGATCGCCCGAGAAGTGGAAGGCCAAGAATCACGACCCCCCTTCAAGATCGGTACATCCGGGTCCATCACCTGCGTAATCGGCATGCCCTACCAACCGTGACTGCCACACAAATACCAGGTTTGAGGAGAGTGTCAGCTCAAACGATTAGGAACCGTCTGAAAGAAGCGGGTTTACGTGCCTGTAGACCAGTTGTTGGACCTGTACTACGCCCCCTACATCTCCGCCGACGACTCAGGTGGTGCAACAACGTAAGGATATGGACTTTACAAAACTGGAGGCGCATCTGGTTTTCTGATGAATCCCGTTTTCTTTTGCAACATCACGACGGAAGAAAACGTGTATAGGAGACGTCATGAACGTTTTGCGCCCATCTGCGTCCGACAGGGGACAGATTTGGCGGAGAAAGCGTTATGGTTTGGGGATCCATCTCATACAACCAGAAATCAGACTTGGTGATCGTTGAAGGGAACCTGACAGCCCAACGTTACATCAACCACGTATTACAGCCTCACCTTCTCCCGATTATTGACCAACAGACACAGATTTTTCAACCAGACAACGCCCGGCCTCATACTGCACGTGCAACAATGAACTTTCTGCAGAATTCCGAACTTGATTGATGACGCCATAGGCTCTTGAATGATAACGTCAGGCATTTGAATGATGACATCAGGCGTATACATGTGGGATACCCAGGTCATGATGACATGAAATGTTTCAGAAGTGACGTGAATTGAATTTAACAGCCTGTGTCACGAAGAAAGGTATGTAATAAATATAGAACGTCATACTACTGCTTTTGGGCTTTACGAACTGAACTCGATGGTATCATGGTAAGAGGGAAACAACGTGTTTGAAGAAAGACCGAAAGGTAACATTTGTTGCAAATGTTATTTCATAGCTCCCTCGGATTGATAGTCTTGTATAGGATGACCTCGATGACTGGGTGTTTTTCAAAATCTTAAAAAACACTAGAAACATGACTTGTACTTCCCGTGTATTGTGAAATACCACTGAAATTATACTGAAAATATACGTTTTAAAATTATTCTTCCCAGAATGCATGAGACATATATATCACGATACACTTTCATTGCAGTACGGACGGTCGGTCGACTTCTCGTCATTTGTTTGAATACGTCATTTGTCATCTTGTGACAAAATACAAACATGCATTGCTTAATATTTTAAGAGCATTCACTGAATAGTTAATTAACTGATGGCAATATAAGCTTTTTCAAGATTCGTATATTATTTTTGTCTAAGAGGTTTCTGTAATGCAAGAATTTCTTATCGCTCGTGTTCTACTTAAGCTTCTGACCTGCAGTGCTTATTTCGGGCGTAAATCATGTAAATGTAGTATTGTGTATGTATTTTGAAGAAACGTGTAATGGCACCTTGTAACGATTAACCGTTAGCCAGGTAGGGTGTAAATTGCTGATTACGAATGAACTCATTATCAAGTAAGATCTTAGACTGCAGAATAGTTTGAAATAGTGAAATATTTCACAATGCTAAAGAAGCATAAAATCAGAAGCATCTGTTGTTCCTACCTTTTTGAGATTTTGGATAGATATTCCAGTCTTCATATCCACTTGGTTCCGTCTCAAAGTGCTTCTCATCCAAGAGCTGACTACTTGGATAATCAGCATTGGTCTGCTTAGTTCCACACCAATAGGAGCCCTGGTATTACGAATAATTTATAATTAGATTAACTTTGTGTCTTCATGCAATAAAATGAAACTACAAATACAAACACCGCTATGTCGAAGATACGGTTGTCTGGAAGTAAAAGCCTGGACCCGACATCCACTCTTTATCCGTAATTCTTCGGTTGTATACAACATAAGACACCTCGAAGTAAAAGCCTAGACCCGGATAACTCGAAGTATAAGCCACCCGTCATCCATTCTTTACCCGTCATTCTCCGGTTGTATACAACATCGGATAATTCGATGTAAAAGATTGGACCGGACATTCATTCTTTACCCACCATTTCACGGTAGTATGCAACATTGAGTGAGTGAGTGAGTGAGTTAAGTTTTACGCCGCAATATTCCAGCTATATGGCGGCGGCCTGTAAATACCAGACAATCCAGAGGTCAACAGCATGAGCATCGATCTGAACAATTGGGAACCGATGACGTGTGTCAACCAAGTCAGCGAGCCTGACCACCTGATCCCTTTAGTCGCCTTTAACGATTGAGTTTAAACATATTTATTCAGGCGAATGGATTGGGTACAAGTTATGCCAACTTAATGGAAACCCTCTCCTATCTACAATGCTTACATGCAAAAGTGAAACAAAATATATGTACAGGGATAGAAAGATATATACAAAGGATATACACAATACATGAATACATGAATTATTTAGATCATAGACATTATATACAATTACTGAACCTTTGGGAGCTTGATATATTTTTTTGAACTTCTTTAAAAATTTGAATATTGTCACTGTACGGAAGATCTGCATTGCCATTTAATAGTACGTCTAGGTTTGTTGGTGCTCTAATGTTACAAATTCTGCTAATATTTTGAAACATTTCCTGTCTGATATTTGAATACAAAGAACATTCCATAAAATATTGATGAGAATTTTCACAGGTAAATTTAAAATTACATTCAGGGTTCTCTATGAGACCAATCATATATAGATCACCGTTTCATCTATTATTTGAATATCTTAGCTGGGTATGAATCACATAGAGTTTTCTATTACCAAATGAGAAATATCCTGGTGCTTTTGACTTACGCGAGCTTATATGTGATTTAAAACTTTTTAGGAAACTGAATCTCTAACATATAAAGGGAGATGATTCCAAAGTTGCGAAGATGATGGGAAAAATGATTGACTGTAGAGATTGTGCGGGAATAAGACAGGGAAAGATCTCGAATGTTTCTAAGATTATAATTTGTCCTAGATTCAACTGTTTGAGGCATGAGATCACAAAGGTTGGATGGAGCATTTTGTTGTAGATGTTATAGAATAAAGACAGTTTACGACATCTACTTCTTTCTTTTAACAATTGTTTCATACATTAGAGTATCTCTAGTAGCATATTTTGGTAAACCAGTAACTATCCTGGCGGCCTCAAACTGAACTTTTTCAATTTTTTCGGTTTAATCCACCGAACAACCATCCAACAATTCACAAGCATATTCAAGATGTGGTCTTATGAATACAATATAAATCTTATTTAGAGTATATCTCTGTTTAACATAAACTTTAATTTTCTCATTGATGAAACCATCAAGGACGTTGTACTTACAATATTATCAATATGGGTGTTCCATTTACAATCAGAAGAAAATGTTACTCCAAGATGTTTATGACATTTTTCCAATCGTACACACTGATTTTCAAATTCTAAATTTAGAATTGCAGTATTATTCTTAAGACTGATAAGTATAGCTTATGTTTTGTTGGGATTGTATGTCACAAGCCAACGTTTTGCCAAGCACGATAAATATTGTAGGTTCCAATTGGGTGTCTGTTGCATAAGCCTGTGATTGATAGATGAAAATCCCATTGATGTATTATCTGCGAACAAGCGTGCAGCACAATCTAGTTCATCGGCAATATTATTAACATATACAAAAACAAGAAAGGGCCCAGGACTGATCCCTGGGGTACCCCAGCTGCAAGAGATTTGGGATTTGATAATGAAACATTTAAAAGCTGATGTAAACTGATTCTGGCACTGATGTAACACTGTATCCATTAAGTAATTCTTCACCTACACCGTAGCTAATTACTTTTTGCAGTAAACCTCTGTGCCACACCCTCTCAAAGGCCTTTGAAACATCACGAAACACAATGCAATAGCCTTCATGTCTATCTAGAGCTGAGCAAATATTGTTATGTAGTTCTATTAACTGACGAGTCGTCAGAATGGCCTACTTGAAATCCGGATTGATATTTGTATAACGATCTATTGTCCAGAAAATAATTAGACATATGTTTCATGACAACTGTTTCAAAGATTTTTCCTAAACAACTGATTAACGAAATGGGTTGGTAATTACTACAACTAGATTTATCTTCCTTTTCATAAAGCGGGATGACATGAGCTTCTTTCCATCTATTACGATAGCTACCTGAAGATAACGATTTATTGAATAAAAAACACAATGGTTAACTAACAGATTCTGCAATACATTTCAATAGTTTACGACTTATACGATCAGGTCCACTCGCTTTGTTAACATTTAAGCATTTAATAATATCAGCAATTTCACGTTCATTTACTACAGTGTGATTGATCCTACTAGATGTACGCATTTCAAATAAGAGTAGTGCTTTGGCTTTTTCATCTAAAGTTACAAATAGACGCAAAGTATGAGTTTAATGCTTCCGCTTTATCAAAGTCGGAAAATATATTTGTACTCTCGTTAGATTCGCTAGATCGTAATGGCGGAATAGGGTTGATAGCTCCTGATTCTTCGATTAGCTTTCTGAGTACTTTCCAAAATGAGGTTTTGTTATCTCAAGCATGGGTTACTGAAGATCAATATTCTAAGCCGGACGTTCACGGGTTCAACATTCGATAACTCGAAGTATATACATAGGTGACACACAATGGTGTTTTCAAATTCATATTCAAAATCTAACACACAACGTTTTGACTAAAGAAGTCTTCACGGACATGTTTATCTAAACAAAGAATAATATTAAAGAGACTATGAGAAAACAGATGCATAAGTCTGACTGCTTGTAACCATGACAGAGCTTCAAAGATGTTACAACAAACTATACTGAGTCTATAACTATAACTATAACTTCACATTCTTTCTTCAGGGCACTATAAAAGAACAAGAGATGGTAAGATGGTTAAAGTTGTTATTATTTCATTGCTGAGATCTGTGTGATGTACTCGATACACTGACAGTGCCATAATCAGTTCCATTAGGCTACACCGCCGTTCCCAAAACCTGGGTATACAGAATGTCAAGTCACAAGAATAAAATGCGAAATTTCTCAGTTCAATATTGTGTATGGCCGCCCCGCGCATTCACCACTGCCAAACACCGTCTGGTTGGGGATTCTGCGCCATTGCTCTTGCAAGGCAGCGCCAAGTTCCTGCAAATTCTGAGGTTGGTTCCTAAGACCACGAAGCCTTCTCCCAAGTGCATCCCAAACGTGCTCTATTGGATTAAGGTAAGGGGACCTCGATGGCCAGTCCATGACGTTGATTCCAGCGTTTTGAAGAAAATTTCGTGTCAACATCGCGGTATGCGGCCGAGCATTATCATACTGGAACTGCAGACCTGGGCCATGAGCCGCCATGAAAGGAACGAGTTCAGGGGTGAGCACCTGGTCGCGGTAAGCAGCAGCTGTGAGGTTTCCACGGATGACCAGAAGTCGGGAACGGTTGTTCCCACAGAAAGCACCCACACCATGCAACTTCCGCCCCGAATCTGTCGACTTCCTGTACACAACATTGGGCATACCGTTCACGACGTCGTCTCCAGACCTATGCCTGCCGTCCGCGAATCTGAGGGTAAACCTGGATTCACCGCTAAAGACGACTCGATTCCAGTCTCTGGGTGCATCGGAGGTGACGTTGAGCCCACAGCAGACGTTGACGTTGATGAAACGGCGTCAATATTGGCCCACGATATGGACGTCGAGAATGGAGATTGGAAGCCCGCAACCGATTTCGAATGGTCTGTGAGGGACAGTCGGCATCTCAGCCCTGGTTCGTGTAGCCGACAGAAATCTGTCACGTGGGTGACGTAGGACGATTTGACGGTCTTCTGCTCGTGACGTCACACGTGGAAGACCCGACCTTGGGCGATCAGAAGTAGTGCCAGTTTGTTATAGACGCAAGTCATACACAGTACGACGGCTGCATCCCATTGCTCTTTGCGACGTCAATAACTGATCTTTCCGCTTGCAACATGCCAACGGCACGTTCACGTTGCACATTTGACAATCGTGGCATTTCAAGTACCGTTAGAACTGTGGTTTCAAATTATTCTTCCCAGAATGCATGAGACATATATATCACGATACACTTTCATTGCAGTACGGACGGTCGGTCGACTTCTCGTCATTTGTTTGAATACGTCATTTGTCATCTTGTGACAAAATACAAACATGCATTGCTTAATATTTTAAGAGCATTCACTGAATAGTTAATTAACTGATGGCAATATAAGCTTTTTCAAGATTCGTATATTATTTTTGTCTAAGAGGTTTCTGTAATGCAAGAATTTCTTATCGCTCGTGTTCTACTTAAGCTTCTGACCTGCAGTGCTTATTTCGGGCGTAAATCATGTAAATGTAGTATTGTGTATGTAGTTTGAAGAAACGTGTAATGGCACCTTGTAACGATTAACCGTTAGCCAGGTAGGGTGTAAATTGCTGATTACGAATGAACTCATTATCAAGTAAGATCTTAGACTGCAGAATAGTTTGAAATAGTGAAATATTTCACAATGCTAAAGAAGCATAAAATCAGAAGCATCTGTTGTTCCTACCTTTTTGAGATTTTGGATGGATATTCCAGTCTTCATACCAGTTGGTTCCGTCTCAAAGTGCTTCTCATCCAAGAGCTGACTACTTGGATAATCAGCATTGGTCTGCTTAGTTCCACACCAATAGGAGCCCTGGTATTACGAATAATTTATAATTAGATTAACTTTGTGTCTTTGTGCAATAAAATGAAACTACAAATACAAACACCGCTATGTCGAAGATACGGTTGTCTGGAAGTAAAAGCCTGGACCCGACATCCACTCTGTATCTGTCATTCTTCGGTTGTATACAACATAAGATACCTCGAAGTAAAAGCCTAGACCCGACAACCAGTTTTTACCCGTCATTCTTCGGATGTATATAGCATCAGAAAACTCGAAGTAAAAGCCTGGACCCGACATTCGTTCTTTACCCGTCATTGTCCGGTTGCATACAACATCGGATAACTCGAAGTAAAAGATTGGACCCGACATTCGTTCTTTACCCGTCATTGTCCGGTTGTATACAACATCAGATAACTCGAAGTAAAAGATTGGACCCGACATTCGTTCTTTACCCGTCATTCTTCGGTTGTATACAACATCGGATAGAGCTCGAAGTAAAAGATTGGACCTGACATTCATTCTTTACCCATCATTCTCCGGTTGTATACAACATCGGATAACTCGAAGTATAAGCCTGAACCCGTCATCCATTCTTTACCCGTCATTCTCCGGTTGTATACAACATCGGATAATTCGAAGTAAAAGATTGGACCGGACATTCATTCTTTACCCACCATTCCCCGGTAGTATGCAACATTGGAGTGAGTGAGTGAGTGAGTAAAGTTTTACGCCGCAATATTCCAGCTATATGGCGGCGGCCTGTAAATACCAGACAATCCAGTGGTCAACAGCATGAGCATCGATCTGAACAATTGGGAACCGATGACATGTGTCAACCAAGTCAGCGAGCCTGACCACCTGATCCCTTTAGTCGCCTTTAACGATTGATTTAAACATATTTATTCAGGAGAATGGATTGGGTAATCTTTTATCACAGTCGGAAAATATATTTGTACTCTCGTCAGATTCGCTAGATCGTTATGGCGGAATAGGGTTGATAGCTCCTGATTCTTCGATTAGCTTTCTGAGTACTTTCCAAAATGAGGTTTTGTTATCTCAAGCATGGGTTACTGAAGATCAATATTCTCTAAGCCGGACGTTCACGGGTTCAACATTCGATAACTCGAAGTATATACATAGGTGACACACAATGGTGTTTTCAAATTCATATTCAAAATCTAACACACAACGTTTTGACTAAAGAAGTCTTCACGGACATGTTTATCTAAACAAAGAATAATATTAAAGAGACTATGAGAAAACAGATGCATAAGTGTGACTGCTTGTAACCATGACAGAGCTTCAAAAGATGTTACAACAAACTATTTACTGTAGAGTGTTCAGAGTCTTAGCGTCACAGCTACATTCTCAATATTGTATATATGCCAAAACAAATACTTACGGTAAAGGGGAAGTAGAATGGTTTCGGCACACCAAACTCCCCTGGCCAGACATTGTCCAGATACCAGGTGACGAGGAGATGAATTACCGTGTCGCCTAGCAACATCAACATGGCGTCCAACAGGGAGAAGTTGTCATCCACAGTAGCGGGCTCATGGAAATTCGACCACAGCACACCAGAGCCTAGGTATTTAGACAAGTATTACCTTCAGTATTACGCAATGTGAAGAAGAAACATCATTACATCTCATTCTAAAGAAAAAGTAAAATCTTGTATGCCGATACATATACTGAATATGGTTTTCAGCTGCATGTTGACTAGAGAAAGAAACAGTTTTCACAGAGCTTAAAGCATTTTAGAACAAACATGATAATTCAGTCTCTGTTTTGCACTTTAATCAGTATCCACTCCAATTCTGCGTGGCACATCCTTATCAACATTGTGTTTCGAAAGTGAAAAACAACATACCAGCTCCTTCATAGAGTGATATGACATTTGCACCAAAGGCCATTCCCACGTTGAACAGGAGACAGGAAGCCAACTTAGCTGGCCTCGACATGTTTCGGTAAATGAGAGCTAGGTAGAAGTACGGGCAGTAGGAGATGAAAAACACAATCCCGCTGAGAGTTGCTCCGATGTTTGCTGAAACAAGGAAAGTCTCAACATGGAACTTGTATATGCATGACAACTCATAATGCGACCATTATAAAATTGTTTTCGTAATCTATTGGAATGCAACGGACGATTCTGGTGATGACATTGTTACGATTTAGAAATTACCGTGACAAAAGACTTGTGAGTCCCCTTATACATCTCAGCAACAATCCTTTATATATCTATTATACAGTTCCAGAGAATTCTAGCAAAAGCCACGCCACCCACTATCATTCAGAAATTACTGGAATCCATCCGTCTTCCACCGAAAACGCCGGAAGGAAAACAAAGGGGAGGCAACTCCCCAGCCCACTTTCAACAGCTGCAAATACATAGCCCATGCCAAGTTCAAGGTGTGAGTTCAAATCCATACTCTGCGCCTTAAACTTGACCCATAACAACTAAAAGTTTATTAATGTGGCATTTTAATTAACAAAAACACATCCTCATAACCCTCTACCACATATTAAGGATAAGAAACTTTCGATTACAATCATACAAAGATAACTAACATAATAAGATGACTAACGTGGACTACAATCTGGAAAGTGCATCAGCACAAACACTGTCTTTGCCTTTAATGTGCCTAATGACAAGATTGAACCCTTGCAAAGTCAAACTCCACCTCACAGGTCTTTGATGCTTGTTCTTCATTTTGTGAAGAAAAGTCAAGGGATTGTGATCAGTAAAAACTTCAATTGGAGAAGTAGTGGTACACAGGTGCACTGCAAAGTGCTGCCAAGCTAGCAAAAGACCTCCTGCCTCTTTCTCAAAGGTAGAATAATTTCTTTGGTGCTTGTCAAACTTCTTGGAAAAGTAACAAACTGGATGATCAATTCCTGAATCATCCTCTTGAAAGAGGACACCACCTGCACCTACAACACTTGCATGAATTCGTAACTTAAATACTTTCTCAAAATTTGGTGCCTGCAATACTGGAGAATTTATGAATATGGCTTTGACTTTTTCAAACGTTTGGTCATTATTTTGTTTCATTTTAGCTTGTGAAACTGTGAAATTTTGTCTGGCCAACTCACATGTTTTTTGAAAGTATATTCCAAAATGTAGAAACATAGTCCAAAAGATTTATCTCAGGATTGTGATTGAGCCATTGCTGTTTTAGATGTTCTAGTGGCCCGCCCACACTATGGCCAAAGGGACTGAACCCAAAACTTTCCTGAACTGACTCCCTGACAGCAAACAGCAACAATGTAAATGATAAGACTGAACAACATCTGGCAAACCAACTAAGGTGAAAACCTTGATCAAAGCCTTGACAATCACAGGATTGTCAAGCCTACGAGGAGGAATTGTTTCAGGAAATCTGGTAGAAGCACACATGATAGTCAGAAGATGCTGATTACTAGACTTAGTCTTAGGTAGTGGACAAACACAATCAATGATGACTCTACGGAAAGGTTCCTCAAAAGCCGGTGTAGCTTTTAAAGGAGTGGTAGGAATTTTCTCATTTGGTTTTTCCAACAATTTGGAATGCAAGACAGGTCTTGCGAAATTAAGCCACATTTTGTCTCAAAGTGGGCTAAAGGAAATGTGACAACATTTTCTCACAAGGTTTGTTTACACCCAAATAACCTAGCATGGGTCATTCATGTGCCAATGAAAGTACATGATTTCGAAATACTTTTGGTGATACAGTTTCCATTCATCCTCCGCGGGAATGTCTGGCGACCTATATTTCCTCATCAGAACACCATTAATTAACAAAAACACAACCTCGTAACAGCACATGTTAAACAATAAACATTTCATCAGCAATCGGGGCCATTAGCCATATGCAAAACAATTATTCCCCAAACATCCTACATTTTCGGAAATATTAAATTAACACAGATATAACGAACTCCTTTTACGCTTCTGATTTTAGTTGAAATGCATAACGAACTACGGCAAAAACATATTAGAATTAGTGGTGTTTTGGAGATTATTAGTGTAAATGATGTCAGCACTCAGTGACATGAACATTTCAACATCAACAAAGGTGTTTCTTTTATCATTTTATGAAATGTTTTTTTTCTATAGAGTCTGAATTCTGTTTATTGTTTTTATCTATCTAGTACGTTTGGATATTTGATGAGTGCACAGGTAATACCAGTCAATAGTTGTGAAATTTCATCTGAATAATGATTTTGAATAGGTTTGCTGTACAGAATGTACATACAGAATGTATGTCAGTGATGTAGGTTCCAATGGATATGGTGGGTGCACCATGTGACTGCAACGAGCCCTGCTGCTAGAGGAGATCTCCTAGTATTATGGAAAGAGTTTTGCTGCTAAAATATGGATCAACTGACGGTGACAGACGAATTTTGAGAACACCTTCCCGTGAATGAGAAATATCAATCAGTGTGTACAATACATTACTTGCATACAATCGCCACACTATACTACAATCTTAAAAAGACACGAGTATTAGGAATTGAAATGATATTTGTGAAAGAGTGTTTGTACTGTGTTTCAATAACAGTTTAGAAAATTACCTCTTTGAGTGAAGACGCTGATCATGAAGCAGTAGGAGATGATGGAGACGCCGTAACAGAGAAGGAACACAAAGAACAGGGTGGGATCTGATTCGGCCAGAGCAGGTCCTTTTTCACTTGCGTTAACTCCACACAGCACACTATACAGGGCCATAACAACCAACATGTATATAAAGCTGGTCAGGAACCAAGACGTCCAGTGAGCTGAAGCTCTCAGACCCATCAGCTTCATGGATTCCTGGGGAGAAGAAAATGAGGAGTAAATTCTTACTTAGTGGGATATCCCTGAAGATTAGATTAGAAATATCTTCAGCAACCCAAGCTTGTCGTAGGAGGCTACCCAAAAGAGATCATAATTAGGTTCATTTTCTACATTTACTCAGATATAAATGTGTTTATACCAGTAGTATCATGTACTACTAGTAACAGAAACTAAATCAGGTGAATAAATTAACATGATGATTGCATCATGCAAGAACTGGATATTGGTCGATTACCGACCGTGTCACAACACCTGCTATCAAGATGGTCTGAAGAACACGAAGTTCTCGGTGCCCTTGGTTTTGTAACTCCCGATCTCTTGGCGAAGATGAGGTGAGTGTCCGGGTTCTCCAATGAAAGAGCAGACCTTCTGACACTCTCAGTAATGCGAAAGGCTGCAGTGCTGGGGAGCCTTCATATTACACGGAAGGATCCTGGTGGGTTGCGACTGGGCAGCGCTTATGTTCAATGAAAGAGATACTAATCCTCTTATATTTTAGTTTTCCTTTAAGCTTAGGTTTCTTCCCTGCTATACTGTAATGGCATTCTATTTTGAAACCTGCGAGAGTAAATGAGTCGTTGCCTTTTTCTATTGGAGAAGCTGCGTGAGAACACGATACCACTCTGCTATGACGTCAAACAAAATGAAAAGAAACACTTCGAACACACCAACGACAAACTAATTATCTTAGAACTGATTAGTAAATTAATAACAGAAATACCGCGTTTGTGAAACTTTAGGACTGGGTAGAGCATTGAATATCAAATGAAAAGTCCTAAACGTCCCAGAATCTGGTGACTCACTTTCAGTTTTCTTTCCTTCTCATAGACAACTCCCTTTGTTGTCTGGATGGCCATCAGGATGAAGCTCAGTATCAGTAACACAGGAAACATGTACTGCAGCAGCAGAATCATACCGTCCGTAACGTAAGGCGGGTATGGCATTCGGAGCATTTGTACATCCAGGTTCTGCAGTGTAGCAGTTGAGTTCTTGTTGAAATGTTTGATGATGGCTTCGTTAAAAATACGCTGCAGTCTCATAAAGTCGCTATAGTCTGAAAAAGATACATTGACATGCAGGGGGTGTCTCTATATCTTGTCGCAAATAGCTGCAAAACTGCCGATGCGGCTTTAAGCATCATCTAAATAATGCAAGAACATTTTCCATCGAAGGAATGGGTATTCATTGAAGTAATCATAATTCTATTACCAATAATGCATTAGTATTTTTCATTGAAAAAAATACAATAATCCTTCATTATCATTAGTCCCATCCCCACGGTAACTGAGTGGACTGGCGTTGAGGTGCTGGCGATTAAGTGCATGACTCTTACAGTATGGGTTCGAATTCCGGGTGGGACTCAATCCAAACAGTACTAGAATCTGTTCCTTACTGAAAAAGTATGTAATATATGTTACATTTTACCAGTGTCTAAATGGCGTTCTGTATTCACAGCTAATGGGATTGCCAGTAGGGGAATGTCTCTATGCCAGGCGGCTGCGCATTTCCATTGCACCGAAATTCTATTCAAGCACATATCACAACAATAATGACCCTGCCGATTTCCCCCCATGTACCAAAACGCCAACACAGGACAGACGGAGACGGGTGACCCATCTCTTGTACAGGTTCCAGACTGCAGTGATCACTGCTCAGGGGTATACACCCCAACACAGGACAGACGGAGACGGGTGACCCATCCCCTGTACAGGTTCCAGACTGCAGTGATCACTGCTCAGGGGTATACTCCCCAATACAGGACAGACGGAGACGGATGACCCATCTCCTGTACAGGTTCCAGACTGCATTAACTCAGATCTTCCAGGCGTGTGCACCTCAACACAGGACAGGTAGGGACGGGTGACCCATCTCCTGTACAGGTTCCAGGCGGCAGTAACCACTGCTCAGACCGCCCAGGCGTGTGCAACCCAACACAAGACAGACGGAGACGGGTGACTCATCTCCTGTACAGGTTCCAGGTGGCAGTAACCACTGCTCAGACCGCCCAGGCGTGTGGAACCCAACACAAGACAGGCGGAGACGGGTGACCCATCTCCTGTACAGGTTCCAGGCGGCAGTAACCACTGCTCAGACCGCCCAGGCGTGTGCAACCCAACACAAGACAGACGGAGACGGGTGACCCATCTCCTGTACAGGTTCCAGGCGGCAGTAACCACTGCTCAGACCGCCCAGGCGTGTGCAACCCAACACAAGACAGACGGAGACGGGTGACCCATCTCCTGTACAGGTTCCAGACTGCAGTAACCACTGCTCAGACCTTTCCAGGTGTGTGCACCCAAACGCAGACAGGAACCGCTGACATTACAAAGCCGTCAGTGATGACGAAATCATGTCTGTCAACCTCAGTTGTGATGGAACTGTGCTGTCCACTTTTATAACATTTTGTGTACGTCTTTGGACGCGTCGTGATTAAGCCTATGACATGGAGAGGAATCGCCTTGGGGGAGATTCCGTGATGATTTGGTGTGATTTTGACATGTGAACAAAAGAACCCCTTTAGTTGCTGACAGATGTGAGCTACAGAGATCAGACTCTCGGACCAGTGGTATAATAGGGTTTATTAACGTCATGGAACAGGATTGACATTCCAACAGGATTATACCCGTCCTCACACGCCTAGTGCTGCTGTGATTTCACCAGGACCATGCTAAAGTACTGGCTCGGCGTGTAAATCTCCATAGAGCATGTCTGAGATTAGTGAGTGAGTTTAGTTTTACTCAGCTTTTAGCAATATTCCAGCAATTGTACCCATGTGGAGTATCGAACCCGGATTGTCAGTATTTTGCGGAGAATATGGCAAACCATTCCACAAGCCTGCCATGTCCAACTGATACACTATACACTGCTGTTGTCGCTGCTCACGGTGGGCATACCCGTTATCAAGTTACTGACATCGCTGCTGTCGGGCATTTGATCTCGAATCGTGAATGTCATGGCCATGCTGTTTTGCCATTTCTTATGATCACAATATCCATATATTAAATTTAACAGGGAATCTTTTAATATTGTTATATTTTCAAATCTACAATTTAAACATTGCACAGTTTCTATTTTTCTAGTATATAATCTATCACCATGTCCTTTCTCCCTTTTGAATATCTGCTAAATTCTGAAGTTCAAATAATACAAACCAGTTACCTGGATTGAAGATGGATCTTGGTTCCAGAAAAGCCCCGAAGTAACTAATTTCAGTGGTGTGCCAACCTCCATATTGGTGACCTTTGGGACGAATGGCGTACCGCAGTTTCTTGGGCATGACGGTGTCTGCCAGTCCAACGTTTTCAAATTCAACAGCAAAGCCGACTTGTTCAGAATTGTATCTGAAGTAGTCCAGCATATCTTTCCTCGATGAAAATCCTTTCAACGTAAGTGTGTCTGTAAGAATGGTAGAAACGTATCACTCGATGCATTCACTACTGTATCATGAATCAGTAAACTGTGATGACTCGGGTGTTGGTTGTCAGAAGGGGTTATACTTTTAAGTTGGAAGTAATGCCCTTAAAAATATATGTAAGATAGAAAAACTATGATTTCAAGAACTTGATTAGAAGAAGCGAGGTTCAGCAGCTCATTTTAAGTCAAACATTACAGTAATATCGCTGTCACGCTTATGATAAATGTTTTAAATTATTCAGCTCAAAACACATGTATACCTGCATGTCATCCGTCAGGACCAATTTCGTCATTTGTGTCAAATTAAAATAGAAACAAACATACAGCATCTGTTTATATTTGCAAAAAGCATCTAATTAACATTACCACTTTAATTATTATTTCCACTTCAGCGTTTATGAAGTATGAGAACACTGCACGTTGTTGTGTGCTTTGGAAGCTCAATTCCGTGCATGAACCTGAACATATTTACTCGGAATGAAACAAAACAAAATAAATTGAAAAGGTGGTAACAGTTTACCTGCGGCCTGAGGGGAATACAAAAAAATGTGACTATCAACAGTGCTAGAAAGTATCTCCACCTGTCATACAGTTCTCAAATAACGGTTGTCGTGATTGCATGAACCAATACTGGCGACTACATGTGTACCTCATGTTGCCATCCCTCGCACGGTAACACCAGCAACTTTCTCCTCCTTCTGGTAATCAAGCATTGACTTCCCCAGCACTGGAATCCTCTTTCGTTCCTCATGGAGTGCATGTGTCAATTCCTGCAGGATTTGAAACAGGAGAAGATCTACGAACATGGCGTCCAAATAGTTCCAGAAATGTTCTGTGGGGTTCATATCAGGTCTGTTTGCGGATCATGGTAATGTTTTGATAGCGTTGTTCTGCGAATGGGCGATGACAGCTCGATACAGTGATGTCTAGGGTTGTCATCCATGAATATCGAACGACGTCAGTATCCAGACGGTATCCAGTACTTCCTGTTGATAACTTTGACCACATAAAACGTCAAATAAGAAGTAACTTGCAGTGATGCGAAACGCAACCCTCCACCACCACCATCATCATCACCGAGCAACCACCACCACCACCGAGCAACCACCTAAGGGTTCAGCTGCATGGATAATTTCCTGGCAACATACATCGTTACGAGGTCTCCATACGTAACACGTGTTGTCAGTGTATGAAATAAACCTAAAACCCAGCCAGACATCAGGGCTGGTAACTTCAAAATTTTACCAGCCCAAAATGGATTTGACCAGACCAGACGCGACGATATGGTGAATTTACTCAGATGTATATGGAATATCTAAAAAAAACCACACCAGACCATCGAGCTGGCTAGCTGTAAATATAGACCGTCCGTCAGAAATCTAGCCCGTCTTGGGCGGTCGGACGGGCCTTATTTCATACACTGGTGTTGTCTGTGCATAACATGCTGTAAATAACGCGACTTTCATCAAAAAGATGAACCCTTCAAGCGGCGGTTTTGTCGAAGACTGCACCAAGCCAGTTATCCCAGCCTCTCTGTGGTCAAGGGAGGTATGATCGGACGTCGTTCTCTAATTCTGATGAAGTATGATGACGATTTTTTTATGAAAAATCTATAAAAATTGTAAATTGTCATCATTCTTCATCAACTCAACTTCTAAAATGCCCATCAAAGAAATTAATTCTAATGATAATTCATCATTGTCGGCATAGGTCTTCGAGATGGGGCATGGGATTAGAACTCGGTCGTCACGGCCATTGGTCTTCCTTGGTCTTTCAGGTCTTGGACGATCCTTTACTTCACCTCACGACTGTGTGGTTAATGTTCAAATGAGCACCAGTATTGTCAATATCATTCCACAGCGTATTTTCTGAAAGTCTTCGTCTTGCCATGTCAAGTAAAGTTATTTTTAGTATTGTCATCTTTTAAATCAGTCATCGCAGTAGGTGATAATATGCGACCCATAGCTTTTAAGACAATTTGTGTGAAGCACGTGCTTCACATGTGTAATCCAGTATTCAACCAAAATGTTGAAGATTGACCTTGGATTAAGGTGGTTCTTAATGAATGCTCCTGGGCAAATTGTGTCCAATATTCGCACATACATGTAAATGTTTTCTTAAATATCTGCGCTGAGGATACTTACACATATGAGATTTAATCGTGTGTGTCATAACTCAAGCAATGATGTTTTCTTGTGAAGTTGCGACAAGATTTGGATATAGTCTAAACTAACACATACAATTTATGTTTTGTGTAGGAGCACGGGTCTAGGCTAACTGCCCCAAAACAACTGCCCCCGATACCTGCCCCCTGGCTATCTCCACCCCCATCCCCACCCCCACCGTCCATTTTGCCCATAATCCCCTTCCCAAACAGATAGGATATCAGAATAAAATTATACAGTGAAATTGCAGAGGACTAAGGACTAATTTCAGTGAGTTTCAGCTTTTAGTCCAGGATTTAACACCATCAGCGTTCTGTCTGCAGTAGACATATTTAAAACAGACAGATGTTTTTTGTCTTGCGTTCTTTCAATGCATATCATTGTTTTTCACCTCCCTTTCACTAGGATCTTCCATCCTAGTCAAACAGAACGTTATCCAAAGCCCTGTTTCACTTACTACTAATCTGCAGGCTGTTGCAGTGCGAATTACTTTACATGTTGCGTTTACATTATGCTCTGTATATATCTCTCCGTCTTCAACGTTTCACAAAACCGATCTTCAAGCTCTATATAACCAACTGCCGAAACCCTGTATTATCATCGGAGATTTAAATGGACACAATCCACTCTGGAGTGGTGCAACTACAATCGCTAAAGGTAAACTATTGGAGGAGTTTTGTTCAGATAATGATTTATGTATTTGTAATGATGGTTCCAACACTTATTTACACGCTGGTACAGGAACCTTTTCTGCTCTCGACTTGTCAGTTACAAATTCAGAACTAATGAATGAATTCGAATGGTCAGTCCACGATGACCTCTGTGGAAGTGACCATTTTCCTACTATACTAAAACCTGTAACTCCATCTGATGTTCCTCCATCTTTAAGGCGGAATTTTAAAAAGGCTAACTGGGCTCTGTATGAAACACTGTGTGATGCAAAACTTAAACCTGAACTTTTTATTGACGTTCCTAATGCTGTCAAATGTGTTTCTGATGCACTGAACATCATAGCTGATGAGTGTATACCAAAATCCTCTGCAATTCCACACATTCGAAAACCCTTGGTTCGATGATGAATGCAAACAAGCTAGGAAGGCAAGGAAAAAAGCAGAACATTATTTCCGTCGCCACCCTATGGTGCATAATCTAAATAAATTTAAATCCTAAATGCTAAAGCACGGCGTACCTTTAAACTGAATAAACGCCAATCATGGAAAGATGATTTATCCAAAATAAATTCTCGAACGCCAATGTTTAAAGTGTGGAACATGGTACAGAAAATTAAAGGTAAAGGTACTAACTCTAGCGTCATCATCTTAAACATGGGTATCAATTACTTACTGATAAATCAGAATAAACTGGGTAAAACTCTTGCTAAACACTCTTCCTCTTCTAAGTATGTGCCTAAATTCCAACAATATCAAAAACAACAGGAAAAGAAACCTATTAATTTCCATTCAGATAATGGGGAAGACTATAATGAACTATTTTCTATTCATGAGCTCCAAACTGCTCTTGAACAAGCTCACGGTATTGCTACAGGGGCTGATAACATACATTATCAACTCCTGAAGCACTTACCAGAATCCTCTCTGGGAACTTTTTAAAATAGTTTTGGTGATATTTGGACATCAGGTAAATTTCCTACCTCATGGTGTGACGCTATAGTAGTACCAATACCTAAACCTGGACGTGATCATACAGATCCGTCAAATTATAGACCTATTTCACTAACTAGCTGTGTTTGCAAAACCGTGGAACAAATGATAAATAATCGACTTGTTTGGTATCTGGAAAGAAATAACCTTATAACAGATATACAATGTGGTTTCCGTAAAAATAGAAGTACTGTCGATCACTCAGTGCGTTTGGAATCATTTGTTAAAAACGCTCTTATTAATAAACAACACGCTGTGTCTATCTGTTTTATCGTGAAAAGGCATATGACACTACGTGGAAATATGACAGTTTAAGAGATTTACACGGCTTCGGATTGCGAGGCCGTTTCCTCAATTTATAGCCAACTTTTCAAATGACAGACAATTTCAAGTCCGCGTGGGTTCTACCCTGTCTGATCATTACAATCAGGATCAGGGTGTTCCACAAGGAAGTATTTTGTCTGTCACACTATTTAGTATAAAGAAAAGGTTTATCAAAAGTTTTAAACAATTCAAGAGATGGATCGTTATTTGTGTATGATTTTAATATTTCTTGTCGTGGTAAAAATATGCATACCATTGAACGGCAACTGCAGATATGTTTAAACAAAATAAATAAATAGTGTCTTAAAAACGGCTTTAAATTTTCTAAGTCAAAAACTAATTTCTACACTTCTGTAGAAAATATAAGCCGCATAAGGACCCAGAACTTTTTCTAAATGGCACTCCCATCAAAGTTGTTAAGGAGGCCAGTTTCTTGGGTTTAATTTTTGATTCGCATTTGACGTTTCTGCCACATATTAAATCACTTAAAACAAAATGCCTGAAGGCACTTGATTTGTTGAAAGTTGCTTCCAATTCAAAGTGGGGAGGGGATCAAGCTACCCTCCTACACCTGTATCGATCATTGATTCGCTCGAAACTTGATTATGGCTCCATCGTATATGGTGGAGCCTGCAAAAGTAACCTAAAACTATTAGATTCTATTCACCACCAAGGTCTAAGACTTTGCCTTGGCTCTTTCAGAACTTCTCCTATTGACAGCCTCTACGTCGAGACAGATGAGCCTTCTCTTATCCAACGTCGTATAAAATTATCATTACAATATGTAACAAAATTATATTCTCACAAATCTAACCCTGCATTTAACTACGGGCTCAGGATTAAGCCATTCATTTCTGCTGCCGGCATTGAGCGAGAAGTATATCTCCTTCCCGTCCTCTGTTGGTTACCCAGCCACGTTGGCATTTCTGAGAATACAATGGCTGATCTTGCTGCCTAGCCAGCACTCAACAAATCTGTGACACCACTTCTTATCCCACAGTCTGATTACAAAACTAGCATTAGAACCTACATCCGTGATCTGGTGCAGAAGAAGTTGGACACCCAGGTAGGTATAAATAAACTACATGAAATAAAACCCTATATTGGTTACACCTACTTGGGTTGTCAGTCCAGATTTGAAGAGGTCATCATGCAACGATGTCGTTTTGGCCACACAAGATATACTAATGAATGCCAATTGAAAGCCGAAGATCCTCCGTTTTCAATCCCTTGTGATGAAAGAATCACGACCAAGCATGTCTTGTAAGGCTCAGCAGCGGCTTAGGGCCCTTGCCCCCTCTACACGCAGCCCAGACAGCGAATTGGACTTTTCCCAGGAAACGCTGCCTAGTCGAACCCACCAAGAACTTTCCAGAGAATATGACGACTCAGCCTTTTGCATTACTCAGGGTGTTGGAAGGTCTGTTCTCCCTAGTGGAAAAGTCGGCCAGTCTCCTGATTTACGTCAAGAGATCTGGAGGTACCAAACCAAGGGCGCCGAGAACTTCGTGTTCTCCAGATCATCTTGAGAGCAGGTGTTGCAACATGGTCGTTAATCGACCCATATCCAGTTCTTGCATGATACAATCGTCATGTTCATTTATTCACCAGATTTAGTTTCTCTTACGAGTAGTACATGGTACTATAAGTGATAACAGCCCATTCATCTCTGAGTAAATATAGAAAATGAACTTAATATTAATCTCTTTTTGGGGGATAATGAATTGTGATAGGTTGCTTATGTAAAAGAGAGATATCGATGTTTGTTTGTTTGTTGATTAACGCAATATTCAACTCACCAATATTCCAGCTATATGGCGCTGGACCAGACAATCCAGTTATCAACAGCATGATCATGGTTTACGCAATTGGGACACGATGACATCATGCTCAAGTTACCCAGTAATTGGTAGCATATCTTATCACGTTCCGTTATCTATGTGTAAATAGAGAAAATGAACTCACCTGAATGATAACTAAATATGGACGTTTTGTTGTTAACGGTTTCGTTGATACCCGTAATCAGCCCATTGATGAGGGTATTGTTGGGTGTGAACAGAACCTCCTCATAGTTATAACTATTCAGTTGCCTTGTCACCTGGCTGGGGTAATACACTCTCGCTGGCGTAGGTCCCTTATCTACCAGAAATCTCATGAAGAAAAATATCATTGCAAACAGCAGAGGTAACAGAACTTCAAAGACTGTCACACAAATCTTTTTACGTTGTAGAAGGTAATTCTTCCACATAAGCAGCCGGAGCTGCCGAATGAAGGCCATGTTGATCTTGATCTGCCTTATACCGGTCCTCTTTGTGGTAGACAACGCTATATGAATGCAGAGGTCGTGAACGCGATGGTAAAGGACATTTCAATAATCTCCCACCTTACGGTGATGACTCCCGAGTCACGTGAATTCCACGAGAGTTTCAGTGACACCTGGTTGGTGTGCCTACAGCCAAGTGACCAGGTTTCAGGGCAGTGTCGTCGTTGGTTCTCTCCCCTTGAGCAGCCTGTCACATCACTGTTGTCTCGGGGAAAATGGTTCAGTTGAACCAGTTATGCAAAACACCATCCTCTTGAATGTGAGAAGGGCGAGGTGATCCGGCTGCCAGTGAGTACAGCGCCCTCAAATGGATATCATGGGAGTAATGCCTTCATATGATTCAGTTTCCTATGAATTAACAAAAAACATGACAATAAAAGAATGCCCGCAAAGAGGAGTCGGTTTATTATAAAACCTACACTGTTTGATCGGTTAATGGGTTGGGTTTACAAATAGTATTTTATACGTCAATGACTACAAAATCTGAAGTGGTACTACAAATAGTATTTTATACGTCAATGACTACAAAATCTGAAGTGGCACTACAAATAGTATTTTATTCGTCAATGACTACAAAATCTGAAGTGGCACTACAAATAGTATTTTATACGTCAATGACTACAAAATCTGAAGTGGCACTACAAATAGTATTTTATACGTCAATGACTACAAAATCTGAAGTGGCACTACACAGTGTAGGTGTCCAAAGAGCATTAAACAGATGAGACGCCAACAACATAATCACACAAAGCGGAACGAAGTAAACGAGAGCACAGCATTCCCCGAGAGACAGATCCCTACTGATGAATGGACCATCTCAATCGTCAAGTCGCAAACACCTAGCAGGTGCAACCTGAATGATGTAACACAGGTTATTAATAGGCACATTCCATTTCTTTTAAGCTGCCAAATATAAATACCGCTATCACAAATACATATCACTAGACGTGAAGCCACACCTAGGATACTCTCGCTATTATTAGATCAGTCATTGTACCCCGATTCTACTCCAGGAACGAACTTAATATAACAATCAAATATTGTTACCATGTCTGACATCAAAAGGCAGGTCAAATGAATTTAAATGTGTGGTCACTCAAAATTCAACGTGTTTGAAAAGATGTTGTACAAGTGTAGGGCTTTCTATTTTTGGTCACATAAAGAGTGCATCTACGATGTCATTAAATTTGCCTTAGTAGAAAAAACATGATACTTTAACAATATGAAGACGTGAGATTGCCAAATCCGACTTCAGCTCCTACCAGGTAAGACTGTTACGTGTTGTGGGATATGTTTATAGTGTGAGAAAGGAAGGTACTTACAATCAGCCATCTTGTGCTGGCTGCGGTTGTACCAGTTATGTCGTCACGCTCTCGTGATCACGGTCAATAGCTGTACAACTGATTGTGCTCATACAGACATGTCATGTTGACCTAGGTTGTCGTCAGAAATAAATGTCAAAAATCCTTCAGTTGATAAAATATGCGTCTACACTTAATATACTTAATATCAACAATCTTGTAACTTTGTACACCTATCACGTATTGGGATGAATCAATGGATTGTTTAAATAACGTCTCAATAAATTATAGGTGCCATGTTATCATAAAGCAGATATTCTTGCATCGTTTAGCTTCCATTTTTCGGCAGCAATGATTGTTGTTGCATACAAACATGTTATCGATCGATATTCCAAGGGACACGACACTTGTAGACTTAAAACAACTTGTTATAAGGGACTTGTTATTTTCCAAATAATGCTATGTCTGTAGATCAAATCACAATTTCTACTTCATAGCATATTCTATAAAAATTAAACCTAAAGAAACTTTCTATGATAATTATAGTTGATTTTCCCAAGTGAGTTGGCTTTCAATGTCAAAGGTTGCGAACTGTCAGTGACGTCCATACTACCCGTTGGAACTGGCTACGATGGGTCTATCTACCCGTGAAACCTTAGAGTACGGTTTCACATGCACAGGCTATTAACTAATTTAACGTCTTGTAAGATCATTTAAAGGGTGAAAATGTCTGTTCCACAGCATGTGATACATGTAGATTATGATTTGCATGGATTTATGAAAGATTAAAAAGGAAGAAGCCTTTTGTTTCATTACGATGCTCAGTCATATTCTCTACATATACACTTTCATTGACACACACATTGACAAACTGTGACATATCAGCTGGTCTCAGACCGCCTCCGGGATATGGTGGTTAGAGCGTCCGCCCGGAGAGCGGAACGTAGCGGGGTCGATTCCCCGATGGCGTCATAACAAAAGACAAGGATAGGTCAGCTCGGAGTCAGTATAATGTGTCTGGGTGGGGTATTCATGCTTAGCTGTGGCATTGTATCTCAGTGAGCTAGCACTATAAAACCAGCTTAAATCTGGACTGGTACAAGCAGCCACACAAATTAATTACGACGTTAAACCCCATTTCACCTCAGCTCACCTCAACTGGTCCGATATCACACGTGAAACATATATATCCTATAATTATCACCTGTACCAGTGTATTATCTTGATTATGGCGGATCCAGTGTTACAAACCTTATATAATACAAAAACCCTGGTAAAACTCTAAGTACTTCCTAAATGCTGTTTATTACGAGATAAAATTCTCTTCATTTAAAAAGTCCAGGATCTGTACCATTTTGGTGCCAATGTTTAAAAAATAGTGGCGTCCTATTAACTTTAATTTTAGGTTTAAGAAAAGTAGGCTGAGTCAGAAAGCCACTAAAGGATTCTTATCAATATACAATAGTGACTGAAAACAATTTCTCTAAAATACATTGTCAACCGTGGGCTGGACAAGCTATCCTTTTCGCTGTTTGATAGTGACTCATAAAGCAACATCGTTGTGATATTCGGAATGGAATTCCTTTGGATGTCAAAACTGGTTTTGATATGAGAACGAAGTGCTCAACGTGAAAACGAACACTGACAATAACCGTCATCAATCTTCTGCACAGAATACAAACTCGCCACCCGTGACATACATTCACTTCAACATCCTGGTTCAGAGAGCGCACGTTTAATGTAATGAATCATAAAATATTTATAATTTCAATTTACGTTGGTGTATTTCGGCCATACTGTTGAATACGATGGTAACAAACAAAGAAAACAAACGTTGCTTGGACGTCATTTGCTCTGTTAATGTGTCACGGCCTTATATATTTCTGTTTATCACTTGACAGTGACTCAACGTGTAAAGGTCTTAAAGCGACGCTTGCACAATCTATAGTGTAGAGTTTTTGGAATGTGTGGATCAGGCTGTTCGTGTGTCATCTATGTTTCCCACTTCCACGTCCGGACCGCCCATGTATTTTCATTTCGATTGAAATATATAAACATTTCACTTCTTATCTCGATGGGAACTTTATGCCCTGGAGTGACAAAAAAATCATTTTTCCTTGTACACTCAAAACACCTAGGTTAACTTCCTTTAGGGACCGTTCATAATTTATTGCTAGAGGGCGATGATTTTTTTGGAGAAGCCTGCACCATGTGATTGCTGATCCCCCACCCTAGTACATGTGTACAAAATTGATGACCCCCTACCTCCCCAGAACAAAATGAGTGACCCCCTATAAAATATTCATCACCCCTCTAGCCATAAATTATGAACGATCCTTTATCTATACATATATGTATCTGTAAATCTTTATTTATACTTATTACCTGATTTTATATAAATATGTTTCTGAAGCAATATACCCCATTTAAAATTTAATATTATATTACAAAGCGTCACACAATAAGTGAAAACCATCTTCTTTATTCCGGCATATTTCTGTCTACCCGCTTGCTATTAAGTTGGTTCAGTGCTGGAGACGAGAAACACGTACAAATATGCAGATGGCATAATGACAGCGTGTGGAAGACAACCTTTTTGGAACCCAGCCAACAAAATCAGCAGTCCCAGGCCAGGTTTGAAAACCAGAAGACAAAGGGTCCAACTCCACTGACAGTCTGAAGATGTTTGGCGCCCACCAGTCTCTCCTTGATGAGGCAGTACAGGAACGATGAATCGAGAGTATTCATATTTTTGCCACGACATGAAATGTTAAAATCATCCACAAAAAGGGATCCATCAATTGAGTCATTTAAAACAAAGAGGCTGTTTATTTTAATAACAAACAATGTGACAGCCAACAAAATGCTACCTTGTAGGACTCCCTGATCTTGATAATGATAAATATAACAGATAGACACCGCATGTTGGTCGTTGATAATGTCATTTTCATCAAATGTCTCCAATGAATACAGGAACGCAACTCATTGTTACTGGTTTCTATTTTTATGAAGCTACGAGTGAATTAATGAGTGATTGGGTGGGTTGCTTGATGTGTACAGTCCGTTTGAGTCAGAAACGGACCGATGAATTGCAAATTTTATCATTTTACAAAATTGCCACATAAATATAAATAGTACACATGTTTATCATTTACTAATACCCAAGTTTCTGACTCAAACGGACTGTAGGTGAGTGAGTCACTAAACATTTTGAACTCAACACTGACAACGTTCACGTGCACACCATGAAAAACGCTTGCACGAAATCGGCACGTGCGCACAAAATTGATAACATCTTGTTATAATCATTTTAAGTAAATGCATATTTTCACAACAATCCAGATCAGTTTATACTAGGAACCGTTCATAATTTATGTCTCTAGGGCGATGATAATTTTTATGGAGAAGCATGCACAATGAGAATGTGAACAATAACGAAGATACTGAGAGTCATGACATCGTGTGATAGATGTACGTCGATGTGAAACATGAGACAATGTGACAATCGAGACAAGGAAACAAATACAAAGGGGCATAACTCGACAATGTATAAATGCACACCGTATTTGGCGCCGGGCCAGATATCAAGGGTGCATTTAGACGTTGTGGAGTTATGCCCTTTTGTATTTGTATCCTTGTCTCGATTGTCACATGGCATTATGTTTCGCATTGATGTACATCTATCACACGATGCATGCATGGATGGATGGATGGATGTTTGTATGGATGGATGGATGCACGTACGTACGTGCGTGTGTTTTTTGTGTGTGTGTGTGTGTGTGCGCGCGCGTGTGTGTGTATGTATGTGAGTGCCTGTGTGTTTATTTATATGAGATTGTACGTACACACACAAACTCACGCATATTTTTATTTTTATCGTCGTGTGTACGTACAATCAAATATAGGTGAGGTGAGGTGAAATGGCGTTTTACGTCGTACTTCAGAATAGTTGCTAATAATACGACGTGCACAGCCTCACAAACGTTGAGAGGGCTTCACCATTCAAGTCCTACATTAGCTAGTAAGTTTTTACCGGGTTGTTTTCATGAACGTGACATGGTCTTGCTGGTATAAGGAAATCGTACTGAAATGACTAATAACAAATATCACAGGGTCATCTCTTTATATCAGACTCATTGCATGACAATGAGTTTTGTTTTCATTTTGCACTTTTCTATATAAGTGTGACTATATGAAATGCGTCTTAACAATAGATTGTGTTGGATTTTCAACGTTGGTGTATATCGGTATCTCAGGCCCTGTGGCTGTTTGGAGTAGTCTTGTGACTAAAGAGATGCCAATATCTCGTGTACCCGTGACGTGGTGTGGTTAAAATATACTATCCCAAAAAAGGAAACGCATAGGCGTTTTGTATTTTTAAAAATCTGTTAATTACCTATTGTGTTCAAACAATCGTCAAAATATGTAACACGTGTGAAGGCAAAGCTGCCAGGGTGCCTGGACTTCGGACTATATCCGGTCAAACTGTACGGAACAGGTTGAGGGAGATTGGACTGAGAGCCAGGAGACCCGACGTCGGGACCATGCTACGTGGTCACCATCGCGTTCAGCGTATCCGTTTTATAAAATTATCCACTTTGTTATATAGACATTACCTTCTTCTAAACTGATGTAAAAATTCATTTCTTAAAGTCTGTTTGTGGACGAGTTATACATGTTTGAAAATACAACATTTTTGCAACAAATTTCTGGATTATGCGTATCTTTTATTGGAGTAGTATATATGTATAGTTGAACCCAACCCACAGTCATACACACTCATCTTGGTACAGGAACGCAACTCATTGTTACTAGTTTCTTTTTTAATGAAGCTACGAGTGACTTAATGAGTGAGTGGGTGGGTGGGTGGATGGGTAGGTGAGTGAGTCACATAACATTTTGAACTGAACACTGGCAACGTTCACGGGCACATCATGAAAAAAGCTTGCACGAAATCGGCACGTGCGCACAAAATTCATAACATATTTTTATTATCATTTTCTAAATATTTATATACAATCATACAACTTGGTTCCAAATAATATCACCCCAAAATGGAGTATCCCCTGCTATACGACATCCCACATGTGCTGATATCGTTCACACATGTACTGTCAATATTACGTTTACGGGTTTTTTCAACAGTATAACAAACTCATTAGTTGCTATTTGTATTCTCCATCACTCACGTCGTCAGCCACTGGTACGTCCCACTGAGCCCAGGCCTTCCCTAACAGAAACGACCGCCTGCGTGATTAAGTGGTTAGAGCGTCCGCCCGGAGAGCGGAAGGTCGCGGGTTCGATCCCCGACCGCGTCATACCAAAAGACGTTAAAATATGGTACTTGTTGGTCCCTGCCTGGCGCTCGGCATTAATGGGTACAACAAGGACTGGTCGGCTCGGAGTCAGTTTAATGAGCCTGAGTTCATGCTTCACTGCGGCATGGTATCTCCGTGGGCTAGCACTATAAAACAAGCTTAAGTCTAGGATAGTACAAGCAGCCGCACATACACATACACACACATGCACGTCGTCATATGAGCGAAATATTCTCAAGCACGACGTTAAACCCAATTTCACCTCACCTAACAGAAACCAGGGACCCGTTTCAGAAAGCTACCGTAGCTACGACTGTCGTATCTCCTGTACTGGGCCTAGATTTTCGAAGCTCTCTTAGCGCTAAGATAGTCGTAAGTGTCATACATTAACATTAACTTACGACTATCTTAGCGCTAAGAGAGTTTCGAAAATCTAGGCCCTGTAACATGGACCTACGGAAGTCGTAGTGCTGCGATAGCTTTTTGAAACGGGGACCAGGGTCCTTCTTAAGCGAAAGAGTAGCAGTTTAGGGTAGCATTGATATTGGTTCAGGTGTACATCGAATCTTCTAAACAGTCAACGACACTGGATCCAGATTTCTTAGCTTACACCATTCAAATACTCCAGTTGTATATCACTGTACAAACCGGTGTCACTTTGACACGTTTAAACCTATGATCCTAGGCAGAATCCCGGTGCGACCCAGTATCTTTCTAGGTTTGCTATCATAATAGCCGGGGCGGTGGGGTAGCCTAATGGGTAGATTGTCCGCCCGTATGTTGAAGTACCGGGTTCGATTCCCCACATGGTTACAATGTGTGAAGCCTATTTGTGGTGTCCATCGCCGTGATATTGCTGGAATATTGCTAAAAGCGGCGTAAAACCATACTCATTCACTCACTGAATGATGATAATCATTCGCGTTGGGTTTCAACCAAATGTTTGACGTCTATGAGGTGTATGATGTCCCACATCAGCAGACACACCATGACTGCAATACTGTTTGAAGTGGCGTTGGGTTTGACTCACAGGCACTCGTGTTTTTGCGAGGATTAAAAATTTAAAACAATGCATATTTGGAGATGACCCCCGACTCGAAATGCTTCAAAGTACAATACGTCAATATGTATTGTACTGTGAAGCATTGGAGTCAGGGGTCATCTCAAAACGAAAAGTAATCTTAAATTATCGCAATGACACGAGAGCTTGTGGTTTGACTCACTGACTTATGATCAAACATCTATCTATCACATACATAGATAACGCTATCAAACAACTAGACATGGGGTGGCTGCAGTTCAGCACTGGTAGTGACCAGTGTTAGAAACCAGGCTATGCGCAGTTGTCAGCGACAGCGACAGCGTTATCAGTGACTAAAGAGGACGCTGTTGGACGCTACCACACGTGTTATCAAATTGCGCAACAAGTACAGAGGTCAATAATTTAAGCGTAACATGAATATAGTTATACGAAGACTGATCAGATAAATGATAGAAATAGCCACTCCCCACGCCAGCCTTGGTGACTCGTTGCTACGTAATCTTGCAACAGCGTCATTTCACGTGAACAACCTTATCAATGTGTCACATGTTTACATTACCGTAGGTGGACAGTGGGACGGGTTGGCTTGTTCAACATGGCTGCCTTCTTTCGGCAGCTCCGGCTGCTTATGTGGAAGAATTACCTTCTACGTCGTAGAAAGATATGTGTGACAGTCTTTGAAATTCTTTTACCTCTGTTGGTTGGAGTGATATTCTTCAGCATGAGATTCACGGTTTCGCTAAAACATAAACCAGCCACAGTTTATCACCCAGAGGAGGTGATTCGACGATTGTCGCTCTATTCGGACAATCACATTCTGTTCACACCTAACAATTCACTCATCAATGAACTTACCATGGATATTATCAAAACAGCCCGCAATGAAAGCTCCCTACCAAGTTATGGTAAGTTCCTGTTCTACGTTTATAAACCCTATAGACATTGTGATTGTGATATCGCGTTATAACGAAAACGTTGATGTCATTAACGTAGCTAACTTGCCAGTAGTATCTCTGTAATTGCTGACAATCAGTCAACATTCCGGGGGCAGGTGTACAAATTTGATTACTGCCGGATTGGGTACCTCGTTGGGATGAGAAAGCCACAATAACTCGGTGCGTTTTATACTCCCCAGGGAGTTGAGATTGATAATACGATGTGTCGTTGAGATTGACATCCGATGATCGAGGGAAAAAATACCAGCGCCTTGAGCATGCACTAGTTGCCTGGATATGTGGGCTATATTATTATCCTACAATAATATCCTTGATTCTCATAGGTTGTCATTCATGTGTTTAGCGTCATGACTTAACGGAACAGTAAAATAGAGCAAACGTTTGTGCAAAATAATGTGAAATGTGTTATGAGAATACCAATCATACGCTTTCATATGTTTCTGAGTAAAATAAGCAACACATTCGTTTGCATTTGGAAGATTTAATCTGTCCTTTCTGACTTTGTGAAACTCGCATGCAACCTCGTTCTACCGATTACTCACGGAGAACTTTGGTACAGATGGAATGTTCCGATCGATTCATTATTCGTGCATACCTGTCATACACTAGTGAGGGATGGCAATTTTGTAATGCATGTTGTAATAGGACCGTAAAATACGTTACATCGAAATTTGTATGACTTATATACGCCAATCCCTCCACGCCCCACTTTGGCAGATACGTTATCTTCAACGACATTTCAATATCAGTGACGCCATCGGTGTGGGTGGTCTTAATAGTAATTTCATTGTATCAAGTCTATGTTACCATTTTGGTGAAGCCAACGAGCCCAGAGTATTGGCTCAGCAAAGGAGACAGATAGGAATTCCTCATATTATTTGAAAAAGGATAACATAGTGTAAGAATACATTACCTCCCTCACCCGTTCCGTTTCGTTGTTTTCGTGAAGATCCGGGTTAGGTCTTCAGTAACCCATGCTTGTCGTAAGAGGCGATCGGTTGGTCAGGCTCGCTGACTTGGTTGACACATGTCATCGTATCCCAGTTGCGTTGATCGATGCTCATGTTGTTGATTGACTGGATTGTCTGGTCAAGACTCGATTCTTTACAGACCGCCGTCATATACCTGGAATATTGATGAGTGCGGCGTCAAACTAAACTCACTCACTCACTCCCCCTTGTGTTGGTGTTGGTCGGTAAATGTGAATGGAAACGAGCGGGTAATTTGCCCTCACAAGAACCATAGGATCCCATGTGTAGTCGAGGTTTACCGAATAGTTACCCTTGAAGATATATAGTTGGTTTGCTGTTTGCACTCGCCAATACCCCAGCTATATGACGGCGGTCTGTAAATAGTCATGTCTAGAAAACCCAGTGATCAACAGCATAAAAATCGATCTATGCAATTGTTATACGATGACATATGTCAACTAAGTCAGCGGGCCTGACCACTCGCTCCCGTTATACGGCAAGTGTAGGTTTCTAACCCAAATCTTCGTGGGTTTGGTGATATATAGGATCAGTATTTATCCGAATAAGGGTATACGGGAAATGTACACTTCAAACATCTCTTTGTCTTTCAAATCGCTTAAATTGCAAATTATATTTTCAAAATCTGAAATTCATAAACAAATCAACATCTCACCAATATTCAGACAGAGTTTGAGCTTTATAACGTGTAAATATTTGCAACTGTATTAACTGTTGTTGTTACACGCGTGAAGTGTATTTATAAATTGTCTTTAGGGATTTTTTCAGTAATCAAACCTAAGATGTATATAAAAAAAACTTCATCTAAAGTCAACAACAAACTTAATAACTTTCTTCATAAGCCAGGTATCTTGATCAGTGTTGATTGTTTGACTAGGTTATATGGAATATTAAATATTATATATGATATATTATACACCATAAACAGTTTTTCAAGTGTGATGAGGCAGAGGTGGCATTGGCAAATAAGGTTCAACAAATGATTGTTGTGGCACTTAAATGTAAAATGTAAATTATACATCTTTATTTGTTTCCGAAAATGTATGACTCTGATGATCCATGAATTCCGTTTGCGAGTTATCACACTTTTGTCAATATTAAGATTTAATAAAAATCAAAATATATCAGTGAAATTTATAAAAGATTCTAGTTTATAAGAGAATATAATCATTTGTATGAGTTCTCTTACATTACAGGTACAGAATCCCTCTTGAATATAGCTCGTCTATCTCATCTAGTTGTATTGAGATATCATTTTCACAATATTCACGTAAAACATTTCACCCCTTTCAATACAGCATTATATAACTAGGTCAAACTTAAACCGACCGACAGATTTTTAGTTCAAGATTTTGTACTAGGGGCAACTTACTTTCCCATTATTTACACAGGTATACCCAAATTCAAGGGGTTTTCATCGAAAGAGGCCATGATGGACTACTTCAGATCAACTGATGATTATATCCAATTTGCTGTTGAGTTTGAAAAAGTTGCAATGGCAGACACGGTGCTACCGAAGAAATTGCGACTTGTCATACGTCCACGAGGTAACGCTTACGGTGGGGGCTGGCACACGGGAGTGACTTTCCCCTACCAGGTTACTGCAGGGCCAAGGGCAGAGGGGAACGGTCAAGGTAATGAGTTGGAATTATTGCATGAGATCTGTAGTTTGTAATCGAACTTTCACATCCATGCTGATGTATGACAGACTGTGCAGTACACATATGCTACAAAGAATGGCAACAAAATAGATTGTATTATAATTGTAACAGAAGATTGTAAATAAAGACTGAGCATATACTATGTAGTCAGAACGGAACGAGTTCGCGGACAGTGAATAATTAATAAAATAAAAGCGATAAAAACCCTTTCCAAGATATTTATCAAAAGCAAAGTCGATTGTACCAATGCAACTGCATCATGAACATTCGATTATGAAGCACTGTCCAATACTGATGATTCACGGCCTGTCCAAATTGTGAGCATAGCCTGTCCCACCAGTGGCACTCGTCACAAACACACGTAAATTCAAGTCTGTAACTCACCTGAAAATACAGATCATGTGGTACAAGTTTAAATACGTAATAACATCGCTCACCACTTTTGTCAAGGGTTCGTCAAAGCTTGAGAAATGGCTCCCACATAGGTCCTCTACCATAAACACTTTGGATGCTTGACTGAAGCCTTGACTAGTGTAATCTTGATCAAACAACCTCTAAGCAACACTGAACACAAGGTTATGAATCAAGCAAAATAACGCTTACGGCAGAAATTCTGCTGCATTGTTACTTTTAACAAAGGAACTACAAATGTATGTTTGTATGTATGTGTGTATATATGTGAGTCCAGATATTTCTTCTTGCCAAATCTTCTTTATGTCTGCACAAGATCTTTCGCCGTTCAACGGCTCTTCAGGTGTACAATGAAAGCTGAGTGTCGTCATAGGCGACACATAACGGTAATAGCTATGTCTTCATCATGCGTATGACCTTAAGCAGTTAGTGACAATAGACTACGTTTTACGTCTCCCGCTATTGTCACTAACTGCATACGCATGATAACAACATAGCTATTACCGATATATATATACAACACAGTAAGGTAAACAGATTAATATCAGCTACTGCCTGACACATCTCAGTCTAGGGCAAAATTGATGGACACCATACTGCATGGAACTAGAGGGACAAGATACGCAGCACTTTCACACAACACTGTGTGGCATGACATATGATAATAGAATAATATGTAACGACGAAAAATAACACAAAGCTGTGAAACAACACACCATCAGAAATCACAGGATCACAAACTCTGTGTAACAACACGAAATATGCAATACTATGAAACAGCATAAGATCTGCAACACTGCATAACACAAGATAACACCGTGAAACATCATACGATATGCAAAGTTGCATGACACAAGTTACGCAACACCGTGAAACATCATACGATATGCAGCACTGTGTGAAACAACATACGATATGCAACACTGGGTGACACAAGATAACACAACACCGTGAAACGTCATACGATAGCAGCACCGCGTAAAACGTCATACGATATGCAGCACTGTGTGACACAAGATAACACAACACTGTGAAACAATATACGATATGCAACACTGCGTGACACAAGATCACCGCCGATAACAGCACACCACGATGCAGTGTGGAACAACATGAAACAACAACACAACAGCTTAGGAAAACATGTCTCAAAGCATTGTAACATTATGACATCCCCGGAACATCCGGGCACTACCCAGAACAACAAACTGTGACGAAAAAACAACATGGCACATAATATAACAATCGGAGACATAAACCATGAATGACATGAGTGAGTGAGTGAGTTAACATTTAAAGTCACATCGGCAATATTTCAGCCATATCTTGACTACAAAATATATCTATTAATAAAGGATAACTTAGATAAAATAAACACCAGTCAATGACAGTAAAATCACCAGATATAACATAATTTATTTTAAAACTGGAACGTAGCCATAAAAATATAGTACTCCCAGAAATTATTGAGAAAGTTGTTTCGCCAAAAATCTAATACATGTACATGTATATACTATTGAAGTTTTACTAAAATGATTATGTTGAGATATGGTTCTCTTACAGTATAAGTGTCTTTTATGTACTTTGTGAGACCTCCTTGCCCTGCGATGCACGACTGAATGCGCCCAGGTACACTACCGATCAAAGATTGTAGGAAATCGTGTGACAGGGTATCCCAGTATTCGACCACTTCATATCCTCAAGGGGCGACGGGGTAGCCTAATGGTTAAAGCGTTCGCTTGTCACGCCGAAGACCCGGGTTCGATTCCCCACATGGGTACAATGTGTAAAGCCCATTTCTGGTGTCCCCCGCCGTGATATTGCTGGAATATTGCTAAAAGCGGCGTAAAACTTAAGTCACTCACTCACTCATATCCTCAATATTCTCAAAGGTCCTATTTGGTTTATTCTGTATAGGGTTAAGATCTGGGCTGTAGCTGGACCAGTCTAAAACCTGAACATTTTCGTCCGACAACTACTGTCTTCTGTAGCCCGCAGTGTTTCTTTTGGTCGTTATCATGCTGCAAAAAAACAATTATCTTCATACAGTTTTCGGGCCGTTGGAAGGAAGTGACCATTTAAGATGACAACATATCGTTCCTCCGTGAAATTTCCAATAAAATTACATAACGGTGTGACATCATTCACGTGATGATATCCCACCCCAAATGTGAATTTTTGGGCTATGTTGTGGGAGTTGGTAGATAGGTTTCACGGTATGTTTTGTCCAAATTCACACAGTTCGGAAAAAGCCAGATTAAACTTTCATCAGAAAAGAAAACAGTAACCTAATCTTGATTTTCGTGAGCCCTGCACCAGTTTAAACATCTTTCTTTTTGTGCATTGTTCATGAATGGTGAGGGAATTCCGCGCTTTTCCACCCAGTTAAGTCTTTGTAATTCTTGTCTATGGGTTTTATTATATACCCCAGGACTTTCTCTATTAATCAGGGACGGTGGGTTAGGCTAATGGTTAAAGCGTTAGCTCGTCACGCCGAAGACCCGGGTTCGAATCCCTACATGGGTACAATGTGTGAAGCCCATTTCTGGTGTCCCCCGCCGTGATGTTGCTGGAATATTGCTAAAAGCGGCGTAAAACCAAACTCAGTCAGTCGGTCTGTCAGCTCTATTAATCATCTCATTTCTGATATATACTCAACGCTTTTCGATTTTCCCCTATATATACTCACAAGTCTCCGGCGATCCGTAGTACTGAACTTTCTCCTTCAAAGTTCCGTATACTGTAGACAGAGGAATGTCATGTCTACCAGCTAACTCTTTTGCTTTAGTCAGACCCCTTTCAAAATCATCGAGAACCAGCTTTCGTTTCTGTATAATTTCTGGGAAAACTGTATATGACTCTAAACAACAATACAATAGAAAAACGGTAGATTTTATTTGGAGCCTTTTGGAAACAATTCTAATATATTTTTAATATAGTTTATTAAATGAGAACTAACATTTTTTAAAAGGTCCTGGACTTTTTTGACACTGAAATATGTATCCCTTGTCATGCCACATCTCGGAACATCATGCGTCATGACAACAACATGACGCAGCCCCAAACAGAATCTTTCAGCCAAGAAAACACCATGACACAAAACAGAAAGATATACAGAATGAGTGCCTCAACTAAATATCCTCTATTTTTCTGTTCCAGATTATGCATATTTTGTGTCTCTCCAGCGTATGTTTTATGAAGCCTTGATCAAACATTTCAATCCCAACGCAACTGAAACACTCAGCGAGATGAAGATTCAAATGCTGCGAATGCCATACCCACCCTACATCGTTGACGCTATGAGCATCCTGCTACAGTATGTGTTTCCTGTGTTGCTGATGCTCAGCTTCATCCTCATGGCCATCCAGACAACAAAGGGAGTTGTTTATGAGAAGGAAAAAAAACTGAAAGTAAGTTATGTCACAAATGGCTATTTACTTTTGAGTTAACTTCTCATGGTTGTAAATGCAGGATGTACCTCTGGCTCACCTCAGTCCACAATTATATTCATTCCTTTGGACTATTTCTGTCACTGCTGCCAAACTTGAAAATAGTGACATTCGTATTCGTATTCATAATGAATCTTATTCAATTTGAATTTTGATGAGGAATATACCAAGGCCTTACTTAACCGGGACGTCATTCATTGTTTTATGACTGAGTATGTGTTGTATGATGCATTCTCAGTCGTATTCTGATAATGAAGAGAGTACAAATAACTTTAACTTTTACACTGCTAGCACACATACGTAGGCATGTTAACATTTTAAAACGCCCTTGAAAATATAATGTCTTTACATATTTATTAATACCAGTGAATTGACAACGTATGATATCTGTCTTTTGAAGAACGTTATCAAAGAAATATGAGATTTTTTTTCCCAGTGGAAACCTTGCCGATTTACATTTAAACTTACCTAAAATGAATCAAAATTAAGATGAATCTCAGATTCCAACCTGGGATTATAGGGTCCTGGCACACATCACATCCTCTTAGCTTCGTGTGGCAGGAGCAAACCCAACGCTATATTTAAAGGAAGTATAGTAAATATTGGTCACTTGGCCTTAGGCCAACATGCGCTGTCCAGACCTGGTGTCATACTTGGCACAAATATTGAGATAGAACCCACTATAAGCAGATCCTTATAAAGTTAAATGATGCAACTATTTAGACAAATGTGTGATTACACAATGCCATTTACTAAGAAAGTGTAATCCCAAATATAACACATGTTACATGTTAGACAAATGGGGTCTCTTTGCTGCTGGTTAGCAGCACCTGTTCGCACCTTCAGTGATGATCCTTTACCCAAGCTCTATTCATCAAACCACCTTCTGCCCTTTTTAACGTTAAGATCTGACCCAATCATTTCCTACTCCCCAGGAATCTATGAAGCTGATGGGGCTGAGTGCTTCAGCTCACTGGACATCTTGGTTCCTGACCAGCTTTATATATGTGTTGGTCGTGATGGCGCTGTACGTTCTGCTGTGTGGAGTCAACGCAAGTGGAAAAGGAGCAGCTCTGGCCAAATCAGATCCCTCCCTGTTCTTTGTGTTCCTCCTCTGTTACGGCGTCTCCATCATCTCCTACTGCTTCATGATCAGCGTCTTCACGCAAAGAGGTAACGATGCTTCACGACAACAACAATTGCGTATTATATATTTTCGAAAAGAGTATTTGCCCATCATATTCAAAAGCAAATAATACTGTAGAACAGTAACTGAAAGAAGAAAGATGTTCTCAAAATGATACAAACAAATATGTAGTTTGTTGGGTGGGAAACATCAGTAGATGTCACTGAAAGTGATAGAAAGATCATACTAGTAAATTTTAATGTTCTGATATTGAATATTAAAGCTATATACTTGTATTTAATAATACGTTTACATGCGGTTGTTTAATTTTTCCTTTTTTTTGTTCTTTGACATATATCACCAAGGCCATGTTATATTTTTTATAATAATATTTTCAGCAAACATCGGAGCAGCCGTCAGTGGAATCATGTTCTTTGTGTCCTACTGCCCGTACTTCTATCTTGCTATCATATACCAAAACATGTCGAGGCCAGCTAAACTGGCTTCCTGTCTCTTGTTCAACGTGGGAATGGCGTTTGGTGCAAATGTTATATCACTTTATGAAGGAGCTGGTATGTTTCGTTCATCCTTGCGTGAGTAATTTGGGTTTTACGCTGCATTTAGCAATATTCCAGCAATACCACGGCGAAGACAACAGAAAATGTCAACACCCGTAGATGTGGGGAATTCAGTGTGATGGACAAATGCTTTATCACTAGGGTGCACCACTGCTGATCATCCATTTCCAAATAAAATTATGTATGGATATGCATAAACTAAGGATATGACACAGTTACGCATCCTTCCTAAAATGTGTTTAGGTTTAAATATTTTGTAAATTCGAAAATTGCTGAATCTCAGCGTAATTGTATGTCTTTTATAAAATGGAAAAAAATTGTAGTTACCGACGATTTATATATGGCAGAAAACAAACAGAAGAACGACTGAGTCGGTAATTAACAATCCTCTTTAAGGGCTAAAGGACGTGCTGTATTATTGACTGTTAACGCCTGATAGGGTACTGTCTGCGTCTTTGATCTTTAAGCGAGGCATCTTAGAATTGTTTCCTCCGGCCAAAATAGTACATATGTAATACACATACATCCTCAGAAACCATTAGAAAGTATATGACAGTAATTACACAAGAGTTCACATCACCTCTTACGATTATACTTCTAAGTTTATACTTGTTTAAATATGTAGGCACAGGTGCGCAGTGGTCAAATTTCCATGAGCCTGCTACTGTGGATGACAACTTTTCCTTGCTGGACGCCATGTTGATGTTGCTAGGCGACACAGCAATCCACCTCCTCATCACCTGGTATCTGGACAATGTCTGGCCAGGAGAGTCTGGTGTACCGAAACCATTCTACTTCCCATTCACCGTAAGGGTTTATGACAAAGAAAGTTGCCATTTCACTACCTGAATCTCTCCAGTATTTTCAATGTCCAATTTTCTTCGTCAGTTGTTTGATCAAGGTTACAACATTCAATGCCTCAATTTCCTATTTTGATTTATACCATACGTTCCCGAATTATTGTCAGGTGACCGATTGACTAGGCCTTTCACCTTTTCGCGAACACCTGGTATCATCACTATCTCATAGTGATTCATAAACACATGCTATGTCATCGTATCGCATGGTGACAATCACTGGGTTGTCTGGTTCAGACTCAATTTGTTTACAAACATCATCGTACAGCTGTAATACTGCTGAAACAGATATATACTCAGGATAAAATCACAATTGTACAATTGACTCTTGCTTTTAGCAGAGATTTCTTATGGATAGGGAAGGGGTTTTGTCGCTTCTATTTAGTAGAAATCGTTATTCGCTGATAGTGCAAACTAAAATTAACCTGAATACCTACGTTACTTTGACGCGTTTAATTTTTTAGGTTTTGCACATTTGAAAATGCGTTTGAACTTTTACATTTCTCGTTAAGTTATATTAAGAAACAGAGCTAGTTCGAAGGCACTTTTACGCTCACATTTGTGATACCAGGGCTCTTACTGGTGTGGAACTAAACAGAGGAATGCTGATCTTTCAAGCAGTCAGAGCTTGGATGAGAAGCACTTTGAAAAGGAACCAAGTGGTATGAAGATTGGAATAGCCATCCAAAACCTCAGAAAGGTGTGGATTGGATGATAAACTTTGGATGATATGAATAACATGTTTTTCAGTCTTAAATATTAGACCAATATAAATTATTCTAAAATATGAGAGAGAACCATAAATTATTAGAAGATCGCAAGTATAAGCTGTTTTTCTTAAATCAGTGCAAACTAGTTTGAAAGCTGAAAAAGTCATACGCACAACTCACATACTAAGCATTAGGAGACTATATAAATGTTCTAATCGACGTCTCTGACGGTGTGTCTTCCGAAGGTTTTCGGATCTGGGGCGAAACAAAAGACAGCCGTGGATGGGATGAGTCTCAACATGTTTGAGGGTCAGATCTCTGTTCTCCTGGGTCACAACGGCGCTGGAAAAACTACAACCATGTCTGTTCTTACAGGTATATGTCTCTGTGATTCTAGGTTGTATATTGTTTTGTTGTATTTTTTTGTTTAGTTTTTTTGGTTGTTTAGTTTTTTGCTTCTTTATCTGTGTGTTAATGTGCGTTCGCTTTGTGTCTGCGTATGTGTGTGTGTGTCTGCGTGCGTGTGTTAGTGCGTGTGCGCGTGCGTGCGTGTCAAATACCCACGAACAGATTGAATTTTGATATTTCTAAAGTATACAAAAAGTAGGCTGATATATCTCTTACAAATGTATGCGATACTTGTGTCACGATTCAAGGTTTCATTCCTGCATCTGGAGGCACCGCCATTGTGAACGGCTACGACATCAACAACGACATCCAGAGTGTCCGGCAGAGTCTAGGCTTGTGTCCTCAACACAACATCCTGTTTGACAGTCTGACTGTCCAGGAACATCTGGAACTGTTTGCAAGTGTAGGTGTCGTTTTCCTTCATTGTACTTCATGATCAAAATCCTAAACAATATGCGTAGATATGTTTGTAGTTAATAAATTGGGTTTGGATGTGGCTGTAAATTTCCTAGTCTACATCGGATAATCAAGGTCGACATCGTGAACATTGATCCAACTCGTGTCACCGCAAATATGTCATGCCATTCTAACTATAGATTTTAAAAATCATCTTTTAGTGTGATTTGTCTTTGGTTACACCATATGATGAACGTACTCCATCATTTTTTGAGAGATTTGGAGATCGTTTAAATCCAGCTAGAGTTCATACAGGTAGGAAAAGCACTGTAAGTTCCCATGGTCTCTATGGTGATCTACCTTCAGTTGTTTGTTGGCGATCTTCAGTCTACTATATTTTTATGATTGCGAACTAGTTTTAATAGAAATCTTAGTAAATAGTTTTAATATTGATATTACTAGATATGTTTTGTAGTCGTGTAAATCCAATTAGGGTCCATGCAGGTAGCAAAAGTAATGTAAGTCCCCATGGTCCCTAGTTGTTTGCGATCTACAGCCTATTTTTATATGTATTGTCTAAATTGTGCTATTAGTTTTAACTTCACATGCTAGTTTTAAATTCGAACTGTGATAGTCTAATTGTTTTACTGTCCTTTGACGACGGGTTTTATCATATACACACATTCTTTATAATCGTCAAATTTGTTCTCGTCACGATATGGCTGAAATATTGCCGATGTGACGTTAAATATTATATCAACTCAACTCAACCTTATAATCCAAGAAAGGAATTAAATTAACTGTTCTGTATTGTAGTTGAAAGGTTGTCCGAGCAAAAATGTTGAATCTGACGTTATCGCCATGATGAATGAAGTTGGCTTGAGTCTGAAGAGATTCACCCAGTCTCAACATCTATCTGGAGGACAGAAGAGGAAGCTCTCTGTTGGTATTGCTTTGATTGGAGGATCGAGGGTATGTCATCGGAAGCTTATCAATTCCTTTTCATCGTGAGGGAAACAATAGATAGTTATTGATCATTTTGGCTTGGTTATTCTATTACTATAGTTCATATGAAGATACATACGATTTTAGATTGTGATATTGGATGAGCCGACTTCCGGTATGGATCCTGCAGCCAGAAGACAGACATGGGACATCCTTCAGAGGAACAGACAAGGCCGGACCATGTTGCTGACCACTCACTTCATGGACGAGGCTGACCTTCTCGGTGACCGCATCGCCATCATGACAGAAGGGGTGGTCAAGTGCTGTGGGACATCCTACTTCCTCAAGAAACTCTATGGCATGTACTCTTACACATATAAATCCAGCTAGGGCCCATTCAGGTAGCAAAAGTACTGTAAGTCCCCATGGTCCCTAGTATGGTGATCAGCCTTCAGTTGCTTGAGATCTATAGCCCGTTTTTATATTGAATTGTTGTTCATAGTGATATATTTTTATGATACCGTACTAGTTTTAAATTAAGAGCTATGATACTCTAGTAGTTTTCCTGTCCTTCGATGAAAGTTTTTTTATGATCAAAATTTATTGATTTTAATATTGATATAAATTACATTGTTCTCGTCACGATATGGCTGAAATATTGCCGATGTGTCGTTAAATATTAACTCATTCACTCTTACAAATAAGTCATTTTGGGTGGTGTTCTCTATTACTGAACACGACCTCCTCTTCTAAATCACAGAAGAAAGAATCCGTCATGAGAAAAAGTAAGATTTTTAGGAAGAACACCTTCTACACAAGTCCTATCTTTATGTGAAGGAAACGTAATAAAACATAATACTACAAATAGGTGTGACATACACGAGTGTCTCATTTTTGTGCTAGCTACTAAATGTTCCCTCACCCCCAGGGGCTGGTTACCACCTGGTGATGGTGAAGGAACCCACCTGTCAGGTGGCATCAGTGACGGCAGTTGTCCAGCAGCACGTCCCTACAGCAGTCATGGAGAGCGAGATCAATGCTGAACTCTCCTACCTGCTGCCTGATGACCAGTCAGCCAACTTTGCTGCTCTCTTCAATGAGATTGAAATCCAGAGGGAGGCGCTAGGCATATCTAGCTTTGGTGCAAGTGCAACTACGATGGAGGAAGTGTTTCTAAAGTTTGTACTGTTTATTGTTTGTTAAAACATATTGGGTATGAAGGGTATAGGTGCAATATGTAATCAATAAAGTAATTGTTGACAACATTGCTCAGAATGATGACTGATCTTCTGTCAATATACAGATTTGAATGCTATGACTACTTTGATATATTCAATCATGCAATAGCATCAAGCTTTTCTACCCTTTGCTTACATACAGTACAGAACCTCAACACATTTCTGCACAAATATTACATTGTCGTCAATTTCGTATCTGTTGGACAGAGCTGGTGAGGAGGAACACGAGGAGGATGGAAATGTCAATGACGATTACCCTACAGGATCAAGAAACAATTTGATATCAAGCGGAACAAATGGTTTGAGCAATCGGAGTTATGAACTGAGCGAAACGGCTGATGTATTAGGTAAAGAACAGTTTATTGCGGCAAGATCAATTTAAGGTTAACTGTCTGGTCTTATCATCAATGAGATTTAATATGCAGGACATTCAAAAGTATGGCATTTTCACTTCTATCTGCCTTTGTCAACAGAAGTAGAACATATCCCCTAATCCGAGGCACAAATGTTGTTTGTTTTAAGTATTTAACTACAAAGCCATTTATGTCCACAGATAGCATCAACCTGTTAATATGGTCACTGTGCATTTATTTTATTTATTTTATTTTATTTTATTTTATTTTATTTTATTTTATTTTATTTTATTTTATTTTATTTTATTTTATTTTATTTTATTTTATTTTATTTTATTTTATTTTATTTCAGCATTTAATGAGGGTTTTGAGAAAAAGAGAGGAATACTGTTGGAGTTGTCTCGCTTCAGAGGAATGTTTGTAAAGAAGGCTCTACACACATGGAGGAACAAGAAAATCACCATTGTCCAGCTCCTGTTACCAGTAATTTTTACGATTGCTGCTTTGATTGTGAGCAACGCAGACCACGGGAAGGTGGTCGAGGTTCCATTAACACTAGACTTGGCACCATTCAAAGGCACCTATGTCCCATACGAAGGCGGTACTGAACCACTATCACAGCAATTTTCACAGGCATACCATGATCAATTTCAGGGAACTAAAGACAAACCTGAAATAATGTCGACAAATAATGTGACAACGTATTTATTGTCACAAGCAAAAGACCTTAGTCCGGCATTGTACAATAAGAAAATGATTATTGGAGCACAGTTCACATCCAGCAACGAAGCCATGGGTATTTTTAACGGTCAACCTTACCATAGCATGCCCATTGCTTTGTCTTTCATGATGAACGCATTCCTCAAGAATTTTACATCTCCGGAACATTCCATTACCACAATCAACAACCCACTTCCTCTTGATGATGCACACAATGATATTCAAACAATGTCCTCGGTAGACGCAATTGGCTTTTCTGTGGCTTATTGTATCGTATTTGGCATGGCCTTCCTGGCTTCATCCTTCGTGTACTTCCTCATCAAGGAGAGACTGGTGGGCGCCAAACATCTTCAGACTGTCAGTGGAGTTGGACCGTTTGTCTTCTGGTTCTCCAACCTGGCCTGGGACTACATCAACTACCTGATTCCATCTCTGTTGCTGTTGATTGTGTTTGCTGGGTTCCAGTCTCCAGCATATACAGAAGATGGGAGATTGGGCATCGTGTTCCTCGTCCTTCTGGTGTATGGTTTGGCAGTTCTCCCATTCATGTATGCACTCCAGAATATGTTCAAGTCTCCTCCTACCGGGATGGTTATCATCATCATCATAAATATTCTCACAGGTGCGATTTATGAGATTGTACTAAAATTAAAGTAAGAAAATGTTCATATTTTTGTAGGCTTTTACGGGTAATGGAAGTGATAGTAGTCTTTTAGTAACTGTTTCTTTTGGTGAAGCAAGTTAATGTTGTTGAGTATGGTAGTATTTGTTTTTAATTCTAGTTGTTGTTGTTGTTTTTCTCTAAACAGGCCTTGCAACACTTTTGTCAGTATATATGCTGACTGTCCTTAGAAAGAATTCTGAAGCTGAAGTCGCAGATTGGCTGTTTCTCCTAACTTTTCCTCACTACAATTTTGGCAAGTCATACATGGATATGCAGACCAACTACATGTTCCTCGACGGGTGTAGAAAGAACAACTACCCCTCTGTATGTGCTACATCCTTGGGAGATCCTTGCTGTAAAGGTTGGTTTCCTCAAATCGTTTCATATAAACACCACGTCGAAACACCTATCGTCCTCGTGGTTTGGTAGACTGTCGGGTTTGGTAGACTGTCGTGGTTTGGTAGACTGTCGGTTTTACCTGAAGTCATGGCTATGCATACTATAGAAATGATCCCTAAAAGTATGATCAACTCTGTTCTGTGTTTTCTTATTTTTTATTACCGAAACGTATGTCGACTTCTGCTTCAAATTTTCTGAAACCTTTAAAAAGATTTGTTTATTTTGTTTGATTTCAGACTCATGTGGGGATTACTGTTTTCCATTCACTGAAAACTTCTTGGCGTGGGACTCTCCCGGAGTTGGGCGCTATATTGTGTTCATGCTGCTCCAGTCTGTGGTGTACATGTCTGTGACACTTATTATTGAGTACCAAATACCACAGAGAATCTGGTACGCCTTCAGACCACAGGATACAGAAGAACCACTACCTGGTACGACACCATTCACCGCCATGCAACAGGTTCCAGAGGATGGGGATGTTCTCAGTGAAAGGCATCGTATTGATCAACTTCCCATTGAAGAATGGAACTCAGATGCACTGGTCCTGAAGGATCTTTACAAACGATACGGGAACTTCGTTGCTGTTGATAATCTGAGTGTGGGCATTCCAGAGAAGGAGTGTTTTGGTCTCCTTGGACAAAACGGAGCAGGAAAAACAACAACTTTCAAAATGATTACTGGAGATGTGATGCTGACAAATGGCAATGTTTTCTTGAAGTCCTTTGACATCAAGACACACCCCCAGAAGGTAATTCAGACCTTTAATATCAGGTAGGCAGTGTTGTATCCGAACTTCTAGTAAACCTCTTCTTGGTGTAATGAAGAGTCCTTTCAATGAATATAGCTTTTTATCCATATTTGTATTACACTATTTCAGCGCAGTGGGTTTGTGTTAGTAAATCTCTGGGACGGTGGGGTAACCTAATGGTTAAAGCGTCCACTCGTCCAGCCGAAGACCCGGGTTCGATTCCCCACATGGGTACAATGTGTGAAGCCAATTCCTGGTGTCCCCCGCCGTAATATTGCTGGAATATTGCTAAAAGTGGCGTAAAACCATACTCACCCACTCACTAGTAGATCTCTATTGGGTTAAAGGTTTATTGTGCATATAGTATAATATATACTGAGTCAAAAAAGAAACTTCACAAAATGTAATTTGAAAAATAATGAATAATGTTTCTCTGATGATACATTTATGTATCCGAAATGGGTTCCCTATCTGTCGACTCTAGAAAAACGTTAGCAAAACCCACTCAAACCCATCCATTCCTCGTGCAAATGACGTTAGTGCCAAATCAGGTTTTGCACGTGCAGTCGATCACGTGATCTTCGCATCGAAGTTTTCTTCATATGCACGTGTTTGCATTGGCCTCAAGAATTGAAAAAAACACTTTTAAACCACAGTTCTAACGGTACTTGAAATGCCACGATGGTCAAATGTGCCGTTGGCATGTTGCAAGCGGGAAGATCAGTTATTGACGTCGCAAGAGCAATGGGATGCAGCCGTCGTACTGTGTATGACTTGCGAGGTCGTCTACAACAAACTGGCACCACTTCTGATCGCCTAAGGTCGGGTCGTCCACGTGTGACGTCACGAGCAGAAGACCGTCAAATCGTCCTACGTCACCTACGTGACAGATTTCTGCCGGCTACACGAACCAGGGCTGAGATGTTTAGAGGTCGACTGTCCTCACAGACCATTCGAAATCGGTTGCGGGCTGCCAATCTCCATTCTCGACGTCCATATCGTGGGCCAATATTGACGCCGTTTCATCAACGTCAACGTCTGCTGTGGGCTCAACGTCACCTCCGATTGACCCAGAGAGGCTGGAATCGAGTCGTCTTTAGCGATGAATCCAGGTTTACCCTCAGATTCGCGGACGGCAGGCATAGAGTCTGGAGACGACGTCGTGAACGATATGCCCACTGTTGTGTACAGGAAGTCGACAGATTCGGGGGCGGAAGTTGCATGGTTTGGGGTGCTTTCTGTGGGAACAACCGTTCACGACTTATGGTCAACCATGGAAACCTCACAGCTGCTGCTTACCGCGACCAGGTGCTCACCCTGAACTCGTTCCTTTCATGGCGGCTCATTGCCCAGGTCTACAGTTCCAGCATGATAATGCTCGGCTGCATACCGCGATGTTGACACGAAATTTCCTTCAAAACGCAGGAATCAACGTCATGGACTGGCCATCGAGGTCCCCTGACCTTAATCCAATAGAGCACGTTTGGGATGCACTTGGGAGAAGGCTTCTTGGTCTTAGGAACCAACCTCAGAATTTGCAGGAACTTGGCGCTGCCTTGCAAGGGCAATGGCGCAGAATCCCCAACCACGTGTTCACAAGCATCAGGCAGTCGATGAGGAGATGGTGTTTGGCAGTGGTGAATGCGCGGGGCGGCCATACACGATATTGAACTGAGAAATTTCGCATTTTTATTCTTGTGACTTGGAACTGATTATGGCACTGTCAGTGTATCGAGTACATCACACAGATCGCAGCAATGAAATAATAACAATTTAACCATCATACCATCTCTTGTTCTTTTATAGTGCCCTGAAGAAAGAAAGTTTCTTCTTTTGACTCAGTATAATAAGTACTGCCCAGGTATGGTAGTTTCCTGATGTATAAATATATTGCCCTCATTTGGTAGCTTCTTGTATCTGTTTTCAAAAACACAGTATATTTATTATATACTGAACCACAAAAGAAATGTCGCACCGATAGCGGTTTCTTAAAGCACACACTTTAATTCACTCTATTTAACAATCAAAACGGAGGATTGAGTTCAAGCTTGGCAATTATGGTTAAAACATTTTTGGGAATCCCAGTTAGAGTTCACACAAGCAAAATCACCAAAAATGGTACCATTATCATACCCGAAAGTCAGTATTGTGTGTGGCCTCCATGGGCATCGATGAAAGCGCTGCATCGTCTGTACATGGAATGAATAAACCGCTTCATGAAGGCCATAGGCACCATAGGGTCCATACTCTGCGAAATGCCTGATCGAGTCCTGCCGCAGTTGTCGGGCCTCGGTTGAGGGCCATTCAAGTTTCTTTGAATCTTGTCGCAAAGGTGTTCTAATGGACATAAATCCAGTGCAGGCTATTGTAGGGTTTGGAAGTCTTGGGAAGTCCAATGTTGCTCTGGCAGTGTGGGCACGTGCGTTGTCTTACTTGAAGATGTAATTTCTGTAACGTCCAAAATGTGGTACAACGTGGGGTCTTATGGCTTGGTGAAAATAGCGAGCAGCTGTCACATCATTTCCTCATCCTGGACCAAGATTCTTGAACATCATGGTGTCAACTGATTGGTTCAGACCGATTACACCCCACACCATGATGCTTGGGCCACCCCACGAGCCTCTTTCAACAATACTCTCATTGGAAAACAGTTCCCCACGCCTTCACCATACGTTCACTCTGCCATCGACTGTCGATACACAATATCGGCTTTCATGAGACAAAACCACAGTTCTGCATTGTTGATAACGCCAGTTTCGATACTGAGTTGCCCATTTCGGTTGGTTTGGGCGGTGATGAGCGGTGAGGAGAGGACTACGATATGATCTGCGACAGCAGAGGTTTCTTCCGCGTAAACGTCGACACACTATTTCGGCACTGTTGGGTGTGTTGGGAGTCCCAATGGTCTGGCGTGCTGTTTCCGTCGCTCTGGGGAAGATGGTTGCGCACGGTCTGTCGGTCTTGGCGTCGTGGTATTACTGAAGGTCGCCAACTGCATGGACGGTCTTGGATGCTGTTGGTGACCTGATACCACTCCTGCAGTCGGTAGATTGTCGTAACATGAACATTAAAATGATTGGCTGACCTCCGTGCAGTCTAGACAACTTGCAGTCGTCCCCAGACTTGGTTTCTCTGATCTCTCGTAAGTCGTGGCACGGTGATTGTGTCAAAACAAAAATGATTTCTGGTGAGTTTGGGACTCGCTTTCATTGGTAGGGTGTCACGGCATGCACGTGCATGTTCATTTTCAGGAGTGTCAGACGTAACATTTTACCATGTCTGCCTTTTTCTGTATGTTTGGTCTTTATGCTTTTTCATCAGAAAACCCAATGATGTTGTTAATAACTGTCAATTTGGAATGAAAAACATGTTAACAAAACGGTACAATCATAAGAAAAACACCATTCATAAGAACAAGATGTTGCATTTGATTTTTAAAGGCGACTTTTCTTTTGTGGTTCAGCATATTTTGACCTGTTGACCTATTTTTTCAAAGCTTCCATAACATATTGATTTGCAGTTCATTGATATAAGTTCATAAATAATTTGCAATGTTCATGAGGCTTGGCGGATAAGAATCTTGGCGATTGAAACACAGTGAAATAGACATCCGACCGTCAATATTTCAAATGCATGCATGCGTGTGTGTGTATTCCTTTATGCGGGAATGCGCGTGTGGGTCTGTATATGACTATGTATGTCAGTACGTGTTTGAAATAATAATGACGTGCATAGTATGTAGATGCCAGAGTAGATGCACAATAGATGGATAACACAGGTAGCAGAGACTTGTTGCTTGTACATTCCCGAGTTGACCACAAGACTCACTCCTAGTAGTGGTATATATGTGACCCGTCACATTCGTCACGTGTTACACTTTATCCACTCATTCACACTCACTCAGTGATAATAAATGGGTCAACACCAAATGTAAGTCAAGTTTATAAGAACCTTTACATAGTAGGTGAACATTATGTCATTTCCAGGTGAACAATTGACTCGCCTAATCGTGTGTTTATGACGGGTGTCATCGGTTGTGCGGGATATGCCCACTCATGGCGTCATCGCTCTTTGAGAGTGCTTCACAAACATATGATCAAGATATAGTCAAAATCGTACAATCGACGCAGCACTGGCACAGATTTATTATGGATGTTAAAAAGATTTTCTTGCCATGATTTTTCAAATTTAACATTTCATAGTCTTAAATATTCAATAATAAAAGCGTGGAAAAGCCATATTGAATATATCTGTTGAATGCAAATCTGTTGTACGATTGACAAGTGTTTATGACTAAAGCAGGTCCGCATGTTTTATCAAATATTAGATCTGAGTGGGGTTGACACAGTTGCAATCTTCATCACAGGTGCAGGAGAACATGGGCTATTGTCCCCAGTTTGATGCCCTGATTGAACAGATGACCGGACGAGAGACTCTCACCATGTACGCCAGACTCAAAGGGGTGCCGGAGAACAGCATTAAGGGCGTGTGTGATCATCTACTAGATATCTTAATGTTCAAGCAATATTCAGACAAACCAACATCCGAATACAGGTGAGGTTCACATACATGATGAATATGTCGAATCATTTTATATCTTTTGAACGGACATATTTCGGATACTTTATGTGATTTGTAAGATCTCACAGAATGATTTGCCATGGTCTCTGATGTTCCTGCTTCATGGTATAAACCTAGAATGGTGTATAATGCATTGGTTTGTACGTTCAGAACATAATCCATGTACTTTGATGATTTCAAGTGGTGGTAACAAGCGTAAACTGAGCACCGCCATCGCTCTGATTGGAGACCCGGCCTTCATCATGTTGGATGAGCCGTCCACGGGGATGGACCCCAAGGCCAGGAGGCAGCTCTGGAACGTCCTGTCTCAAGTACGAGAACGTGGAAGGACACTCGTTCTCACGTCTCACAGGTTAGTGAAATGATCATACAAACGTATATGATGGAACAAACTTTTACGCAATGTCTGTTTATCCTAAAAATTAACCTACACATAAACTGGATTCATGATGTTTCAGCATGGAAGAATGTGACGCTCTGTGTACAAGAATTGCCATCATGGTGAATGGAAGATTCGTCTGTCTAGGAACACCACAACATTTGAAGACCAAATTCGGTCAGGGCTACACGCTGATAGCCAGGATGAAAACAGTTGAAACCGAACCAGGAGTATCAGAGGAGACAGCTCCCGCTTCAACGGAACCTCTGGTGAACTTCATCAAATCAACCTATCCTGACACCAAGGTGTTCGACGACCATCAGGGCTATGTTCACTTCCAAGTTCCTTACAACTCTGTCAGTCTCGCTCAGATCTTCACCGTGATGGAACAGTCCAAGGTGCAGTTCTCTGTCGAGGACTATTCAGTTCACCAAACAACCCTCGAACAAGTGTTCCTCTCATTTACACGTGCGCAGATTCCACCAAAGGAGGACAAAACAAGCTTTTGCAAGAGAATATGTTGCTGTTAGTTAGTATAATGAATATTTGTACGAACACAAATATTTGAATCTGAAAAGACAAGTTTGGTAATTTATATACAGCGTATGTGGTATAAAGTATGTGGTATGTGTATATACACGTGTCATAAAGGAGTGAGTGAGTGAATGAGTATGGTTTTACGCCGCTTTTAGCAATATCCCAGCAATAGCACGGCGGGGAACATCAGAAATGGGCTTCACACCAAGTACACTCCCTGGTTGATAAAGTTGATGTACATACGTTGTGTCTACATCGCTTAGGTGAACATTTATACCAGACGTGAATACGTACAGTATATAATGCCCATGGATCAGAAATATGGGGCTGCCATTAAGCGGGTCAAAAACATTTTTTGTGTACAATATCTTGACACATCAATGAATAACTCAGCACAATTTCAAAACATTACGTGAACGTTTGCAGTCCATTCAGACTCTTGACTTCAATATCTAGTGTGACCACAACGAGCGGCAATAACTGCAGCACAACGTCTATGCATGGAGTGCACCAATCGATTGATGTAGGTCATTGGCACCTTGAACCACACTCTGAGAAAGGCCTGGCGCAATAAATCGGCTGTGTTTGGCCTGGGTATGACATTATTCAGTCTCCTCTGAATTTCACCCCAAAGATGTTCAATTTGGTTTAATCAGAACTAAGGGCTGGCCATTGCAATGTCTGTTTATAGGTATGCTTTAGTCATGTACCTCAGAATAGGTAATGATACCGTTATGCTGTAGGAAGTCCCGTGTAGCCCTGGCAGTATGGGCCCGGGAGTCATCATGCTGGAAAATGTTGTTCCGGTGACGTGCGAATTGTGGTATGATGTGGGGTCTGAGAGCTTGGTCGCTGTAGCGCACCGCTGTGATGCCCCTCCTCTCCCTGGACCAAGGTTCTGGAACACCACAGGACCCATTCTCTGGTTCAGGCCTATTCCACCCCATACCATGATGTCATCCTAGTGCCGGCTTCCTCTGAGCTGAGTAGCGGCATCCTGCTGACGTTGTACTGTGAATGTTTCAACCAGGTTTGGGGGTGCATTTCATAGGGCTTGTCCTTGTGAACAGCACATGCAGCATGAGTTGCATGAAAAACATGGAGAACACCGTACCATCTCCGAGATCAGGTTGCGTTTTTGAGACCATTTCCTGGGTTCCATTCTGAGTTTGGGAAGGAATGTCTTTGCTCAGGTAGAGTTGGAGATTTTGATCAAAACATTAAATGAGTTTACAGTTATCCGTTTCTGCGAAGGAAAATTCCAAACTGACGTTTCATTTGCTGCTTAATTAGTATATATAAATTGTTATTAAATCTAGATGAAGTCGATCGTGTGTCACGGGTAACTCATTTGAAGAATATACTTTTTGAAAATGGATTTAGATACTGTTGGATAGCTCAAGATGTTGGAAATATGGATTATATTCATTTTGACTTCAAACAACGCCTGACAGCCTGATCTTTTCAACGTTGGCACAACTCTATAAATGCCCTTTCTAAATTTACTGCCTTTGCGATTTGTATTGGATGTCGAACTTTACCTGCTTCACATTGAAAACTTAACTTTTCGTCGATTGCTCACAAGATTCAGATGTTGATGTCATCACCTACAGACTGAAACAGGAAGACACATTGGGCTAGATCCAGAAAGGTGATTATGTAAATACTATCTACATGGAAACGACTTTGTGGAATATGAATACCATTTCTTATTGGTATGCCCGGCATATCTACAACTCCCAATCAGATACCTACCTCAAAAGTACTACCTGAATCCAAGCAAAACAAGTTTCGTGAATCTGATGTCAACGAAAAGCATAATAACAATTACAAACTTATCCAAATTTATTTACCATGCTCCAAAACTCCAAATGCCATGTATATGAATGTATGCATGCGTGTTGTACATGTATATGTGCGATATTTGCATGCATTTATGGGTTGCATGTATGTGTATAGGTACATATATGTGTGTATGTAGATATGTGTTACATGCACATGAATAGCCTATATGTGTGTGTGATGTACAAACATGATGTGTACGCAAGACATGTAAATGTATGTTTGTATGTATGTGTGTGCGTGCGTGCGTATATGTATGTATGTATTTATGTATGTATGTATGTATGTATGTATGTATGTATGTATGTATGTATGTATGTATGTATGTATGTATGTATGTATGTATGTATGTATGTATGTATGTATGTATGTATGTATGTATGTATGTAATTGTTATATGTGTATTACAACTGTATGTTATGTCAACTATTTATGTTTTGTTACATACCTATTTATACTTATTGTTATATGTATTTCAAATGTATGTCATATGGGCATGTGGCCTCTGACTGAAGAAATAAATTTTATAAATACCACTCTATAATTTGTAATTTGCTTTTGTGATATTTACTACGACAGTGACCTGTTCACGTTTCCGGGAAAGCCAAGAGATATAATTACGTTTAACGAGTCAAGAAACAACTTATAATCTCTGCTGAACTTACGACATTCATATACTGAATGGACGTTTTGCCTTTACGGGACACTGGCTTGCTTCGCCAATACAGAGACCAGTACCACTTTGTTGTTTTACAGATATGTTCAACTCCATATATGATTTTACGTTCACGCACTTTCCGATCACATGTAATCTGAAATGTGTGTACTCGGAGACGAAACGGGTAATATTTCATTACAGGGATTTAAATGGCTTCCCCAGAGCGTGATGCTGACACAGAGTCTTAAATCAACAGACTGCAGACTTTCACAAGACGCTGAATCATCCAAATCAGTTTGGACACTGACTGCAATAATTCAGCTTTGTGCTAAAGAAAGTGCTATGGCTAACAGTAACAATTTTGTTATATAAGGATGCTAGGTGTAATGTGTGTAGATGTGTCATAATGGTTATTGAGATTTTACCGTGGTGTTCTTTTTAAAGTCTCTAGACATTTCCTTGAGGTATTTTTTCTGTCTACTGTGATTGACAATGTTAAATGCAGAACTGGATGCACAGTCAGATTTCCTTCATATGGACCAATTGTACAAAGAGATTTTGGTGAAGAAAAATTCATCGCGGAGTATCATTTGTATGTAGGGTCTGTGCAGATGTAAATATTTGGGTTTTAATAAATATATAATGTTTCTTCTTCTTTCTTTCAACCATCATTGTCTTTAGGTTTGACACTAATAATACAAATTACAGTCCGTTTGATTTCATTTGAGATCGAGGAATTGATTACACCCACCCAAACGGATTATAGTTAATTCCTATTTCTTCATATTCTGGAGGGGCGGTGGGGTAACCTAGTGGTTAAAGCGTTCGCTCGTCACGGGTTTGATTCCCCACATAGGTACAATGTGTGAAGCCCATTTCTGGTGTACCCACCGTGACATTGCTTGATTATTGCTCAAAGCGGCGTAAAACTAAACACACTCACTCATATACTGGACATATTGAAAACATCAGACTTTCGAAATTAGTTGCAGAATAAACACAACGATGCAAAAATAATTAACTTTATTAAAATCTGTATACTGTGCATAATGGGTGTGGAAACAACACCCGAACTTCGTTAGAAACATGCGTAAATATACAGACTGAATATTCCATGAATACTAATATGTCCATCTTTATCATAGAATAGGCAGGCAACGACTTTGAATACCTGATTCAATCAGACCATTCTTGGCAATACTTTAAATCGTTGCTTAAACGTTTTAGGAACATATTTGTATCTCCAACATATTTGGCATATCTAAAATCACGGGAAAACGAATACCTGAGACACAGGTTATACCGACAGAGTCAGAAAGGTATTTAAGGAAATAGTAGAGCATGGTTTAGAGGATCGTGCATCTGGTTCGCTAAGCAAACGTATCCAGTAACTCTACATTGATACTTTACAAATATCGGGCACCTTCCGCTACCGTCAGAGTAAGGCATCTAACCTCCATCACATAAAGTCAGTAATCTAACCCACTCAGCCATCGCCGCTTCCGCAAGAATGAAGTCTGACAGCTGGTTGTCTTGACTTTGTTTAACCCTCATATCACGGTTGCCAAGGCCGAAGTTACGAATGCTCATTGCCTTTTCGAAAGAGGTAGAATGTAGCGTCTGTTATTTGGTGCTTACACTTTCTCGGTTTAGTACAGTCTGCTATTAACGTACAAAAATAGGAATACTTTTCGCGAAATTAAGGAACACAAATGTCCTACAGCACCAATGTAATCATTTTATTACTTTGTTGCCTTTAGATGCGGGAAATTAGGAGATCACAATATATTTATATTTGCTTGCTGTTTACTACTGCGGGGCGGTGGGGTAGCCTAATGGTTAAAGCGTTGGCTCGTCACGCCGAAGGGCCGGGTTCGAATCCCCACATGGGCACAATGTGTGAAGCCCATTTCTGGTGTCCCCCGCCGTGATGTTGCTGGAATATTGCTAAAAGTGGCGTAAAACCAAAACTCAGTCAGTCAGTCAGTTTACTGCTGCACTTGTATAAGCATCATGAAGGAAACCTGTGTACAAAGTGCTTCACATAACGGACAGAAGAATACGCACACGTCTGTTTCTCTGACGTTGTTAAGGATCTGGGTGTCTACATCGACTCTTCCTTGACTCTGGATGCTCATGTTAGCCGCCTGACCAGGACCTGCTACTTTCACCTAAGATCCATTGGTAACATTCGGCAATACCTGACAACTGCTGCAACTCAAGCCCTTGTTCGAGCTCTTGGTACATCAAGGCTTGGCTACTGTAACAGCATCCTTTCAGGCCTCAGTTCTAAACTCCTTGATAAGCTTCAGGAGATCCAAAACGCTTCCGCCCGCATCATCAGCAAGACTTCTAAACGTTCCCATATAACACCGGTGTTGAAAGAACTGCATTGGCTGCCGGTTAGGGCCAGAATTGACTTAAGATCCTCTGTCTGACATACAAGTGCCTCCATGGTTTGGCTCCCTCCTACTTGTCTGAGCTGATACATCCGTATGTCCCCGCACGCAACTTGCGCTCAAACACACTAAATCGACTGGTCATCCCATCCTACAAACTGAAATCCTTTGGATACCGATCGTTCTCTTACTCGGCACCTGTGCTTTGGAACTCTCTCCCATGTGCCATTAAAAGCTCTGACACAATTGACATTTTTAAGTCCAGACTTAAAACCCACCTTTTCTCAGTATATTACGTATAATTTCAGCTGTAAATACTCCAATGTAAACATTCTGTAGCCCTTTGAGCATGCCTTAGGGTGCGGAAAGGGCGCATTATGAATATGCATTTAATATTTATTATAATACAGCAGAGTACTTTGCTGTTAAAATAATAATTATAGCGTTTGCCCGCCTGTTGTAAAGTTATGCATCTGAGGAGAGTTTGCGAATAGTTCTTCACGGTGCATTGGACCGAAGAATATTCATCAAACGTTATTTAAAATATATCCGGAATATATGCACAAACACATAACACGTTAATACTATCTGGTTATCTATCACTCACCAAATGGGTTGATGTAGCAACGCATACGATTATAGCGATAGGTAACGTATGACCTGCCACAAATGCAAATTTATTTTGGGTTCATATTACCAAACCCCTGATAGATTGATAGTGGTATGGCTTTGTGTATGAGCTGTATCAAAGGTCATCAATAACAACAGTACTTCTTATCGTGAATTTAAGAAATTCATTGGCAAAAAGCATGGACAGTCAGGTGCCATGTTGGAATCGAGCCACTGGCGGAACGCCCACTGATCTAGACTATGCCTAAGGCCCCCTTTACACAGGACGGCGACCGCTCTGCCTTCTCTCTGCGTTCTAAAAATCACCAGGACGCACAACGGTCGCCAAACCTTTGTTTCAGTGTAACTGCTCCGGCGTCCCTTGTGCCTTTCTTGTACGACCTAAGCTGCCAATTTATGACATTTCAGTGGCGTTCTTTGAGCGTCCTAGGCGTCCTCTCTGCCTTCCGTCTGCCTCCCTCTGCCTTCTCTGTACCATCATATGCAAATAACGGCGTCCGTTCAGCGTTGCTTCTGCGTTCTCGCCGACCGTTGTGCCTTTCTTATGCATTCATTGGCGTTCGCTCTGCCTTCTCTCTGCGTTCTGTGGCGACTGTTTGGCAACCTGCATGCTCTAGTTATATACGTATCTGGCTACGACATTTTATCATTAGTTTCATACGAGCAGGCTAAATGAAATCATCGTATAATGACTTCAGTAAGCATGACTAATGAACTGCGTTTTCAAATAGCCTTTTTGCAAAGTCAACAAGCATTGTTTTTCAACCAGATAGCCATTGCCATCTTAAATAGAAGGATGAAAATTACGAAGAAGAAGAAGATTGAGAACCCTGTGGGTCCGCTCACGGTTGATGCAACAGAGACAGTTGCAATTCGGGGACTACAACCAACTAATGCAAGAACTGGGTCTTGCGTAACGTTGGATGCGTGAAAGTCTTTGACAGCTTGACTCCTGAGAGTTTCTAGGACTTCAGTCCTGCCCAACAACGAAGCACATGTGATACATGTGGTCTCATCTTAGGCAAGTGGGTTTGTTTAAACTTGCCTCTGTTCACCCAGCAGAAAATGGGTACCTGGTGGTATAGTTCTATCCCTAATGACTATCTCCTTCCGTGACCTTCCCAGCTATGACTATTGTATTAAATTGAATGTATTGTATTGTATTTAAAATTGGTATTGAAGACGACCCGTTTTCCATGCCGTGCATCTTCTGGCATTTGTCAATATGGAACAAAGCAGGCCAGTGATTGTATCAGAAAGTTTTACTACCATCTGAGAAATATTTGCATCCGACTCACCGAATCAATCACACCAGCTCTAATGAGATCGCTCATTCCACACAACATTGATTATTTTAAGAGGTTTCTTACTTGGGCCATGTTCGAAGTGGTCAAGTGTTAGAAACTATTGCCCGAGACACCCGGGTTCGATTTCCCACAAAGCGTGAAGTCACTCACCCACTCACTCACTCACTCACTCACTCACATATCATCAGAACATATACTGTACCTTGATTACAAAACATCCAGATTAATACTCCCCAGACACACGATAAACTTCACGATATTGTCATTGGCGCACCAAGGTTTTCACGCAAGATCCTGCGTACCCATGTGACCTGTGACCCAAGCCACTTTAAGAAGGTGTTGCTCTATCTCCTCGGGGTGTATTGTCAACAGTTTCTAATGATAAAACATTGATCAGATGAATTACCAAATATGGTATGACACAATAACATAACATTTCAAAACTTTATATGAAACTGGGTTACATTTTGTCCGTTAGTGAATCGCACCAGCCGAATAGATCGTGTCGACAATGATATGTTATCAGCAGGTCCTGTTGACACGAGGTCTAATCATTATCTGCTCGTCTGAACATGATTTGGGTGACTCAGTTACTATACATGACTGGCTTGCTATCTGAATCTTAGCTATGTGAATCATAGTTGCTATTAACCGATCATCTTTACAGGTGCGAAACATTTCAGTCTTATTTTTTTCAATATTACATCCAATTTCAGAAATACATATTTTGAGGTGAGGTGAAATTAGGTTTAACGTCGTGCTTGAGAATATTTCGCTCATATGACGACGTGCATGCGTGTGTATGTGTATGTGCGGCTGCTTGTACTAGCCCAGAGATAACATGCCGCAGTGAAGCATGAATACCCCACTCAGACACATTATACTGACTCCGAGCCGACCAGTCCTTGTTGTACCCAGTAATGCCGAGCGCCAGGCAGGGACCAACAAGTACCATATTTTAACGTATTTTGGTATGACGCGGTCGGGGATCGAACCCGCGACCTTCCGCTCTCCGGGCGACATATTTTGAAGGGGTAGCAAAGCTTTTCATAAAAGTGAAAATATATTTAATTCCAATATTCTTTCATTCATTGTACATAGATATTTGATAGTCTACACATTTTGTAACATTGAACACGTGATCTCCGGAACACATGGAGCACCATGTACCACAACCATGAGCTATCCATATATATTTAGATATTTCCTTTTCGGCTTAACCGTCGCCGTATAGCTGGAATATTGCTGAGAGCGGCGTAAAACTAAACTCACTCACTCACTTTTTGGCTTAAATGTAACGTTCTGCATGAACTCTTGATCTTATGGAGGCGGTATCTTCTTCTCAGCTTCCCTCCCATCATCTGACTCAAGCTTATCAGACTCAAGCTATCATCTGACTCAAGCTATCAGACTCAAGCTATCATCTTACTCAAGCTATTATCTGACTCAAGCTATTATCTGACTCAAGCTATCATCTGACTCAAGCTATCATCTGACTCAAGCTATCAGACTCAAGCTATCATCTGGCTCAAGCTATCATCTGACTCAAGCTATTATGTGACTCAAGCTATTATCTGACTCAAGCTATTATCTAAACTCAAGCTATTCATTTATCCTTATCATCCCGAACTGATTCATGCGTTTTCAAAACGGGGAGACAGGTTGGTTTTTGTTTAACGTCGCACCCAGCAATGTTGCAGCTATACGGTGGCGGTCTGTAAATAAGTGAGTCTGGACCACACAATCCAGTGATCATCAGCACGAGCATCGATCCACGTAATTATGATACGATGACATGTGTCAACCAAGTCAGCGAGTTTGAACACCCGATCCCGTTATTCGCTTCTTACGACAGGATCTTTAACGAGTTCTTTTCAGGTACTGGGATAAGTTACAAGGTGGAACATTATCTGATGGGAAGGCCAACATGTGGTTAACCTATATATCATATTCTTAAACTTCTGGAACAGTTGTCCATTTTAGTCATGGGTTACTAGGATCTGTAATGGGTTCCAGGAACAGCTGATAGGAATGGAATGTGTTGATGCTGTGAGAAGAATATTTTCATGCAACATAAAGGTCTAAAAACCTGTTTTCAGTACATAGTTATCCTCAAATACACTTCCATTGAAACACGTTAAATAAGAAATAGAAGTATCAGAATATATATTGTCATGCATATGTTAACAAAAGATATTATAATTCTGTTTCTCACCCTGGTCCTTAACGCCCAAACCAAACATCCTAACACGTTAAAGGCGGCTGTACATGTATGGAAAGATTATATGCCATGATGATTATGAAAATAGCTATACTGGGGAATACCTTTCTGCATCAGAGTTCGTTTGGAGTGATAACGTGGACGAAATCTTGTGTGTGAATACATTATGCTATCCACAAAAGTGCACAATTATTGCAACATCCATCAGCAGCAACAAATTCTCTTGCAAAGGCTAGTTGTGTCCTCCCTCGGTGGAATCTGCGCACGTGTAAATGAGAGGAACACTTGTTCAAGGGTTGTTTGGTGAACTGAATAGTCCTCGACAGAGAACTGCACCTTGGACTGTTCCATCACGGTGAAGATCTGCGCGAGACTGACAGAGTTGTAAGGAACTTGGAAGTGAACATAGCCCTGATGGTCGTCGAACACCTTGGTGTCAGGATAGGTTGATTTGATGAAGTTCACCAGAGATTCTGTTGAAGCAGGAGCTGTCTCCTCTGATACTTCGGGTTCGGTTTCAACTGTTTTCATCCTGGCTATCAGCGTGTAGCCCTGACCGAATTTGGTCTTCAAATGTTGTGGTGTTCCAAGACACACAAATCTTCCATTTACCATGATGGCAATTCTTGTACACAGAGCGTCGCATTCTTCCATGCTGAAAAGATCAGATTCTATGTATTGCTGCATGGCGATTTTCAAGGATTAGATATTTAAGTATAATCGTTAAAAGAAACAAAATGGGATACATGCAAATGGAAACTGGTATCGCAACACCCCATATTTTTCAAAGTTTCAGTATATTAACCATAGCAAAAGAACTTACCCAAACCTCGGTATAATTTACTATCTGGATACACTGACACAAGAGAATAACAAATTGGCAAATCTAAACGCAAAAACAACGAAAAACCGGAATAATTTGTTCTAAAAGCAAACAGGATGCCGTTGTACAAAGCGATCTTATCCCTAAGGTCATCGTAACTCCCATACCTTAATAAAGACTTAAGGTAGTCTTAGCGCTAAGGTGACGTAACTCCCATAACTTAACATAGACTTAAGGAAGTCTTAGCGCTAAGGTGACCGTAACTCCCATACCTTAATATAAACTTAAGGTAGTCTTAGCGCTAAGGTGACGTAACTCCTATAACTTACCATAGACTTAAGGTAGTCTTAGCGCTAAGGTGACCGTAACTCCCATGCCTTAACATAGACTTAAGGTAGTCTTAGCGCTAAGGTGACCGTAACTCCCATACCTTAATATAGACTTAAGGAAGTCTTAGCGCTAAGGTGACCGTAACTCCCATACCTTAACATAGACTTAAGGTAGTCTTAGCGCTAAGGTGACCGTAACTCCCATACCTTAATATAGACTTAAGGTAGTCTTAGCGCTAGGGTTGTGTTGTACAACAGCACCCAGGGCAACAAATTGATTCATTTTGTAGTGTTGATAAATGTGATCATATGACGTTAACAAGTGCGTTCATTCTCACGATTTTGGCATACAATCTTCACAAAATCAATACCCTAGCATAGTGTCAATATCAGGTGTAACTTCGCCAGTTGCAATAACATTCCCGACCCTCCTCTTCCACATTGACGTTGAATGCCGTTGCCCATTCTCATTTGTCTGATCGCTACCTGGTCAAGATTATAGAATGTGAGAGGCAACCCCACATCACCAATGAACCCCCGCCAAAAGACACTTGCTCTGGGATATTCCGTTGTGCATATGCAGCATTTCTGCGGCGCCAAAAACGAGCTCGGCCAGCAGTCACAAAGACAACAAAAATTGACTTTCGTCAGACCCTTCCACATGACCTCAAATTCCAATAATCTTTGTGCGTTTGGATTTTGACGAGGTCCCATAGTTGCTTATCAACAATACCATCAACCGATTTTCCAAGTCATCAAGTTGTGAGGACAGTTTACTGACACTTCATATTTGCTTAATGACGTGTAAACAAATCAAGTTGCACGTGATGCTCGCCTATGATCGGAAAGCAATGCATGGTGCGGCCGAATGGTCAAAGTAAACAAGCATAAATATTATATGAATATAAACGGCTGTATGGATGTTAAACATCATAGGTGTTGCGATACTTTTGTCCATGTGTATATATCAACTTAATTCTTACCTGTGAGACGTAAGCACGAGTGTCCTGCCGCACTCCCGGACCTGTGACAGGACGTTCCAGAGCTGCCTCCTGGCCTTGGGGTCCATCCCCGTGGACGGCTCATCCAGCATGATGAAGGCCGGGTCTCCAACCAGAGCGATGGCGGTGCTCAGTTTACGCTTGTTGCCACCACTGTAGTAATATTTAAAGTACATCCAGTAAGAAAGTACTACATACATGTACAAATTAAGATGTAATCAGAATAATGTTTTCGGCATTGCAACCATTTTTTATCCATAATTAATAGATGTCAATGCTCTTCACCTGTATTCGGATGTTGGTTTGTCTGAATATTGTCTGAGCATCATGATGTCCAGCAGGTTGTCACACACGCCTTTGATGCAGTTCTCCGGCACTCCCTTGAGTCTGGCGTACATGGTGAGAGTCTCTCGTCCGGTCATCTGGTCAATCAGGGCATCAAACTGGGGACAGTAGCCCATGTTCTCCTGCACCTGTGATCAAGTTGTGAAAGTAATAGTATAAGAAATCCACATAGAAGCGACGGCAGATCTTTGTGGAAAGAGCGTAATAGATTGACACAAACGTACTGACTGTCCTTGTCGGTCACTGCTTTCTGATGAATATTAGATGTGAATTTACCTTTTGGGATGTGATTCTTCATTTATGAGGTGCGTATGTTATCGTACTTGAATCGCTACTAGCACAGCACAGCTGCATGATCAAGTCACGATTATGTGTAAGGAAAATCCGACTCTTGCAAACAACAATATTGTTATAGGATATTTACACATACCCCATATTCATTTCGCTACTACCTGACAAAAAAATTTACCTTCTGGGTATGATTCTTGATGTCAAAGGACTGTAAGAAAACATTCCCACGCGTCAGCATCACATCTCCAGTAATCATTTTGAACGTTGTTGTTTTTCCTGCTCCGTTTTGTCCAAGGAGACCAAAACACTCCTTCTCTGGTATACCCACACTCAAATTATCAACAGCGACGAAGTTCCCGTAGCGTTTGTAAAGATCCTTCAGGACCAGTGCATCTGAGTTCTCGTCTCCAATGAGAAGCTGATCAATACGATGCCTTTCATTGAGAACATCCCCATCCTCTGGAACCTGTTGCATGGCGCTGAATGGTGGTGCACCAGGCAGTGGTTCTTCTGTTTCCTGTGGTCTGAAGGCGTACCAGATTCTCTGTGGCACCTGGTACTCAATGAACAGTGTCACAGACATGTACACCACAGACTGGAGCAGCATGAACACAATATAGCGTCCGACTCCAGGAGATTCCCAAGCCAGGAAGTTTTCAGTGAATGTATAACAGTAGAGCTTGCATGAATCTGCAAAATTCGATCAGAGATGTAATCTTGTGGCTGATAAAATGAGCATTAGTCGAATGTCGATATAAAGTAAAAAATCTATATCTGTTAATTAAACATGATGAACAATATCCATTACATATGGATCGTATATACGATGTTAGGATAAAAATAAACTAACTTTTGCAGCATGGATTTCCTTTTGTTGATGCACAAAGTGATGTATAGTTTTGCTGAGTGCATTTGTCCAGGTACAAATAATTGCTGTACATATCCATGTAGGATTTGCCAAAGTTGTAGTGAGGGAATATCAGTAGAAACACCCAGTCTGTGATATTAGCTTCCGCTTTCTTTCCCATCATAGTCAGCATGAATTCCGTCATAAGTGTTGCCAAACCTGTTTGGGAAAATTGAGAAAATAGAATGTAATAATAGAAATAAAACTCACAGATGTACAAGAACAATGTCTGCATTGTCTGGGTTAAAATATCTTCAGCATCATATTCTTAAATGTAAAGCCTTGTACTCATGATCTGTAGAGTTCGGACAAAGATCCTAAACATTTCTGGATATTGGTTTTGTTTATGTAAATGCCTATATTATGTTTACCTGTGATGATATTTAAGATGATGACGACAACCATCCCGGTAGGAGGCGACTTGAACATATATTGAAGTGCATACATGAATGGGAGAACTGCCAAACCATACACCAGCAGGACGAGGAACACGATGCCCAATCTCCCATCTTCGGTATATGCTGGAGACTGGAACCCAGCAAACACAATCAACAGCAAGAAGGATGGAATCAGGTAGTTGATGTAGTCCCAGGCCAGGTTGGACAACCAGAAGACAAACGGCCCAACTCCACTGACAGTCTGAAGATGTTTGGCGCCCACTTGTCTCTCCTTGATGAGGAAGTACACGAAAGATGAAGTTAGGAAGGCCATGCCGAAGATAAGACAAAAAGCCACAGAAAATCCGAGTGCAGATACAGACGAAAGGGTATTTTTCGATGTCCCTTTGTTGTCAAGGGGAAGTGGGTTGTTGATTGTGGTAATAGAATGATCCGGAGATGTAAAATATTTGAGGATTGCGTCCATCATGAATGACAAAGCTATGGGCTGGCTGTGGAAAGGTTGTTTATTAAATATGCCAATTGCTTCTTTGCTAGATTTGAACTGAGCTCCAATGATCATTTTCTTATTGTATCCTCCAATTCCAAGGTCTTCTGCTCTCGACAGAAAATAGCTTGTCATATTATATTTTGACAAATCTATCATCTCAGGTTTGTTTTGAGTCCCTTTAAACTGATCATGGTATGCTTGTGCAAATGCCTGTGGCAGAGGTTCAGGGCCGCCATGGTTTGGGCCATGAAGATATGGAACGTAGGTGCCTTTGAATGGTGCCAAATCAAGAGTTAATGGAACCTCGACAACTTCTCCAGGGTCTACCTTGCTGATAGCCAGGGCAGCAATGGTGAAAATAACCGGTAACAGAAGCTGGACAATGGTGATGGTCTTGTTCCTCCATGTGTGAAGAGCCTTCTTTACAAACATTCCTCTGAAGCGGGATAACTCCAGCAGTATCCCGCTGGTTTTTGTGAAGCCCTGATTGAATGCTGAAATTAATGATTGAATAATGGACATATGGGTAAATATTACATGTGTGTATGTATGTAAACCAATTTGTACGATGGAAACTGAGTGACACTTTCCACATAAATATTTGTGCAGTACCTGATTAGCTAGTTTAACTAACAAAGCCTCGATAGAAATGAAATATGTTCTACTTCTGTTGACAAATGGAGATGAAAGTGGCAATGACATACTTTGGAATGCTCTGCATAGTACATCTCATTTATGATAAGACCTGACAGTTCTTACTGCATAAACTGTTGTTTACCTAATATATTAGCTGCCCCCCTGTCTGTCAGTTCATAACTTCCATTGCTCCAGCCATTTGGTCCGTTAGATACCAGATTGTTCCTTGATCCTGTAGGGTAATCTCCATTCATATCTCCATCCTCGTCTTGTTCTTCCTCGTCTTGTTCTTCCTCGCCCGCCCTATCCAACATAAACCACATTCAATGTGCTTGTCTTACATTATCACATAGTGTTTGTGCAGAACGAGTGAGTGAGTATGTCTTTCACCGCTTTAGCGCTATACCTGGAATTTTACGGCAGGGAATACCGGATATCGGTTTCACATATTGTACCCATATGGGAATCGAACCTGGGCGTGACGACCGAAGGCTTTAACCAGTAGGATACCCAAACACCACTATCATTACATACATTTAACATTGTATGGTTCATTATTTACCGTTACTTTAAAAGTGATCGTAATTATAAACACATTTGTGAACTGATGCTCTATTGGTGACACAGTCTGCCTATATCTTCCCTGAATTCGATACATGATTCTAAAATAAATGACAACACTAACTTGAGAAACACTTCCTCCATCGTAGTTGCACTTGCACCAAAACTAGATATGCCAAGAGTCTCTCTCTGTGTTTCAATCTCCGTGAAGAGAGCAGCAAAGTTGGCTGACTGGTCATCAGGCAGCAGGTAGGAGAGTTCAGCATTGATCTCACTCTCCATCACTGCTGTAGGGACGTGCTGCTGGACAACTGCCGTCACTGATGCCACCTGACAGGTGGGTTGCTTCACCATCACCAGGTGGTAGCCAGCCCCTGGAAGATACAGAAACAGCCGGTGACTTAGAAGGCATATGAGGAGATACACAATTCACAAAATACACACGCGCATTCAAGACAAAATGGTACTTGAAATCGATTCAAACAACATCAGGTTTTACAAGTAGACAATGATCACTCTGTACGTAAAATTACGCAATCGTACCATAGAGTTTCTTCAGGAAGTATGACGTCCCACAGCACTTAACCACCCCTTCTGTCATGATGGCGATTCGGTCACCCAGAAGGTCAGCCTCGTCCATGAAGTGAGTGGTCAGCAACATGGTCCGGCCCTGCTTGTTCCTCTGAAGGATGTCCCATGTCTGTCTTCTGGCTGCAGGATCCATACCGGAAGTAGGCTCATCCAGGATAACGATCTGAACACAGACGAAAGATTCTCCTATACCCAGATCGTACTATTCTGCAGTATGTATAAAATGTTTTTAATGATATGATAAATGATATGGCTACATCAGTATACATAGTGTTCTTTATCACGCTTAAAGTATTTAAATAAGACTGCATTACTATACCTTTGATCCTCCAATCAAAGCAATGCCAACAGAAAGCTTCCTCTTCTGTCCTCCAGATAGATGCCGAGACTCGGTGTAGGTCTTCTGACTCAAACCAACTTCATTTATCATGCTGGTAACTGCAGATTGAACGTTCTTACTCGAGCAACCTTTCAACTACAAAAACAAAACATTGTATGTTGTTGTTTTTTGTGTGTGTGTGTGTTTTTGTTACTTTGCGCTTATACGCCATACTGGTTGTTGCAGGTTTTATCAATTTGAAAACCTTGTCTTTACCTTGTTTCTCCTACTCAGATATCCTTCAATTCCGATTTTAACCCTAACCACTTCTTATCATTTTAATTATTAATTTACAGGTCATTGTGTACATATATCACTAGACAAAACCAAACCAAACGATTTTGGTGTTAGTGTAAGAAACATATTTGCTATATCTTTTTTTATAATTGATGATTCTTATTTCCTGCTTCCCCTATTACAGAAAAGGCCGTAGAGCCCAAGGAACTCTAAGGTCCTTTGCAAGAAAAATTCATTGATAACAGGAAAAACAGGATTTTTTTCTAACAAAGCGCAAAACAACAACACCAGACACCACACCACAACACATTCACTCACCAATCACACTTACTAGCTTCAAATATTTACAGTAAGTTTAAGTTCAAGTTCATTCAGCCTATATTTTTCATTAGGGAACAAGAAGAAAGAATTCAGAAAAATCATTTACAATTTGCAAAATCATAATATAACATCCACTTTTTATAAAACTTATCTTGTTCACTTTTACTGAAGGATATATTCTTTTCAATAAAATACCTATCTTGTAAATAATGTCTAAAATGTTTAAAACTAAGAGTAGTTTTTAATACCTTAATTTATATATGAAGAATTTAGCTAACAACAATATTAAATCAAACACATCATCAGTATATACATTTCTTCTCATTCCAATCACAGTAAGTTGCAGGTCCAATTTATCATTCAATAATTCTAGAAAACATTTCCAAAAGGCTTACACATGTTCACAATACCAAAACAGAGGGGGATTGTTTCAACCTCACATTGACAAAAGGTACATAAGTTGCTTTCAGCTAATTTGATCTTAAATGAAAATGAATTAGTTGATAGAATACCATGTATAATCCTGAACTGACACCATTGAAGTTTAGTATCCCTTGTAGTCTGTAAAGGTTTTAGAAATATTTTCTCCCAATCAAGTTCAGCAAGCATACAATCCTCCCACTCATTCATGAATTTTAACATCAGATGCAGTCAAAACATACTATTAACACTTGGCTCCCCTCTTATCAGACATCAGTTTTCGATTAACTGTATTACCATCTAACTGCTCATAAGAAGTAGGTTTCATTATCTTTAACGTAGTTTGATAACTTTTAATGGCCATGATAAGACCATTACATATAATGGAGAAAATTTACGTCAAGTTCAAAAGTGTTCTGCAATTCCTCGAGAGTACGATATGTTCCGTCTGAATTGATAAAATCACGAATCTGACTAACACCTCTCTCTCAAACCAAGCATATTTGCTATATCTGATTTTATATACATTTAACAACGCCATGCCCTGATAACTCACTCAGCGGTCAAAGGAACACTAGACTTGCAATTGGTTTGTGCAGCGCAGTAGTGCAGTGGTAAGGCGTCTGCCTATCACGACGCTGAAGGCCATGGTTCGATCCCTGGTGGAGGTACCTAGGTTTGGGTCCCCGGGGTGGGCACATTTGTGTAGTATCCTTGGACAAGATACTTAGATCCACATTATCTCAGTTCGCCCAGTTGTAAAATGGGTACCCGTGAGGATATGCTGGCAATGCGAGTGTTTAGCTCATTGCGCCTAACAGGCAGCATGGCTATATGCTTCCCAGGGAGTTGAAAAAGTATCGGAAAATACGATAGTGTCCATGACCGGGGATAGTAATGTACGTAGCGCCGTGAGCAGGCAAAGTGCCTGGATATGAGCGCCATATAACCGGACTATTACTATTACTGTTGTGCAACATTGATGCAAAATTAGATTACTGTATTGGTGACAAACACAGGTATGTGTGTCCAAATAGGAAACTTCAACACAATATTATCTGAATTTTAGGGCTGGGACGGGTACTCGGGTACTAGAATCCGGGTCGGGTATAGCTGGAATCGAGTACTATTTCTAGGAGTCGAGTACCCGGAAAAGGAGAAGGGCACATAATAACTTGTCTTTTTCATCATTGACGTAACACACATTTGCATCATTGGTATTGTCCGATTAATGGAGGTCATTATTCACGACTGTATATATCTGAGCATGAGCAGTGAGGAGTCAAATAACTGTAACAGCTGTAACGAAAAGTCCCGTGTTTTAACGAGGAATGCATCTAACGGTGTTACTCTCTATATTTGTTAAATAGACGTTAATTAAATAGCCTACGTTCAGTTTCAGTATCTTATTGCCATCCTTTCAAGGTTTGTATAAAAATCTCCGTCAACTCGTGATTGAATATTCAGAAAGTTGACAAAAGCGCTTTATTCCTTACATTTCCGGGTACTTGATTCCGATTCGGGTACGTACATGCGGGTACTCGATTCCATTTATTCTTACCCGTCCCATCCCTACTGAAGTTCGGTTGGCCACAATATATATTAGTACTCAGGATTCTGATCATGTGGACCAATTTGTAAAAATGAAACTTACGCAGGCGAAAAACTCCAGATGTTCATGGACAGTCAAGCTGTCAAACAAGATGTTGTGTTGAGGACAAAGACCTAGACTCTGCCGAACACTCTGGATGTCGTTGTTGATGTCATAACCGTTCACAATGGCGGTGCCTCCAGATGCAGGGATGAAACCTTGCATACACAAATGTAATAGCGACTGTTTAAAGGATCATGACATGTGACTTCCAGTACAGTGTATTACTCCACACGATTGTCATGTAAGGTAATGGCGTAGCTTCCTTGTCACATTCGAGACTTTTCGCATTTATAGTTGGCGTCCCGCCAGACCGACAACTGTCACGAGGCAACTGTCCGACTCAAATAGTTCAGTTCACAGATGTCTATTATTTGAGCAATCACATGATTAAAAACTTTATATTTTACGAACCAGGTATTTGCGTAAAACCTTCGACTGCAAGCTTCATGATGTACAATTTCATTTATCTCGTAAAATACCGTACCCTGCGCTAGATAATATACTTACAATTGGTTATTGGCCACCACCGGTGGATCTGACTACCGTATTAGTATATCTGGTATAGGGGAAGTACGTTCACGAAAGATATAAATATTCATTTTAAAAGCATTGAATATATGTACCTGTGAGAACAGACATGGTTGTAGTTTTCCCAGCACCGTTGTGACCCAGGAGAACAGAGATCTGACCCTCGAACATGTTGAGACTCATCCCATCCACAGCTACCTTCTTCTTTGATCCGGAGCCGAAAACCTTCACGGCAAGAATACGGTTGGGTGTATTTTAAATTAGTTAGGTTTTTTAATTATACGTCAAAGATGGTTTCAAAAATGATTATTACCGAGGGACTTATTATCAATTATAATCTAAGATTTAACAATAGTTTATCGTAGACTAAAAGGACATATTTAAATGCAAGAACATAATCACAAGCACCATTGTTCGTACCTTTTTGAGATTTTGGATAGATATTCCAGTCTCCATAGCACTTGGTTCCTTCTCAAAGTGTCTTTCATCCAAGTTCTGATTACTTGAATAATAATCATGAATCTGCTTTGTGCCACACCAATAGGAGCCCTGGCAATACAAATGTTTGAGCATTTCTGAATGTGAATAAGAGTGAGCCCCAAAAATTACTACAAACAAAACATTGTAATTAAAGAAGTCCATATAGCATAATTATATATTCATTTCCGATTACGAATCATGCTTGCCTAACAAGGAGGGGGGTGGGGTAGCCTAGTGGTTAAAGCGTTCGCTCCTCGCGCCGAAGGCCCGGGTTCGATTCCCCACGTGGGTAAAATGTGTGGTGCCCATTTCTGGTGTCCTCCGCCGTAATATTGCTGGAATATTGCTAAAAGCTGCGTAAAACTAAACTCTCTCACTCACTAACAAGGAATGTAAAACGTTTGATAGACTTTCATTATGATATTAGACTTTCATTATGATATACATAAAAAAGATGCATAAATGTGACTCCATGATGAACATAATAGTTTCAACTGTACAGTTTTACGAGCTTGCGTTGAAGTTTTTCAGTAAGGCTAGATGACTCAAGTACTTACAGTGAAGGGAAAGTAGAATGGTTTCGGTACACCGAACTCCCCTGGCCAGACATTGTCCAGATACCAGGTAATGAGAAGGTGGATTGCCGTGTCGCCTAGCAACATCAACATGGCGTCCAGCAGGGAGAAGTTGTCATCCACAGTAGCGGGCTCGTGGAAATTTGACCACTGCACACCTGAGCCTACACAATGTGAAGAATATACATCATATATTGCTATCTTACGTGAAACTGGTCGGCATTATATGTTTGTTCAAAGCCGGAAACGAGCTGCTGGTTAACAGGTATTAAAAATGTTTTATGTTTTCGCGGTTTTTCATATATATGGAATTATCAAAGTGTTTGTGATGCTAGAATTTTTATGCATCAGTTTAATGAAAGATTATAAGATGTTAGTGCACAAGACTTGTTTTCTAAATTGTCGTCATCAAAGTACTTAGAGTGAGTGAGTTAATATTTAACGTCACATCGGCAATATCTCAGCCATATTGTGACGAGTAAATACTTAGAGCATTACTCAAATGTGAAATCCTTACTTAACGTTGAACGACATATTATATTTTTAGAAGATAAATCTTTAAGACGTGATTTTGTAAATTAAAAATATATTTCCACAATTTCAAAGTTTATATGTTACGGAAGAAAAAAGTAGATTTTCAAAATAGCATTTGTAATTACTGCAGTAAGGGTCTCGTTCAGACCGAAGATCATGTTTTCTTTTTATGTGAATATTATAATGACTTAAGTTTTCATTATATTACACAACTCACAAATGTATTCCACGGCCAGTTAACTTTGCCAAATATACTCAATTGCCAAAATGAAACTGTTATATACAAAAACTGTTTATGTCAAGAAAATCGTGACTAAAATGTTATTCTTAATTTCATTGTAACATGGCCTACATTAACGAATAAAGTATGTTTGTCTGTCTGAATAAACATCATTACAACTTATTCAAATATGTAAAACACACGTGTGCCGCATATACAGTTTTTTCAGATGTAATATTTTGGGCTGCACATTGGGCAAACAACAAACATTTTAGAAACACTGGAATTGTGTTAATGCATTTGTAGCATTCAGTACGATGACAAGAAGGGAACAAGATTGAGCGATTTTAAAAGTTTAAAATTAACACTTGAAAATTAGAAGTGATAAATACCAATGTTTTATCCAAAGGTTTTGAATCCATGTCAAGCTGTATTTGTCTCTAGCATGCAGGTTTAGAATTATAATCTTTAGGATGCAGGAAACCTACCAGCTCCTTCATAGAGTGATATGACATTTGCACCAAACGCCATTCCCACGTTGAAGAGGAGACAGGAAGCCAACTTAGCTGGCCTCGACATGCTTTGGTATATGATAGCTAGGTAGAAGTACGGACAGTAGGACAGGAAGAACACGATCCCGCTGATAGCTGCTCCAATGTTTGCTGTAACGTACAAAGTCTTGCAACGATAAATAATTACACTACAATCCCTGACATGCTACTTATCTTGGCAAGGGGCGAAAGAAGCCAAGAGAAAAAAGAAGAAGAAATCGTATAAAAATGGGAAATAATTATTGCCATGCTTGAGAAATATATGCTTAACGAAGAGTCAATTGTAAGATTCCGACTATATCATTAAATTGTGGGGATATGGGGTAGCCTAGTGGTTACAGCGTTCGCTCGTCACGCCGAAGACCCGGGTTCGATTCCGCCATTGGGCACAATGTGTGAAGCCCATTTCTGGTGTCCTCGCGTCAAAAATTAATCTGTCATCAACCTTAACCACCAATAGCATGACGTCATACATTTCCGAAGATACAAATGAAGTTCCCTTCAGTTTAGTGACATCGACAGATGTATGCCTCCCTTCATGATATTTATAAGTTTTATGGATTCAGTTTGACAATTATTCCTTCTACCATCATATATAGACCAATATGCCCTTCCACTTGCTTAATGAGCGATTGTACAGAACATATATTGTTCTTTAAGTTAAACAGAATAACGAGTTGAGGATGGTAGGTCAGGGATATGACAATACCGTATTTCAATAGTTCATGTTTACCTCTTTGAGTGAAGACGCTGATCATGAAGCAGTAGGAGATGATGGAGACGCCGTAACAGAGGAGGAACACAAAGAACAGGGAGGGATCAGATTTGGCCAGAGCTGCCCCATTTCCACTTGCGTTAACTCCACACAGCAAAGCATACAGCACCATTGATATTACCACATATATTAAGCTGGTCAGGAACCAAGATGTCCAGTGAGCTGCAGCGCTCAGACCCATCAGCTTCATGGATTCCTGGGGAGTAAGAAATAGACGTGGCCATGGCTGATCTTACAAAGAACAGTACCCTTAAGGTTAAAATGGTTAAGTTTGAATCCGCACATGTACAATGTATGAGTTCTCATATCGATATGCCTTTCATTGACTTTAAATAGGGCTTCCCTACATCGTTCCCTGTATCCCTGAAGTAAAACAAAGGCTGGTATCCGAGTTCGAAATTAACGTCCTTAGGCTCAAAGCCGAGTGAAAACCACTCGGACCCACAGCTTTTGTTTTCTGCAGGTCTTTATGGCCGACAGCTTTTTCACCCCCAATAACTAAGAGTGTTATTGCCATATTAAAATATAGGGCCTACACCTTGATCAGGACCCGCAAATTGGGTCCGAAGGGCCTGCAGCTTTTCGGGGTTAAGGGCAAACACTGACTGGTATAAATCATGTTTATAACGACATCCAGTCCAGTTGATTAACTCACACACTAATTGGTGGGGTAGCCAAGTGGTTAAAGCCTTCGCTCGTCACGCCGAAGATCCGGTTAAATACCCCACATGTGTATAATGCGTGAAGCCCGTTTCTGGTGTACCCAGCAGTGATATTGCTGGAATATTGCTAAAAGCGGCTTACTCACTCACTCACTAATACCAGTTAGATTGTGGGACATTTGTTTTACATGACATTGCCGTCTTGGAAAACAGTGATAACATTTGATAATTGTGGTAACATTTGATAATTGTGGCAACATTTGATAACTATGGTAATATTGATAACTGTGGTAACATTTGATATCCGTGGTAACATTGATAACAGTGGTGCCATTTGATAAGCGTGGTAACATTTGGTAACATTTGATAACCGTGGTAACATCTGATAACTGTGGTAACATTTAATAACTGTGGTAACATTTAATAACCGTGCAACATTTAATAACCTTGGTAACATGTGATAACTATGGTAACATTTGATAACTGTGGTAATATTTGGTAACCGTGGTAACATTTAATAACCGTGGTAACATGTGATAACTATGGTAATATTGATAACTGAGGTAACATTTGATAACTATGGTAACATGTGATAACTATGGTAAAATGTAATAACTGTGGTAACATCTGATAACTCTGGTAACATTTGATACCGTGGTAACATTTGATAACTATGGTAACATGTGATAACTATGGTAACATTTATTAACTGTGGTAGCATTTCATAACTATGGTAACGTTTGATACTTGCGGTAAGTTTACCCAAAAGTCTGAAGACTTACTTTCAGTTTTCTCTCCTTCTCATAAACGACTCCCTTTGTTGTCTGGATGGCCATAAGGATGAAGCCCAACATTAGAGAAACAGGGAACATGTACTGTAGCAGCATATTCATGGTGTCAACGATGTAGGGTGGATATGGCATTGGAAGCATTTGGACCTTCAGGTCTTGAAGTATAGCGGATGAGTTCGGAGAGAAATGTTTGATGATGGCTTCATATAGCAAGCGTTGGAGACCTAAAAACTGGCCATAATCTGAAATGGATATACAATGTACATGAATTGTCATGCAGGTGTGTTTATGGGCATGTGGAAGCTAACATATAACTTTCACAAATTCATATCAGACAGAGCTCTTCATAGAAACCGGACCGTCATACCGGACCGACTCCGTGGTCACTGTACCTAAGGTGATGCTGTTAACGCACGTTACCAGCATTCCAACATGGCGGCAGGTAAGATCGCTTGGCGATTATTCCCCTCGAATTAGCAGTCTTCCACGTGTATACAATCAACATTATTTAGCACACTGATAAACTTTGATGGTGGAAATACAGTGAATGCACTGAATTTGCGTATTAATGCCTATGTGTTGAAGAATAAGCATTTTAAAAATCGCTCGAGGATGTTGGTAACTCAAAGTCTGGATGTCGGTAACGTGCAATGAATGATGCTGGTAACGCATACTGTCTTGCTTTAATCGGTAAACAGAAATTGTCGAGTTATGTATAAATACAAAGGAGATACAAATATCAGTTGTTATGTTTTACACAGATGTGTACTGCTGCTACATTAACAGTATGAGTGACTTTTTCTGTGCACCGGAGAGTTGTTGTGGCGTTTCATTGAACTTGAATGGATTAGATGTGTGTGCCCCATTGTCCATTACGCTAAGAGCTTTTTCTCTGTCCCTCCTCAATTCGGACATTTGACATGTTCATTCCGTTGCAATATTGACGTTTAAAGTACATTTTACAGCGTGCATTTATTGGGTAGGGTTGAATATATACAGCTATATAGTCTGTCAACCTAACTTTAGGGACTGCATATTTTGCACTTGCAGGTGTCTGTCACCTGTCAGACATCAATTGAACCCATGCTTAGATTGAATGGATCAAAACAATCGGGAAAAATAAAGATAGTTATAAGGGTAACGTTTTTAATAGGCCATCATCGTGATATTGATAATAGGTTCCTGAGGTCACGGACAAACATGAGGGTACATGTAAACACTTTTACACTGAAACGAATAACAAAAAAAATATTGCCAAAATATGCAGTCCCTTAAGTTATGTTGGTAACGCGTGCGTTACTAGCATCACCTTAGGTACAGTGGTGGTGTAGTGGGTATCACGGTTTCGATCCCGGTCGCGTCATGCCAAAAGACGTTGTTGGTCCCTGCCTGGCGCTCGGCAATAATGGGTACAACAAGGACTGGTCGGCTCGGAGTCTGTATAATGTATCTGAGTGGGGTATTCATGCTTAACTGTTGCATGGTTTCTCAGTGAGCGAGCACTATAAAACCAGCTTCAGTCTGGGCTAGTACAAGCAGTCACACCTACACGTGCATGCACATCGTCATATGAGCGAAATATTCTTAAGTGCGATGTTAAACCCCATTTCACCTCACCCCACCTCACATGTCATACCGTACTGTCCTTTGCTGACAGCTTTTTAAAAAACTATAAATATAGTTATTTTCAATACATGACTTTTTGTCGTCACGATATAGCTGAAACATCCCCATTGTGGCGTAATATCGTAACTCATTCACTTACTCACATATCACACCAATGACCACTTCCCAAGAAACCTCTCTACAGTGATTTATGTCATCAAACGAAATATTAAACTGTTTGCCTAGGGTTTGTAGAAGTCGGTAATATCAGTAAATGCAAGATATTATATTGACAACTTGTTTATTCTATTATGGTGCTTAGTTTCGTAATACATGCAAATCTTTACACGTACTTGACGGTTTAAGGACCTATACCGAAACGTCAGAATCGAATAAAGACAGTGTAATCCATAAAACATCTTGCCTTTACCGGATCAGATTATTGCAAGAACAGCTTATAATCTGGGAAAGGATTAGCATGCAATAACAATACTACTGTAATTGTATTTACCAATATTGCATTGATATAGCAATAAAATTGCCCTTGTCTGTCACCACTACTTTAGATAGATGTCAAATCGAGTGCGTGAGTGAATAATGTATAACGCCTTCAGCAGTTTGCCATCTGTTGGACAGTCTACCATCGTACCTTAATGTCTCTTGGATACAGCTGGGCTATTGGACTACTGCTGACTTCCGCCATTATTGCCATGGCTGTCTGTCGTTAACCATGTATGGAAGCGTATTACTGCCACAATCCAAAGCAATGTTATGCTCAACGCAGAGGATACTTTCACCTACGTCGAAGATACGCCCACGATACTTATATTGACGTACCGTATTTCCTCCAATAATCGCCGGACCTCTAATAAGCGCCGGGTTTCTAATAAGCGCCGGGGATAAAGCAGCGGTTTAAGAAACTAGCGCCGGGCCTCTAATAAGCCTTGGGTACGTCTTTTTTATAAAATGTATTCTCCCTTGATCCAAAAATAGATTTGTTGAGGAGTGGTCCCTAACTTTGACGTAATCCTCACTAACAATTAATTACGGTACATTCAGTAAGCGCAATAAGCGCCGGGTCTCCAATAAGTGCCGGGTCTGCAAGTCCGTTGAAAAAACGGGTGCTTATTAGAAGAAATACAGTACATGATATCTTCGCCTGTGCGTGCGTGCGTGCGTGCGTGCGTGCGTGCGTGCGTGAGTGTATGTGTATATAACCTATATCCAAGATGGGTCGCAAATTCACAAGACAGTATCAAGGTCTGAGTAACAATTAGCGCGATGATGGCATACGTTTTCTTCTACGTACAAAAAAAATGATGGCATCTTCTACATAGATGTAAGTATAATCTACTTTGATGATGATACTCGTTTAGACTGTGACACTTATACGTTAGTACAAACATGGTATTTTTGTAATAACACAGTGCAAAGTTGTCGTGTCGTGAAATGGCTTATGACTGAGCTAAATGTGCGCTATGCATAACTATACTCACAGAAAAAAGTTAAGCACCACCCCGATTTTCACTATTAAAGTATTTAATAGTTCATATAATGATCCATATAATACGTAAATATTGAATATTGAGGTTGTCCATAACTTTTTTTGTTGAGGTTGAGTATATAAAAAAGCTTCATTGACAACAGCTGTGTACTTCAGGGGTGGAAATAACTTTAAAATTGCTAGTGTACTCCGGTACAGTGGCACATGTAAAATCACTTGCCCTGATAATTTTCCCACTATACCGGCCGTTTTCTTGTTGATTTTTTAAATAAACAACATAATTTATATTGGAAAGTCAACTGGACACCGGTACAGTGTGATATACAAATTTGCTTGCCCGACAGAAAAAAACACTGGACTCGGGCGTCGGGCAATAGGTTATTTCCACCCCTGTACTTGGTTGTAGCTGGTATTGTTGTAACCTATGCATATTGTAATAATACGGGGCAACAAACGGGAGTGGACCAGACTCGTTCACTGGTGACAGCTGGAATACTGTTAAAGGCGGCGTTAAACAACAAGCAAACATCAAGCGTACCTGGATCGGAAGACTGTCTTGGTCCTGCTGTAGCGACGAAGGGTGTGGTCTCAGTGGTGTGCCAGCCATCATATTTGTCACCTTTGGGACGAATTGCACAGCGCAACTTCTTGGGCAGGACCGTGTCTGCCATTGCAACGTTTTCAAATTCGACAGCAAAGGCGACTTGTTCAGCATTGGATTTGAAGTAGTCCAGCATATCCTTCCTCGATGTAAATCCTATTGACGTAGGTATGTCTGTAGAAATGGTGGAAATGTATTACTCGATTGACAACAACTACTTGATTGCATTTCTTTGACCATCTTAACACACTCTGTTTGGTTCAAATAAAAAAAAACATTCACAAGATTACCAAGGAAAAATACCATGTCACACTATTTTTGCCTTTGAGTATATTTTCAGGATAATATGGTTATCCTTTTATGCGATAAATAAGCGACCCTCCTTTAATTCATATTTGATGAATGTATAGTGAACTATAAGACAGCAAACTTTATAAATTATAAGATGTTTAATGTTCATTAACGAATACGGGTTTTTTTTACCCGACACTCACACAAAGTTCACAAACTGTTAGTGTTATTTGTCTGACCCTGCACAACTGTATTCCTGCCATGCCACAGCGGTACGTGAAGGCCTAAGTTGTCAAGTGACAGATTGAACAGAATATCCACTAACACGATAGCGTGTTTACTGAATGATTGGACTTCGCCTGACGGATGTGTTCAAGTGCACAGATTCGAGTTTCTCAAATATGTCGTAATGATTTCGTAAGTGACTATGATTCTAAGCCTTATAATGCCCCTATTCCACACAGACCACGAATTCTTATATAGTCGTAGTCAGTTTCTGCAATTCTTGAGTAATCGGGAATTCGTGGCAAAGGTTTTGATCTGTTCAAAAATTTGGCCATGAACTCCCGATTCCAACAGGTTAATTCGTTACAAATTCGTAGTGCATTCTTAGGCATCGTAACTGAATCATAATCGATTTGGGGGCATTCTAGGTATTCTTAAATCATTCGTGGATTCCTCAATTCATGGTTTAACCACAATCGGCTACGAATCTGTCACGAATCCCACAAATACACGCCGAAGCAGGTACGAAGCAATTAAGATCTGTCTACGAATCACCTACGACTGCCGGCAAATTGGGCACATAAGAAGTTTAACACTGGCTTCAGGTCATCAGCTGCTGACGATTGTATCACGACATCCACGAATCAGCAAGATGCCAAGAAGATCTGCAGGGAAGGGCAAGGGGAGAAGAAAGAGAAGCAGGGAATAGAGCAAAAATGAGTTAGTGAGTTTAGTTTTACGCCGCACTCAGCAAAACGGCAGCCACCCCACTCCCACCCACCCACCCCTCAAGTCGTCAATTCGTGGCGATTCGTGGTCTGATGGAATAGGGTCAAAATGCAATATTAATAACACGGAGAGCACTCAGACTTCGCACAGTCAGTGTGTCATCAGCACGTTTATATACTAATGGAATAAAGTAACCGTGCATACCATAAAAAGCATAAAACAAAGGTTACAAAAACAACCCTAAATAAACTTTAGCAAAGTGCTTTGCATTAACAATTTGATGTCATGTATCGCGTGTGGCACGTGCACTTTGTGCATAATGAAACTACTCACTTTTGCATGTTTTTTGACACCTGAAATTCACACACCTGATATTGAAAATTTAAGAACAACTGATTATTCTCTAGCCTCTGAATGTTGTGGAAAACATGTTAATTTCAACCCAAACTGCGCGTACGGCTTACAGAACATCAGCATCTCTGTGTCGTGGGTATGCTGGAGACTGAAATAGCCCAAAATGAAGTGTCCTGACATTTTGGTGTCGAAACACGATCTCTTCTCTAGGGAGACGTTTTCAACATAATGGGAGCACGAGATATTTGCCGTAACCGGGCATCACGTCAGCAAGACAACCACATTCCACTGACCCATCCAAGGAATCGATTCAAAACTGCCAGTTTGACTGCCCAGACCATTTCTAGATTACATCCTATCAGGACTGTACGGAAGCGATTGAGGAAGCACAACATGGGGGCCCCGATGGCCTGCAACACGTCCAACTTTGCTTAAACGTCACCGAGGTGACAGGCATGTCTTACCTGGTTCAGACAGCATCTATGGTACAGGAGACAAGATTGGTATGGTTTTATTCACTGACGAATCGGGAATTCATCTGGACAGTTCAGATTGCAGGAGAAGGGTATGGTGACGCGTGCGTTGTTCAATGTCGACAGTGTGGTTGCAGAAGCGTTATGATATGGATTGAAACGCATCTCATGGTCGGACACAATTTGACATTGTCAGTAACAACCTGGCAGGTCTGCGATACAGGTATGAGATCATTGGGCTTCATATGAAGCCGTTCATTTAAGGACAGAGACGTAAAGCAAGAGCACACACGTCCACATGTCGATCGTGTCGTCCTGACAGCAGAACATTCCGTTACTCCACTGGCCAGCTGTTTCGGGACCGACGCCCCTATCGACCACGGAACCGAACCGACTATGGAGCACAACATCCGGCACTGACGGCCTGCTTGGGATGAATTGGAACGACGTTTACGTCAAGCCTGGAATCAGCCATTGACGTTGGCTGAATTGGGTTCACACAAGCGTTGGGTTTAGACATGGAACATGCCCAGGCTTTCTTCAGTAGCTCAGTGTCGTCTATGCGTCGTCGCTGTCGTCGTTGCATCAACGCCAGTGGTGGACACACAAATACAATACTGAATTTTGTAACTGGCTTTTGACCACATCTCTTCAAGGGCGTGTCACAATGCCAAGTGTCAAATCATACAGATTTCGATATAACCCTGTCACCACTTAAACAGTAATTAAAAACACCACAAATCAAGGTACTATCTTTTTTTCATTAAAAATGGCATAACATCAAATAATGCACAGTTACTTTACTCCAGTAGTAAAAGTTCCTTTGCTTCAAATGCTCAATAACACCCGGAAATTGGCCAACACATGATGTTTATGTCCTACATATCATGTTTTATTAATCACCAGTAAGTCCCCATGGACCCTAGTATGGTGATCTACGTTCAGTTGTTGGCAATCTATAGCCTGTTTTTTATATTATTTGGTCCCAATAGTAAAACTAGTTTTAACTTTCCACGCTAGTTTTACTTCTTATTGTGATATTCTGGTTGTTTTACTGTATTTTGACGACAGGTTTTTATAATATACACATATTCCATTTCAATGTCAAATATGTTCTCGTCACGATATGGCTGAAATATTGCCGATGTGACGGTAAATATTAACTCACTCACTCACTCACTTTATTAATCACCATGATAAGTATTCTGTTATCAGTAGTATATGTGATCCCAGGAGCACGATATCTTGGCAATATAGAATATAAACTTACCTGAATATTGATTATGTGTGAAGGTTTCGTTAACACTTGCAAACAGTCCAGTGATAAGTGTATTGTTCGGTGTGAACAGAACCTGCCTTTCACCAAAGGATGTAAATAGCCGGGTCACGGGTTTGAGTCCATATATGTTTGCTTGTGCCTGACTGACTGGTACCAAGAATCTCATGCTGAAAAATATCACTCCAAACATCAGCGGTAAAAGAATTTCAAAGACTGTCACGGCAATCTTTTTACGTTGTAGAAGGTAATTCTTCCACATAAGCAGCCGGAGCTGCCGAAAGAAGGCAGCCATGTTGAAACTGTTCAGTCGTCCCACTGTCCACTTTACGATAGACGTCGCTAAATAAATGCCGGAATCGTGAATGTGACGTTACAGTCAACCCCCACAATCTCACCACCTTACATTGTTGACACGGCACGCCTGGATCACGCCACGAGATTACGACATCACATACGAGCTCAGAACCATCTGACTAATAAGACGGTGCTCTTGATACATACGCTGAATGTATTGTAAACAAGATTTTACAAAAGAACATCTCGCAGGTGACAGTCAAGTTGTGTTCAGTGCGAGTTTCGTTTTTGTTTCTTCGGTGACACCTGCCTAGTGTATATACAGCCGCGTGACCTGATTTCTGTGATATCAATTAAGAGATAAAGCAAAGACCACATTCCATGGATTGTTCGTTCCACTAGTTGTCTCCCTTTGCGTGGTGTATGACATCAGAGTTACGTTTTCAACACGCTTCAGCTTAACTAGTCATGATAAGCTATCTCATCTAATATCTCATATCTAATGTCATTAATTACAACGCCCGCAAGTGGACATCAACCTGGATGTTTATGCTATTACTCATAATTCAGTGATTCAAGTTATATTTGGGATTAAACATCATGTGACAAATTTCTAGATTATAGTGTATTTTCATGTCTCATGCTTGCTTCGACTACACACCCGTTTTGTACGGATATATCGTCAGCAGTTTTGTGTCGCGATCGTTTAGTTGAGAGTCAAAATCGGGTTCCAATCGACTTGCAGAAATAACAATAAAGAATTGGTAGGTGTCATGAGTGGTGATCGAAAAGCCAATCATCCATGATTATGTTTTAATGGATTGCATGCGATGGTAGCGTAGCGATCGGCAAAGCAGGCGGGCAGAGTGCACCGAAGTGTCCGGCCTTGTCATAATGTATTATACTGTGAGGTATTTCGAGTCGGGGTTCATCTCAAAAACAATATTTTTTAAATCTTTAATCCTCGTAAAGACAAGAGGGCCTGTGCTTCAGAGGTCATATCACATCTTTGATTTGATTTTCTTTGCACGTATTGCACAATCCTGACTCATTGACGGTTAGTTTCATTCGCCCACTTCCAGCGACCCACCCTCTTGTGATCACGCTCGGTTTCAAAGTTAAGCCTTCTCTATCTGTTATCTTGTCATAGCTTCTCGCCGTGTTGAACGCCCTGAGACTTACCGCGCCCCTGATGGCAACGACCTCGGCGTTATTGGTACACCACCTTTGTAGTAAGAGGGAAAATAACTAACTTTTGTGCTAAACTTGTTGTGCTAAAGTATGTCTAATAATGGCCGTGATAACTTTCAAATGGATGATATTCCCCAAGTGCTTCAATACTGACGAGGAAACAGTAATTTTCAGCTTATTTACTGATACACTAATACTCTTTTTGTCTAAATTTACTATAGTAGTAAATTTGTCACCAAAGCGTGTAACACTGACAATTTGTTTCTGCAATTTAACACTATGTCACTTTAATACACCGCGCATTTACATTAATATCACCAGCAAACACGAATGTGCTAATATTATCCACTTGCTCCTCAGCAAATATGCATATGCCGTTTACTGATAGTGGTGTGAAGAGCTTTAGGAAACAAAGTAAACAGTTCGGGGCTAATCATACGACCCTGGCTTGTGCCTACTCTCAAGGTTCAGAATACCATCTCTGACATGTTTTTAGGAGAACACGCGTTAACAGGTGATGCCTTAGAAAAAAAACAATGAACCAACAAAAACAAAGTTAAGTTTTCTTTAGAAATATTTTTTTGAACTGAAGAAAGGGTGCAACATTTTGTGTGCGGTACTTGATATGAAGTGTTTTGCATGTGATAGAGCCACAGTTGAGACGACCAGATCTGCACTATGCCCCATGGAAGGCTGATAAAGCTTGTCAATACGTTTTGATCGATAACAGCCCTACTGTTAAGAAATTCGAGTAATGTCCCTTTGTACATAGCCTGCTCGTCCAGCTTTTCCCATGGCACTGGCTTCCATGGAAGGTCGCAATGTATTGAATTAACTCGCAAAACGATAATTGTAAAACTTGGTAAGGAACCTGTTAAAGAGGTTATTTTAAGGGAGTTTCCAAATCATACTGAATATCAACCCTCGATCTCCAGACCAGATCGAAAAATCGCCCCGTTCCTCAAAGCGATCGTAGAGCTACGACTGTCGTAAGTTTATGTTAAAGTATGGGACTTACGATCATCTTAGGGTTACGATCGCTTTGAAGAACGGGACCATGGACGGTACGAGAGGATTGAACTGTGTGAACAACCTAAATGGTGGGTCAAAGGATATGAAACTCTCCTACAAGAAAAATACAACAGTGACTGGACATTTTTCCAACCTCCAAACATGAAGGAGATGTTTAGGTGTTTGGTTTTTTTATATGTTCCAGCTTTATGATGTTTGGTGTGTAAATAATCGAGTCAACGCCACGCAATCTGGGGAGTGTCATCACGAGCTTTGATCTACGCAAATTGGCATACGATTACATAGATTTATCATGTTATTGACTCTGGGGACAAGCTTGCGCTGTTTGTGCCTGTAGGCAGAAGTGGATTCAATTCTGTTTGTGAATTTCCCATTTGTCACAACCGTGTGAAGAGCTGACAACACATTGCAATCAAGTCAGAATCAGTCGTACGGTCAGCATCTTTCGTACATGTATCGGCTGTTGAATGCATAATACATGCAAACCTATTATAAAATACTTGTTACTATGGTATTGTTGAGTTAGCTTGATGAAATAATGTTTTATCACATCAATCAAAATTATCAGTTGCAATATGTTTTATCCCCAATTGCATAGATTTCCGCCATATTCTTTTCAGAAATACATATTGATTCCAATATGTGGGGGCAGTGGGGTAGCCTAGTGGTTAAAGCGTTGGCTCGTCACGCCGAAGACCCGGGTTCGAATCCCCACATGGGTATATTGTGTGAAGCCCATTTCTGGTGTCCCCCGCCGTGATGTTGCTGGAATATTGCTAAAAGCGGCGTAAAACCAAACTCAGTCAGTCCAATATGTGAACTGACTGGTTCCCTTGGTAAGATACGCTGGCGCTTATCTGACCCCGGGGACTGCACAATGGCGGACTCCACTACTGGGCAAAACGCCATATGTTTTTACTGCAGAAAATAAAAGATCAATCAATCTTTTTTAGCCCTGTCAACGATAATATAATAGAGTATACGTCATCATAATAACGTCCATTTATCGAGAAGGAAAATGTTAAGTAGTCCCGAGACACGAGAGCTGTCGTCACATATGCGAAAACAATGACCCACCCCATTTTCAACATCGACATATGCGTAGAATGCGGCAATTTCTTATGATCAGTGTGAGGGTCATATTCTGACCTACCCCTCCTAGGATGCATGGAATGTCCATCTTTGGGACGCTTGGGTTGTTCCTCCTTGGAACGTATGTGATATGACGAGGCAATTTCTATGGTCAGTGTACCCAGTGTGTTGGGATGGGTATTGGGGGCTTGGGTGGAATTATCTCCCCGTGGACGACTGGTTGGTTGGTCAATTTTGGTATGGGCATATTGGAGCTTGGGTGTTTGTCTCCTGGGCGTGGTGGACTGGCCTTTACCAAAAAATGGCCTGAGACTGGGAGCTTGGGTGTATTAATCTCCCTGGCTCTCGCGACTAACTGAGGACTGGCAGATTGATAAAAACTCCATGATACCATCGGGCTATCCCTGGTGCTACATAACCTCTGCCACTTACTAGTAATTGATCTTTTGATCATACTTCGTATTTCGCTTTTTGAGTGAGGATGATCTAGTGACTGGTCCAATTCTAGTGCATGTCTGACTAGCTTGTCAGCTCTCTCATTACCGGGTATGTCGATGTGAGAAGGTATCCAACACAGGGTTATCTCTTTCTCATTTTCCCTTTTTAATGTCTCTATGAGAAACAAGATGTCTCTTATGGTGTCAGTTCTACTAGAGGAAAAGAAGACTTAGAAGCCAGTGACTTCAATGCGCTGAGAGCGTCAGAGATGATTCCGCTCTATATACCGACTGTCCGTTAAGCAAGCGGCCTGAGATTGTCTCTGTTTTTGAGCTGTTTTGGATACCGTAGGCTGCTCTATTTCTCAAGCGGACGCTCAACCGGCCCATATTTCACAGGATGTTGCAATAGCCGTTAGTGTCAGAAAAAGTGTAAAACAAAACGATCAAGTGTCCATACCATTTTTTATGATTATAATACACATGTCATGTAAAGTTATCTACATACCAAAATATACACAAATAAACTGCTCGATGAAACTAATTTGACACCTCATGAAAAAAACACACACACACACACACACACCTTTGAAAATTTCTGGATCCGCCGATGAACCACTAAGCTACCCCACCTCCTTTTCCTTTGAAACCCGTCCTAAGTGCTACATCTTTTATGGCTTAAAGCAAGTGTCAGAGTATACCTGTATTTCCTGTATACTGCCACACATATGATAAAGAGGCCGAGGGGGTGCCTAGTGGTTAAAACGTTGGCTCGTCACGCCGAAGACGCGCGCTCGATTTCACATATGGGTACAATGTGTGAAGCCCATTTGTGGTGTCCCCACCGTGATATTCCTTGAATATTGCTAACAGCGGCCTTTAACTAAACTCAGTCACACTCACTCACTCACTCACACACACTCACACTCACTCACTCACACACACTCACATTCACCCACGTACATGTATAATAAAACACATTGCAACAGTTAACTTTAATGAGATCAGCGAAGCGCCAGCGTATCATACCCAGGGAACCAGACTTACGGGATCAAATTACTAAAAACAGAATTGGAGATTCCCCAAGCCTTAGCCAATGAGATGACTCCGTATGTAGGAATCTTCCGTCATCGCCCTAGCTTATGTAATATGATAATGTTCATATGTCCGTTGTGCCTATTGTTATTGCAAAACGAATATATATCTGTAAATAAACTTTATATGTGGTCATTACCTGTTTGATCCAAAATGTACAATGTAGACGTCCGACTGGATATTTTTAGATACTTCCTTCCGTTTTATGTGATACGGGAAAGTCAGGCAGTGATTTGTGTGTGTTTGAAGATCGTCGTAAATGTTTAGGAAACAGATTACTACGTGTCTGCTAACTGTATAATTTCCCCATGCTACGCCCATTGTCGAGTGGCCATACTGTCTGTTTAGGCAGACAGCGGCCCAGACAAACAACAGCACTCATCAAGACCGCCATCGATTTGCCGATTCGCGTAAAGGGAGACAACTGAGAGCGACGCGAAATTCCCCAACTTCATCATGGCAAACCAGACTATTTGGGTCATGAACATATTCCAGTAATGAGCTGATTGTCAGCATGCAGGCGGTGTGATGCAAGGCGACGTGACTCAGCAAACATCAATTGCTGTGAAATTTCCTTCCGCCTTTACAACAATGTCTACTGCGGCCATTCTGCGGTGCCTGGCTATGGATTGGCATATGCATAGTGTTTCCAAAGAGGTGTAGCTCCAGACAGCGTACTCCGTGTTACGATTAGCATGGGATTTCTACTTTGACAATTTTAACAAACCCAGGAAGCAGCGGACTTACCAAAACATGGCATTCTGTCAACAGCTGAGACTGCTATTATGGAAGAATGTCCTCCTACAGAGAAGGAAGATATGTGTGACGATTTTTGAGATCATTGGACCAATTTTGTTCGGTTTGATCATATTTGGAGTGAGATTTATTGCACCAGGTACATATGTTCCGGCGAGAGTGTATTACTATCATCACGTCCATCGGAAGATCTCTTCGTATGGATATTATAAGTCAAAGGAGGTGCTGTATACGCCTAACAATACGCTCATCAGGGGAATAATCTCAGATGTGAACGACACAGTGAATGAGCCGCTACTCAAACCAAGCTATCACTATTCAGGTTCAAGTAAGTATTCCCTCATTTTGCTCATGTTTCCAGTGCTGGACAGTTGGTGTTCATTTGAAAAACATGTTTAATTTATTCTGGACACCAAAACTGTTGAACCCCTGGCAATCTCTGTTAGAATTGGTCTGCACCAACCCATGCTTGTTGTAAGGGGCGACTAACGGGGTCGGGTGGTCACTTAAGGTATATAAAATGCAATTATATTATTTTAACTGTGGTTATACTACTTATGCATCATATATTCGTAATATCTTATTCTCACATGGTTTTGGTTATGTATGGCTGTTTCAATCTGTTACAGATATATCCTCTTTTATTAATGCCTTTAAAATGTTGCTATTGATATGTTCTTCAATCTTGGACTTATACTCTGAATAATAACTCCAGATATTGTATTTATCGTGAATATAAAAGTATTTTAGCTCCTGAGAAATATTTAGATTGCTTCATTGACAAACGACTTAGACATATATTTGTTAAGTTCAGATGTTGTTTATTAAGATTAAGACATAATGAAAGGAGATGGTTAGGGATAGATAAATCTCAACATTGACGTCCATATTGTAATTTAGGTAGTGAGGACGAGGACCATTTTCTATTCATTTGAACAGTATATGACATTCTACGAATTAAATACTAACCATATGTATATCGTCAAAATCCGAACATGCATAAATTTAGATCTATTCTATCAACGGATAATATCTTAGTTTTAAAAAGCTTGAGTAAATTCTTATGGCATGCATATATATTAAGAGAGAGTATATGTAAAGCTTGAGATGACAGATATCATATTTACAATATTGGTTTACCATGATATATATAATGTTAGGTTTTGTAAACTTCGGCAACACTGCAATTTATCTATTGTATACAAAACTGTATATAGCTTTCATTGTATATGGGTCTGAGGCCTTTGTACTGGAAATAAACACTTGACTTGACTTGGTTGACACATGTCATCGTATCCCAAGTGCGTATGTCGATGCTCATGATGTTGATCACTGGACTGTCTGGTCCAGACTCGATTGTTTTCATATATTTAGAATTCTGCTGAGTGTGGCGTTAAACAACAAACCAACCAAACGCTATTTCATATTCACTGAACGATAGCAGGTTGGAATGGATTGTGGAAATGCTAACTGCCAAGTGATCAATTGCCTTTTGCATTTGACAATGACATGGAAGATTAGTATGGAACCAAACTTATTATGAAACAGCATCTCTCATTGGATGAAACATGCAGGAAGTTGTAGGTTTCATCAAATGGTATTTCTCGTCTTATGCAACCTCACCTCATTCCCTTTGGAGTGCCGCTGTAAACATCATGATTCGTCACACTGAGGTTATTTAGAAATACTTGAAAGTTTTATCACTCAGATCAGACATTATACAACAGTATCTTATGGCTATATCGATGTGTTGTATGGTGCATTAGTAATGGGAATATGGTGCCGTGTTTTATAAAGTGTGTAAAACGTCACAATGAGCGTTCTGAAATGAAGACTGAAGTATATTGTGAGTGAATATAGTTTTACGCCTCTTTTAGCAATATTCCAGCAATATCACGGCGGGTAACAACAGAAATGGGCTTCACACATTGTACCAATGTGGGGAACTGAACACGGGTCTTCAGTCTGACAAACAGACGCTTTAACCATTAGGCTACCCCACCATTCCAATAGATATGGTAATATGTCTAAAGTTGTGTCGGGCAAATGTAACCCTTTGTCAGATACATAGGTCCTTTGTGAAGGATGTCCCATCTGATTGAGGGGTTAAAGTGTTCGCTTCTCACGCCGAAGACCCGGGTTCGATACCCCACATGGGTACAATATGTGAAACCCATTTCTAGTGTTCCCCGCTATAATTTTGCTGGAATATTGCTAAAAGCGACGTAAAATTCCATCTCATTGAACACCACTATGCCAACTGCTTTCCATGATGCCTCTTATATAGATCTTTTCCCAATCTTCCAGATACGATTTCCTTCAAAGGATTTTCTTCCCGGAAGGACATGTTGGAATACTTGAGCTTCAACATTAAAGACGTTCCGTTTGCTGTTGAGTTTGAGAATGTTGAAATGACAGACACGATCTTGCCCAGAAATTTGCAATTTGCAATACGTCCCAAAGTTGGACCATATATCGAATGGCATACCACTGAGACCTCCCCATTTGTGCATACTGGCACACCACGGCCCTACTTTAACCCGGGTAAATATTTAAACCATCATGTCACACACTGATGTTATATCAGACGACTTCCTGTTGCGCCACATACACAGAATCACACATTGGTGTTATATCAGACGACTTCCTGTTGCTCCACATACACAGAATGACACACTGATGTTATATAAGACGACTTCCTGTTGCACCACATATACAGAATGACACACTGATGTTATACCAACCGACTTCCTGTTGCACCACATACACAGAATCACATACTGATGTTATATCAGACGACTGCCTGTTTCGCCACATACACACAATCACACACGTATGATATATCAGACGACTTCCTGTTGCACCACATACACACAATCACACACTGATGTTATATCAGACGACTTCCTGCTGCACCACATACACTGAATCATACACGTATGTTATATCAGACGACTTACTGTTGCGCCACATACACAGAATGACACACTGATGTTATATCAGACGACTTACTTTTGTACCACATACACAAAATCATATACTGATGTTATATCAGACGACTTACTGTTGCACCACATACACAGAATCATATACTGATGTTATATCAGACGACTTCCTGTTGCGCCACATACACAGAATGACACACTGATGTTATATCAGACAACTTCCTTTTGCACCACATACACAGAATCACATACTGATGTTATATGAGACGACTTCCTGTTGCGCCACATACACATAATCACACACTGATGTTATATCAGACGACTTCCTGTTGTACCACATACACAGAATCACACACTGATGTTATATCAGACGACTTACTGTTGTACCACATACACAGAACCATATACTGATGTTATATCAGACGACTTCCTGTTGCACCACATACACAGAATGATACACGTATGTTATATCAGACGACTTCCTGTTGCACCACATACACAGAATCACACACTGATGTTATATCAGACGACTTCCTGTTGCACCACATACACAGAATCACATACTGATGTTATATCAGACGACTTCCTGTTGCGCCACATACACAGAATGACACACTGATGTTATATCAGACGACTTCCTGTTGCACCACATACACAGAATCACATACTGATGTTATATCAGACGACTTCCTGTTGTACCACATACACAGAATCACATACTGATGTTATATCAGACGACTTCCTGTTGCACCACATACACAGAATCACATACTGATGTTATATCAGACGACTTACTGTTGTACCACATACACTGAATCATATACTGATGTTATACCAGACGACTTCTGATGTAACACAACTTACTTACTGTTGCACCACATACACAGAATCATATACTGATGTTATATCAGACGACTTACTTTTGCACCATATACACAGAATCATATACTGATGTTATATCAGACGACTTCCTGTTGCACCACATACACAGAATCACTCACCGATGTTTTATCAGACGACTTCATGCTGAGCCACATGCACAAAAACACACACACTCGTGTTGTATAATGTGACTTCTGTTGCGCAGGACAAAAACTGTGATACTTTTGTTTTCAGACTACGGAAGGTTTTTAGGTCTTCAACGTATTGTTCATGAAGCTGTCATCAAACATTTCAATCCGAACGCAACTGAAACACTCAGCGAGATGAAGATTCAAATGCTGCGAATGCCATACCCACCCTACATCGTTGACGCTATGAGCATCCTGCTACAGTATGTGTTTCCTGTGTTGCTGATGCTCAGCTTCATCCTCATGGCCATCCAGACAACAAAGGGAGTTGTTTACGAGAAGGAAAGAAAACTGAAAGTAAGTTCCTGTCTTCTTTGAGAGTGGTATTAAATTGTCCATATAAACAGTAACTCTCTCAAAGCTCATATTTACTACAATACTGATTCATATGACTTTTTGATGTGTTTGTTTTTAAACATTTGTGCGCGCTTTGAGCATGCCCCTTTGTGGTATGGATTATTGCGCAATATGAGTACCCTTATTATTATTATTAATAAGATTTACAAATGTAATGAGTGAGTGAGCGAGTGAGTTTAATTTTACGCCGCACTCAGCAATATCCCAGCGATATGGCGGTGGTCTATAAATAATCGAATCTGGGTCAGAAAATCAGGTATTTTGTAATACATAATTTTGCTTGAGTTTCGTATAAGTCGTATGTCACACTTGCTAGAGTGTAATCATTATTTATTATCCATTTTATTCATGTACATTTGTGCAGTAAAACACCGTAAGCAAGTGTGACGGTCTTCTTTACTGACGTCACGTTCAATTGTTTAATGACATCACAGAAATACAGAAACATTGGTTGCTTGGCAAAAGTGATATATATGACATTGGTTATGTTTCACCATATGGGTAATAAACCGATTAATGTTTTTCTTTGATTTTTCGGAAAAATTCCATTGGGCCATACTTTCACATTTATGCTAACACCATATCACCATCTTGGGCTTAAACAGACCAAGGTGTTTAGTGAATATCGACCTTTCACAAGTCAGTGTCCTTATATTTTGATGTAGTGTATTGGACTACATCCGGGTATGCTGTGTGGCTATGGGAATCAATTAAGCGTGTGCCATAAATGAACACAGTTACGTTTTCAATCTGTTCTCAGCATTTATCTTAACTCACACGTGAATATCGTTTTCTGATTGGCTGAGCGCTCTTCTATTTTTTTTCTGTTACTCGCTTGGAATGCCGAACTGTGGGAATTCATTTGGTACTTCGTGTTAGTAATTCTATATATCGAATAACTGAGTTACGTATGATGTACTGAAATTGTCGATGTTCAGCGAATGCAAATCGATGGAAGGGAGATAACTCTAAATTTGTTTATTCTTGTCTGTCGTTGTCGGTATTGGCTAATTGCGTAACTCTGGCACTTCTTATTATGATCCGATATCTGTGCTGCAAACATTGTAAAATTAACATTGAAGTGTTCGGTGAGATAAATACGTTGTTCACTGGTCAATCGGGACCACAGGGAACATACACAAACATGGAGGGTCCATCAACCTATGTCCCCGTCGTGACCAGTGAACAACTTATTATCGTCCATGCCCCCGCTGAAATCCATGAAGCTCCTGCTGGACGTATGTATGTATGTGTGTGTGTGCGTGCGTGCGTGCGTACGTACGTATGTATAGTCAGTTGTGTGGATCCAGACTTGAAGTAACATATTAATTTTGATCTTCCACGTGTTTATCATACTTGCAGACATGACTACGTACATCATGTTTGTCTCCCCAGGAATCCATGAAGCTGATGGGTCTGAGCGCTTCAGCTCACTGGACATCTTGGTTCCTGACCAGCTTTATATATGTGGTAATATCAATGGCCCTGTATGCTTTGCTGTGTGGAGTTAACGCAAGTGGAAATGGGGCAGCTCTGGCCAAATCAGATCCCTCCCTGTTCTTTGTGTTCCTCCTCTGTTACGGCGTCTCCATCATCTCCTACTGCTTCATGATCAGCGTCTTCACTCAAAGAGGTAAACATGGTACAATGATAAGAGGTTGTAGCTTCGTGACATGTAAACATATTGTCGTCCTATAATAGAAGCTGATAGATATACTCCTATAATAACGGAAAACAGACGCAATGAGAGCCACGACAAATCGTGTCTTTCTCGGGGAAAATGCTTTATGCTTCCTAGAAACACGTCAGAATCCCGGGTATATTAATTATTATATGTTGTGTTATGTATTCAAGGTTAATACTACTACTATTCTCCACATGGGAAGCCCGTTTCTGGTGTATGCGGCCGTGATTTTGCTGGAATATTGGTAAAAGTGGGGTAAAACCCAACTCACTCACTCACGCTATTAGTATTGCAGTTTCACGAAACTACAACAATGAAGGAAAATGTGTTATCCTTGCAACACACAAGTCACCACGCCTGTCTGAATAAAACTTTATTTCAAAATGAAAGACACTTGTCTATTCTCTAAATTGGTTTATAACTGAACATTTCAAATAGCTATTTACCAACAAGATGATTCAAAGAAAGTAATACATTTGTCAAAAGGACTTTCTAAATGTTTCAGCCAACATCGGCGCAGCTATCAGCGGGATCGTGTTCTTCATATCCTACTGCCCGTACTTCTACCTCCAGATTCTGTACCACAGAATGTCAAGATCAGCCAAGTTGGCCTCCTGTCTCCTGTTCAATGTGGGAATGGCGTTCGGTGCAAATGTCATAACACTCTATGAAGGAGCTGGTACTATGTCATACATTTCTACTAGGGGCGGTGGCGTAGCCTAATGGTTAAAGCGTCCGCTCCTCATGTTGAAAATCCGGGTTCGATTCCCCACATGGGTACAATGTGTGAGCCCATTCCCGGTGTCCCCGCCGTGATATTGCTGGAATATTGCTAAAAGCGGTGTAAAACCATACTCACTCACTCATTCATTCACTCATTCACTCACTCACCCTTGCATTTCTGTTATTTTTAATATGTCTTGAAATACTGTTATAGAGCTGTGACTATTACACATCTGTATTTAGATCACAAATGTCTATTGATAGCGACATGTCTCAATATGCTTCTAATGGATATGGTTCGTCTCGCTGATTCATTGAACGTCTATATGTGTGAATATTGTTTATACGTTTGGCATCCGCCCTTATTATAGGGAGAAAAGGTCATGTTCATGTTATTTCGTCATACTTCATAGGCTCAGGTGTGCAGTGGTCAAATTTCCATGAGCCCGCTACTGTGGATGACAACTTCTCCCTGCTGGACGCCATGTTGATGTTGCTAGGCGACACGGCAATCCACCTCCTCATCACCTGGTATCTGGACAATGTCTGGCCAGGGGAGTTTGGTGTACCGAAACCATTCTACTTTCCCTTCACCGTAAGTGTTCATCTAGTTCGTGCCATTGGTAGTCCTTTGTTTTAAACATATTCTATTCATGAGAAAAGGATTGAGTAAAAGTTATACAACTTAGAACACCCCCTCCGTAGTATTTACATAGTATCATTTACATTCATTCAAGATGGACAGAGAAGAACAGAGCAGAAATATGGGAAAAGGAGGAACAATTGCAACAATTAAGAAAATCGTTTTGAATGACAAATATATGTTTGAACAAATTTTAAATATGTTTTGATTTATGTGAACAGTCAGATCTGCATTGCCATGTAATAGTAACTCATAGGTTATATCCACATCTGTAATACTGCGTAAATTAGTCATCATGGTAGTTCTCTGTACTGTATATAATTGACAGTAAAATAAGTAATGATAAGAATTTTCACAAACATTTCCACAAGAACGACTTGGGTTATCTCTTAAACCAGCACGGAATAGATCATAATTCAACTGACTACACATGTAACGTAATTTTGTAAGGATGATGTTAGTGATTCTCGGTCCAGAATCAAAGTATTGAGGAGCAGTTTTATGTTTTATAACAATATTCGATATAAAAGAATTCAATGACTCGCTTTTTCTCACTTCAACTGGAAGTTCATTCCACATTCTAATTGTGGATGAAAAACAAGAATCATACGAAAATGTTAATCGCGAGAAAGGAAGTGAGACATCATCAGAGTTGCGAAGATTATAGCTACATTTAGATGCTACGTCCCCAGGAACAAGATCAATAAGGTACGATGGTGCCATATTATTCTGTATTTTGTAAAAAAGGCGAAGTTTACGCTTTCTCCTACGTTCTGTTAAAGATTCCCAACCAGTTTCATAATACAGATGTTCATGATGAGTATATTTAGGTAAACCTGTTACAATTCTTGCTGCTTCTAATTGCAGTTGTTCTAATTTATTTGCTTGATATTTAGCACATCCATCCAATACTTCACACGCATATTCAAAATGGGGCCTTATGAACATTACTTAAATTCTATTCAATACAGAGCGCGGTAATAAAAATTTGAGTTTACGTAGAGAAGATATCATTTTTGAAGTTATTTTTACATTATTATCAATATGGTCAGACCATTTACAATCTTTTGAAAATGTTAATCTCAAATGTTTATGATTATTAACTGTTTTGACACAAACCCCGTTAAAGTAGAGATTTAGTGCATCAACATTCTTTTGCAAGGAGAAAAAGATTGCCTCAGTTTTATCAGGATTGTATGTTATAAGCCACCGCTTTGCCCAAGCCTGCAGCCTTTCCAAGTTTGAATTCAAATCTCTTTCAATGAATAGACGATCATGAGAAGATGACCCAAGAGACGAATCATCAGCAAATAATCGTGTCAAGCAGTTTAAATCATCAGCAATATCATTGACATAAACAAGAAATAAGAAAGGACCGAGGACTGACCCTTGAGGGACACCAGCTTGTAAATACCCCGGCTTGGATAGGGCTCCATTCACAAAGACGCTTTGTGAACGATTACTTATGTAATCTGCTAGCCAATTTAACAATGAACCATGAATTCCGTATTTTTCTAATTTCAACAATAAACCTTTATGCCACACACGATCAAAAGCTTTAGAGACATCACAGAAAACCATACAATAGTGTTTTTATCATCTAAAGCCGCACAGATTTGGTCATATATTTCAATTAATTGATGGACAGTTGAGTGACCAGACTGAACACCTGATTGATACTTATACAATAATCGATTTGCATGAAAATAGTTGTACAGACGTTTAAACATCACTCTCTCAAACACCTTGCCCACACAACTGATCAAGGATATAGGCCGATAGTTAGAGGCCATTGAGGGATCACCCTTTTTAAATAGGGGCATTACATATGCTTCTTTCCACACACTTGGATATCTACTACTTTTTAATGACTGATTAAATAACATGCACATTAGGTTACTTATTGAATGTACAACATTTTTAAGAAACTTATGACTGATTCTGTCCGGGCCAGAAGCTTTTTTAAGATGTAAACATTTGATTATATCGGACACTTCATTCACATCAATTGTTACACTATCTAAAACAGAATCAGTGCGTTTGTCAAAGAATGGCATATCTGTGTTTTCTTCATCAATACTAGATATAGACTGAAAATACTGATTAAGTTTCTCTGCTTTCTGCATATCAGTGAATAACGTTGGGTTTTCATCTGCATCATTTTGTCTTAAAGACGGAATGCAAGTGACTGATCCTGAATCATTAATCAAAAACCGAAGTAATTTCCAATAGGAATTTTTATTACTAAAATACAGATCAAGTAAAAAATCGTTTGTGAGACTGAAATGAATCCTTTGTATAACATTTCATATTATTTACTTTATCTCTTTGTTTCTTATAAGCCAAAATATCTACTAGACGGTTTGTCTTTTGGGCCTTTTTTCTCATTCTATTTCTTTTTCTACATTCTCTCCGAAGTTCTGAATTAAACCAGGGCTTATCAGTTGGTCGAATGGTGACCGTTCTAGAAGGAATACACACAAATATAAAACGGTTGAGATGCTTATAAAACAGTGCACAGGCTTCATTAACATTCCTGCAACTACTAAATATGTTATACCAATTTGTCTCATTAATCATAGCATCGAGTTTCTCATAGTCACCTCTTTCATAAAATAATACGTTTCTTTTGTAGGCTAACCTGGTATTTACGTGAGCATCAACGGTGATATACGTACCTTTGTGGTCACTTATACTTTTACATAAATCTACAACACCACTGTCTAAAACATCAACATCTTCAGATATAATGATGGGATCAAGCAGTGTGCTCGTTGTTTTTGTTACTCTCGTTGGGTCTTTAATAACATTTTTTAGGTGTTTTCTGGCTATTAAATCATGCAGATACGTGTTATTATTCGACAAAAGGTTTTCAAACACGCCACCACTTCCAGCTATGTAATTGTCCCCCGCCGCGCGTTTAGCGCGAAGCGGAGGATATAGTATTAGGCTCCGTCCGTCCGTACTTACGTACGAATTGGAATATCTTAAGAACCGTTGACTAGATTCTTTTCATATTTGGTACCTAGGTTCATCACAGTATAAGAAAGGCCAAAGTCAGGTTTGGTGACCTTGACCTTCATTTCAAGGTCTCAAGGGGACTAAAACGTTTTACCTGCATGTTAAGCTATCTGAAGAACCGTTCACTGGATTTTCTTCATATTTGACACCAAGCTTTATCTAGGGAAGGCGCAGGGCCCACTTTGGTGACCTTCACATAATTTTCAAGGTCATGGCGACACTTCTCTGAATTCGAAATCGATTTGTAAGATGAGATAATCTTTCACAACAACGTGAAAGGTATTATCCTTTTGAATCAACAGTCTTCAACATGTGAATTATATTTTTTGTATATCCTTGGGAACCTTTTTCATTTATAATATTCGATAATATAATATCATTAAGTGGTACTACGTATGAACCTTTCTTCCAACAGAGCCAGTACTGGTGTGGCACAAGACAATCCAACTTGGATTATACTGGCATTCAGCTGTGTGACGAAAAGCATTTTGAGGCAGAGCCAAGTGACCTGAAAACAGGGATATCTATCCAAAATCTGAAAAAGGTACATTTAGGGAGGCACTGGTAGCTCCTTGTAACGTCAATACGCTGATTTTTAGTTATATCAGGGACGGTGGGGTAGCCTCGTGGTTAAAGCGTCCGCTCATCACGCCGAAGACCCGGGTTCGATTCCCCACATGGGTACAAAGTGTGAAGTCCATTTTTGGTGTCTCACGCCGTGATATTCCTGGGATGTTGCTGACAAAAATCACTCACTCACTCACTCACTCACTCACACTCACTGTGCTGGAATGTTGCGGCCTCTACTCATTCCGTTTAAGATAAAAACTTTCGACATTTATTTTCAATAATACATTTGAATATATGACACGTTTTATGGATAACACCTTTATATCACATCATGTATTCATGTTTGTCCAACTTCTAAATACCTTCCAAGAACTTCAATAACACATTCATGCCAGTGAATCTTCTTGTGTTCTTAAATGCTGGCATTTAACGTCAGTCTAGTTAGTGAGTGAGTGTGGTTTCCCGCCGCTTTTAGCAATATTTCAGCAGAACTGGTCTTCATACATTGCTCCGATTTGGGGAATCGAACCCGGGTCTTCGGCGTGGCGAGCGAACGCTTTAACCACTAGGCTACCCCACCGACCCTAACGTCAGTGAAACATATAATATAACAGCCATTATTATAACTATCCGGGGCGGTGGGGTAGCCAAATAGTTAAAACGTTGGCTCGTCACGCCGAAGACCCGGGTTTGAATCCCCACATGGGCACAATGTGTGAAGCCCATTTCTGGTGTCCCCCGCCGTGATGTTGCTGGAATATTGCAACATGAGCAGATATTCTTGTCTCGAAGGTTTTCGGCTCCGGATCTAAGAAGAAGGTAGCTGTGGATGGGATGAGTCTCAACATGTTCGAGGGTCAGATCTCTGTTCTCCTGGGTCACAACGGCGCTGGAAAAACTACAACCATGTCTGTTCTTACGGGTAAGTTAAAAGTCCATGGGATTCTCTGTATCGAAACAGATATAGTGCTTATGCTACAATATCGCCACTATGAAATGTGTTGTATATTTCAAAATACAACGTTTCAGCTATGTACAACTGTAATCTTGTCTCAATGTATGGATAAATGGCCGTGAGAAACAGGTATTTATTTTAATCATCTTTCCAGTTTTTCAGGGGCGGTGGGGTAACCTAGTGGTTAAAGCGTTCGCTCGTCACGCCGAAGACCCGGGTTCGATTCCCCACATGAATACAATATGTTTGGCCCATTTCTGGTGTCCCCCGCTGTGATATTGCTGGAATATTGCTAAAAGCGGCGTAAAACTAAGCTCAGTCACTTTTGCAACAGTGGCAGATTGACCAAACGATATCGAGTCATTGTTGAACTTAATTCTCTTGATCTGAATACATTATATCTAAGACCTATATTACTGACAGACCGCCGCCATATAGATGCAGAAAAATTGCTGAGTGCGGCGTTAAAAAACAAACAAACCTACCACCAGAAGATCAAGACCGGTTGTCCTAAGGCGTTTCAGCGACTGACCATAGCTTCGTTTGATATTATCTATGTGAAACTGTATTACAAAATCCCAGTTGGTCAACAGTTGCTTTTTGATGAAATCTTTAATATACAATTACATTTGATTCACCCACTGTGATCCGTACACTGATGATATAATGTCATCTTTATTACATCCAAACCATTTACCAGGCTGTTCTCCACCCTCATGTCAAAGTTATATGTCATCATGCTGAGTGTCCTTTTGCTTAATTGTGCAGGTTTCATCCCTGCATCTGCAGGCACCGCCATTGTGAACGGTTACGACATCAACAACGACATCCAGAGTGTCCGGCAGAGTCTAGGTCTTTGTCCTCAGCACAACATCCTGTTTGACAGCTTGACTGTCCAGGAACATCTGGAGTTCTTTGCGACTGTCAGTTTATTTGTTATACATAGGGCTTTTATCTTAAATTTAATGTGTGGACATTGATGGCTTAAGTTTTATGTATTCATCCATCCATTATATGAACTAGATATCCTTATGTGCCAACTGCATTGCTTCAGAATTAATTATGTCTTACAGCTGAAAGGTTGTCCGAGTAAGGGTGTTGAATCTGAAGTTACAACCACAATTAACGAAGTTGGCTTAAGCTTAAAGAGATGGACCCAGTCTCAGCATCTCTCTGGAGGACAGAAGAGGAAGCTCTCTGTTGGCATTGCTCTGATTGGAGGATCCAAGGTGTGTCCCACAAAAATATATGTCCAAAGAAACATGCGGTGACATTTAACACATATTAAACACATTGGCTCTAAAACATGTATGTTAAGAGTAAAACTATGTCTGATCAACACATTTGTAGATCGTTATCCTGGATGAGCCAACTTCCGGTATGGATCCTGCAGCCAGAAGGCAGACATGGGACATCCTTCAGAGGAACAAACTGGGCCGGACCATGTTGCTGACCACTCATTTCATGGATGAAGCTGACGTTCTCGGGAACCGCATCGCCATCATGACAGAAGGGGTGGTCAAGTGCAGTGGGACATCATACTTCCTGAAGAAGCTCTATGGTATGGGTGAGATTATACTTGCACAACTGTATGTCTTTTCCATCACAAATTCACGATATGTTTTGCCTTCTTATATCCTTCAATGGATGGTTCTGAAGTCACTAGCTCTTTCTGAATCTTTAGGAGCTGGCTACCACCTGGTGATGGTGAAGGAACCCACCTGTCAGGTGGCATCAGTGACGACAGTTGTCCAGCAGCACATCCCTACAGCAGTCATGGAGAGTGAGATCAATGCTGAACTCTCCTACCTGCTTCCTGATGACCAGTCAGCCAACTTTGCTGCTCTCTTCACGGAGATTGAAGCCAGGGGGAAAGAACTCGGTATATGTAGCTTTGGTACCACCGCCACCACCATGGAGGAAGTGTTTCTCAAGTAAGATGAGTGAGTGAGCGGGTTTAGTTTTACGCCGCTTTTAGCAATATTCCAGCAATATCACAGCGGGGGACACAAGAAATTGACTTCACTCATTGTACCCATGTGGAAAATCGAACCCGGGACTTTGGTGTGACGAGCGAACGCTTTAACCACAAAGCTACCCCACCTCCCCTCAAGTAAGATGAGCCATTTACAATGTCACTCGACTAATCAGGGTATTGATAAGTATGTCGATAGGGTCCTAATGTTGGATAAAATATGTAAAACCTTGTCCAAATGTATCTAATCCCAAAAGATGGAAGAGTGTGAGTGAGTGAGTGAGTTAAGTTTTACCCCGCACTCAGCAATATTCCAGCTATATGGCGGCAATCTGGAAATAATCGAGTCTCGACCGGACACTCCAGTGATCAGCAGCATGAGCATCGATCTGCGCAATGGGGAACCGATAACATGTGTCAACCAAGTCAGCAAGCCTGACCACCCGATCCCTTTTTGTCGCCTCTCACGACAAGCATGGGCTACTGAAGATCAATATTCTAACCCGGATCTTCACGGGTAGATGGCAGAGTAAACCAAAGCATGACAATGTTACAAAACGGCATTTGATCATGTCGTTGCGTTGTTGCGTTGTTGTTTTACGGCATTATCGTCAATCGGAAAAGTCAAACATTATTAGGACCGTGAAAAGAGTCAAAACGTGTTTTGTCGCATATTTGTATTTTCGTGCCTTGTTTAATATTATTACCTTTTGTAGAGGCGGCATTGCAACAATACCTCTCCTAGGATACCATACCCGGCCAACTGGTACAAACACTTTTAAAATATGTGTCAGTTTCATAACGTTACTCATATTAAAACTGTATTGATAATTTCTATTTTAGGGCGGGTCAGGATGACAAGGTTGATGATGAGTGTAACCCAGCTGGATCCTCGAACAATCTGGCACCACCGGTAGTACATATATGGCAGAACAGTAGCTCCGAACTGCAGGACACAGAAACATCTAATATATTGGGTACATTCCATTATGTGCATGCTATTCCTCTCTAACATTTGCTCAACTGAAATAAAACAGTTTGTGATACAGAGTTACAGTGTTATCGGACGGAGGTGTTTGGGATTGTCTGCTTGACTCTGCATGCAATGTAACCTTTGTCAAATATGGAAAACCATGAAAAGCTTCTTTATAACAAAACAACCCAATTCATTTCAACATGCCCATGGATTAAAATCACATTTCTTATCTTCCAGCATTTAATCAGGGCTTCACCAAACGTAAAGGTTTGGATCTGGAAGTGTCTCGCTTCAGAGGAATGTTTGTAAAGAAGGCTCTTCACACATGGAGGAACAAGACCATCACCATTGTCCAGCTTCTACTGCCGGTGTTATTCACTATGGCATCTCTAGCTGTCAGCATGGTAAAACCAGGAACCGTGGCTACAGAGGTCCCACTGACTCTCGACTTGGCTCCATTCAAAGGATCATTTGTACCATACGTAGGCGAAGATCTCGCTGGGCAACTACCTGAATCATTTGCTAATGCATACAGTGCACAATTCTCTGGAACTGTGAATCAACCTGAGAGAATTGATTTGTTGAAGTATCATAATATATCCAATTTCTTCTTGTCAAGAGCAGACGACCTTGGTATTGGTAGATACAATAAGAAAATGATCATTGGAGCACATTTTAAATCTAACAATGAAGCAATTGCTCTCTTTAATGGACAACCATACCATGCCCAGCCCATAGCTTTGTCATTCATGATGAATGCGATCCTCAAACACTTCACCTCTAATGGGTATTCCATTACAACAATCAACAACCCTCTTCCATATCAGGCGAAAACCTCATGGGATCCCTCAGTGCTTTCCATACTGTTCCTCGGGTTCTCTGTGGCTCTTTGTCTGATGTTTGGCATGGCCTTCCTAACATCTTCCTTCGTGTACTTCCTCATCAAGGAGAGACTGGTGGGCGCCAAACATCTTCAGACTGTCAGTGGAGTTGGACCGTTTGTTTTCTGGTTGTCCAACCTGGCCTGGGACTACATCAACTACCTGATTCCATCCTTGTTGCTGTTGATTGTGTTTGCTGGGTTCCAGTCTCCAGCATATACAGAAGACGGGAGATTGGGCATCGTGTTCCTCGTCCTGCTGGTGTATGGTTTGGCAGTTCTCCCATTCATGTATGCACTTCAGTATATGTTCAAGTCTCCTCCTACCGGGATGGTTGTCATCATCATCTTAAATATTATCACAGGTGAGGTATTTTTGATTGAACTGACATATACGAAAAATAGTTCCGGTATTTTGCTATCGTTCTTGAAATGGTTCATACTTGAAGTAATAAATAATTTCAGGCTGTATTCATATTAAATATTATTGCAGGCTCAGTATGTTAGTCTTGGTCTGTCTCATCATCATGGGTGCGGTAGATTGGTAAATGATCGTGTCACGCCGACTTCCTAGTTCGATTTACCACACGAGAACAGTGTGTGAGACTAATTTCCGTGAAAAAAGCTGGAACATCGGTTTGTTTGCTTCACTTTACGCTTGGTTGGTTGGTTGTTTTACGCCACTCTCAGCAATATTCCTGCTATATGACGGCGGTCTGTAAATATGGAGTCTGGACCAGACAATCCAGTGATGAACTGCATGAGCATCGTTCTGCGCAATTGGGATGCGATGACATGTGTCAATCATGTCAGCGAGCCTGACCACCCGATCCCGTTAGTCGCCTCTTACGACAAGCAGGGGCTGCTGAAGACCAATGCTTACCCGGATCTTCACGGGTATGGAATACTAGTAAAAGTAGTGTCAGTCTAAGTCACTCACGTCCTCATTATCATTATCATTATGAAAAGGAACCCACAAACTCCATTGTATTCAATCAGTATTCAATGTTTATATACTTTAAGTCTTTGGGGTTTGTAGTTCAGTGAGCATTAACCGGAGGGGTTCTTTCACTTCGACGAGGTTATCCTTTAATTGCAAAAATACACTTTTCTTCCCAAACAGGAATGGCGAGTATCTTGTCAGTGTTCATTCTGGACGCAGCCGGAGAGAAAGAAGAGTCTGAAATAACAGACTGGGTATTTACAGTGATTTTCCCTCACTACAACTTTGGCAAGTCATTCATGAACATGTACAGCAATTACCTGTACCTCCACAAGTGTATTGAACGAAACTACACGTCAATGTGTGTAAGACCTACGAGGAACCCATGCTGTAAAGGTAAGTTTCATTTGTTGATCCTGTGAAATATTTGTATGAATTTGAAATGTCGAAGGAAAGGGCCAGTTCTGTGATTTTAGTAATGATCCCCTACTCATATTTGATTTTAATCATAGTGATACCTAACGTGGTAATTTGTTTTGTGATCTAAAGTAAAAAGTTAGGAGCCGTGGGTTAGCCTAGTGGTTAAAGCGTTCGCTCGTCACGCGGAAGACCCGGGTCCGATATCCCATATGGGTGCAATGTATGAAGCCCATTTCTGGTGTCACCCGACGTGATAGTGCTGGGATATTGCTAAAAGCGGCGTAAAACTAAACTCGCTCACTTTACAATTTATGTTTTCCTCGTGGTCTGATTTTTATAACATAGATCGCTACCAATATTGAATCCCAAATTCCCAATGTACTGTGAAACTTTGGATCTGTTTATAATGTAATAATGAAGTGGTTTAACACTTACCAGTCTTCGTAATTTACAACTAAATATATTCTAAAAATCCTTTAAATACAAGACCTCATTGTTCATAAAACGTGGTCTTATTGCTTGGTTTCAGACTCATGTGGAGATTACTGTTTTCCATTTAACGAAAACTTCCTGGATTGGGACTCTCCCGGAGTTGGGCGCTATATTGTGTTCATGCTGCTCCAGTCTTTGGTGTATATGTCAGTGACACTGTTCATTGAGTACCAGGTACCACAGAGAATCTGGTACGCCTTCAGACCAAGGGAAGCGGACGTCGCACAGCCTGTTGAGGTGGATGGAGATGTTGTAGCCGAAAGACAACGCGTAGAAACATTCGACAAAGATGTGGCTAACACTGACTCACTGGTCCTAAAGGATCTTTACAAACGCTACGGGACTTTCGTTGCTGTTGATAATTTGAGTGTGGGTATTCCAGAGAAGGAGTGTTTTGGTCTCCTTGGACAAAACGGAGCAGGAAAAACAACAACTTTCAAAATGATTACAGGAGATGTGATGCTGACGCGTGGCAATGTTTTCTTGAAGTCCTTTGACATCAAGAATCACACCCAGAAGGTATAAGTATTCAACACTTAGCATACGGAAGTTCACATTGAAAGACTGTATTTTGATGTGTGTTCAACTCGGTTTTGAAAAAGGTATATCAGATAGTTCATAGCATGTCAGCAAAATGTGTCAGAAAATCCCGATTATATCATGGATGTCATCATGGTGTACATAGAATTCGAACCATATTTGTAGGATCCTACTACCTAAGGGGAATAACTATTCTTGGCTCATGCTATAATCCCTCGTTCTTTAATTTCAACACAGCAATAACAAGTATAATGTATTTCTGTAAAACTGATGAAGGCTATTTTAGAAGACCTGTTACACAAAGGGTGTTGCAGTTTGCAGATGTAGAGAGGTGATAGAAAGGGCCAATTGTCGTCATGTAACGATGTTGTTAGATAAGTGACAAGTGAATATCAAGGGACCCGCTTAATGTAACCGTAAGTCAACTAAACCATCACAGGTGCAAGAGAACATGGGCTACTGTCCCCAGTTTGATGCCCTGATTGACCAGATGACTGGACGAGAGACTCTCACCATGTACGCCAGACTCAAGGGAGTGCCGGAGAACAGCATTAAGGGCGTGTGTGGCAACCTGCTGGATATCATGATGCTCAGACAGTATTCTGACAAACCAACATCTGAATACAGGTATACACATAAAGGGCATAGACATAAATATACTCTCCCAAAAAAGGAACTCATAGTTTCAACATTATACTTTGATTTTTTTAATTTCACCATCGTGATACTGGTTTACGTACATGTGTGCCGTGAGTACGTGTCTATCGATGTCGGAATGAACATAATGTCGGTAACAAACGTAAACTCTTCAACTATCACTCTGAAAGATTTTTTGATATTTCACTTGCTTATTTCCAGTGGTGGTAACAAGCGTAAGCTGAGCACCGCCATCGCTCTGGTTGGAGACCCGGCCTTCATCATGCTGGATGAGCCGTCCACGGGGATGGACCCCAAGGCCAGGAGGCAGCTCTGGAACGTCTTGTCACAGGTCCGGGAGTGCGGCAGGACACTCGTGCTTACGTCTCACAGGTCAGTTTAAGGCTGTTGTATATCCCAATATTCTGAAAACATGGAATTCCAAGGTTTTGATTTTTTTCTTTCTGTGCACCTTAATACAAAAAACAATTTCTTTAAATTGCAGGAACTTCTGCTAAATTTTAACAATACATAGTATTCCATCTTTTCAGTATGGAAGAATGTGACGCTCTGTGCACAAGAATTGCCATCATGGTGAATGGAAGATTTGTCTGTCTTGGAACACCACAACATTTAAAGACCAAATTCGGTCAGGGCTACACGCTGATAGCCAGGATGAAAACAGTTGAAACCGAGCCAGGAGTATCAGAGGGGACAGCCCCCGCTTCAACGGAACCTCTGGTGAACTTCATCAAATCAACCTATCCTGACACCAAGGTGTTCGACGACCATCAGGGCTATGTTCACTTCCAAGTTCCTTACAGCTCTGTCAGTCTCGCTCAGGTCTTCACCGTGATGGAACAGTCCAAGGTGCAGTTCTCTGTCGAGGACTATTCAGTTCACCAAACAACCCTTGAACAAGTGTTCCTCTCATTTACACGTTGGCAGGTTCCACCAAGGGAGGATAAAACAAGCCTTTGCAAGAAGATTTGTTGCTGCTAGCATTGATTACTGTTCTTGTTCTTGCTATCATTATTATTTATTATGCAAATACGATGTCATCCCGGGGATTAGGATGCCACAGCTAAATGTGTGAAACTGTCAGATCGTGACTTCAAATCCTAGATCTGACTCTAGTATGTCTCCAGTTTGTCAGTAGCCTTGACTTTCACCAAAGGGGTGAAACTACTACGACTTTCCACAAGCTGACACGCTGCCATATAACTGAAATACTTAGTCCTCATCTGCAATATAACCCACATATAGCATCTCCCACAATTCTCAGTTGTAAGCACTCAAGAACATGCGTTCAGAGCGGATATACCTACACTGTGATATTAACTTATTTATTACTCAAATGTGACTTATCACCAATTAATGACTGCGTATGGAACAGGGCCTAGATTTTCGAAGCTCTCTTAGCGCTAAGATAGTCGTAAGTTATTGTTAATGTATGGCACTTACGACTATCTTAGCGCCAAGAGAGCTTCGAAAATCTAGGCCCATGGCTGTTACAGTGAACAAGTCGATACAAAGGCAAATACACCAAAGGTCAGGAACAATATAGATAGATGGATATATATAGTCGTGTACCAGTGTGAATGTTTCACTTGATTATGAATTAGTCAACAGCTTTCTTTAGCCAGTGTCGTTTATCTGTATTTACTTGTAATATCGACCGGCTGTGTAATAAACTTGACGATAGTGACTTCCTTAATTGACCACTTTGATTGCATTTGTCTTCTAAAGGCGTTTGTTTATGAGTGTGTTGACGTACCTGAATTGTGTGATACTGAAATCTATTTTAGTTTACTATGACAGACTTTCGTCAGGTATTTATGTGTTGAGAAGAAACACTTCCTAAGAAATACTCTCATGTTGGTTTCCTTTTTCATTACTCAATACTCAATGTATGTATGTTGGACTATTCACTGTGTGTGTATGTTGGACTATTCACCTTCTGTGTATGTTGGACTATTCACTATGTATTCCCTATGTATGTATATTGGACTGTTCACTATGTGTGTATGTTGGACTATTCACCATGTATGTATGTTAGACTATTCACTATGTATGTGTGTTGGACTATTCACTATGTATGTATGTTGGACTATTCACATTGTATGTGTGTTGGACTATTCACTATGTATGTATGTTGGACTATTCACCTTGTGTGTATGTTGGACTATTCACCTTGTGTGTATGTTGGATATTCACCTTGTCTGTATGTTGGACTATTCACCTTGTGTGTATGTTGGACTATTCACCTTGTATGTGTGTTGGACTATTCACTATGTATGTATGTTGGACTATTCACTATGTGTGCATGTTGGACTATTCACTATGTGTGTATGTTGGACTATTCACTATGTGTGTATGTTGGACTATTCACCTTGTGTGTATTTTGGACTATTCACTATGTGTGTATGTTGGACTATTCACCTTGCGTCTATGTTGGACTATTCACCTTGTGTGTATGTTGGATATTCACCTTGTGTGTATGTTGGACTTTTCACCTTGTATGTATGTTGGACTATTCACTGTGTGTGTATGTTGGACTATTTACTATGTATGTATGTTGGACTATTCACCTTGCGTCTATGTTGGACTATTCACCTTGTGTGTGTGTTGGATATTCACCTTGTGTGTATGTTGGACTATTCACCTTGTGTGTATGTTGGACTATTCACTGTGTGTGTATGTTGGACTATTCACTATGTGTGTATGTTCGACTATTCACTATGTGTGTATGTTGAACTATTCACCTTGTGTGTATGTTGGACTATTCACTATGTATGTATGTTGGACTATTCACCTTGCGTCTATGTTGGACTATTCACCTTGTGTGTATGCATTTACGTTACGATTTCGAGGATTACGTAGAATCCATGCAACCAAATTCTTCAACTACCAGGTAATGTTGCTCATAAATAATAGCTTATGTAAGCCACTCGATTCACTCCTGTCAAACATATAGAGACGTTGTCAACTTCATATCTCCTCTCTAGGTGTATTGTAGTTTTAAAATGGGTGTCTGTGTACTCGTGTGTATCTTAGTATATATCTGTCTATATTGTATTTATATCTGTACATCTGCATTTATATCTGTGTGTGTATTGTGTGTGTGTGTGTGTGTGTGTGTGTGTGTGTGTACATATGTACCTATATGCCTTCATATGTAATAACGATTTGTTGTTGTTGACATTCACTGTCTCCTTTGATTTTATTTGAAATACTCGTTATCACTGGAAAAACATTGCTAAAGGAGATTTGTTAAGAAATCTTTATGTGAAACAGTACAAAATGTTCTTTATCAGTTTAATACGATATGATATAGTAAAACAATCCCCCCAACTCCTGTGTATATGAGTATGGTGTTACGCAGCTTTCAGCAAACATTCCAGCAACATTACGACGGGGAACAGCTGCAGCTACAATTAAAAAATGAATCATCACATGCCTTAAATGGGTATACAGCTTCACCCCAAAATTGAGTTGTTCAACATGAAGCGTTATATTAGTGGGCGCGGTGGGCGCGGTGGGCGAGCTGGCTAAGGCGCCAGGCTAGTGATTCAGCGAGGTTGAGGTGTCGGGATCGAGCCCACCTGTGACCGGGTGTAAAAATCTTGGAGTCAACTGTGTGTGCAGACTCTTTCAGTGTTGTCACAACCCCTAGTGTACAGTACACAACCCTGTGCACTCAAAAGAACCCACGAATCCGTTGGTATATGACCAGATGGTGGCCACATGAATACGTGCAAACACCCAGTTGCGGGTACAGCAACGTGCAGTAAACTTGGACAAAGTACTGTGACTATGTGTGCCAGTCCACCCAGCTGTGAATGGGTACCTCGTTAGGATGAGAAAGCCACAAAAACTCGGTGCGCCTATTGGCTGCGAGAGTTGTATACTCCCCAGGGAGTTGAGATTGATAATAAGATGTGCCGTTGAGATTGAGATTCAGTGAACGAGGGACAAAATACCAGCGCCTTGAGCAAGCACTAGTTGCTTGGATATGTGCGCTATATAAATATCCTATAATAAAAATTTAAAAAATATTACAGTCATCCCTCGCCATAACGCGGGTCTCGCATTTCATGGTCAACCGCGTTCCACACGACATGGAATAAAGGCCAAGTGATATCGTACTTTTCTTCTGGCTAGCATAACTACCCGTCAATATCGTCGGCGGTAGTAAAAAAACTTTGTCAATCAAAATAGTAGACTTGCGATCAAACATCAACAGACATGATAATTCACAATTTCAACTGTAGTTCCTGTCATGCTAGGCATTACAATATAATTATGTGGGGAAAATATCACCATTTACATTATTTTCAAGTAGAGTAGAATGTTTTGCCCCATTCTACCGGTACAAGCGGACCCTCACGAACATGGTAAGCAGAAGTTGTACGTGTATAGAATGAGGCGAAATGAGCATGTCATTTCACTTACGTCATCTCCAGTGTTACTCTAAACAGTTATTTTTAATGAATATGGGACAAACTTTAATTAAGTTAGATGAATGAGTCCCAAAACGAGGAAGATCGTTGTATCATGTGTTTTCGTTAGGCAATGTTTACTCGCGCTATAACGAGGTCTGTTGCATCACGGAGACACTGCAAATATTCAGATGATGGCATATCTTTATGATAATATTGTCTTTTATAAGTTAGTGCGAATTCCACAGTTTGTTAAATATTGAATTATAAGATATGTATATGTTTAATCTTCGTCTATAAAACAAACCCATTCTGCGGGACGGGTTGTATACAATGTATCTTGATAATTCCATATTAAAACAGGGATCTTCACCTAAACTGATAATGATGGGACAACTTAAAGATAACTAAGTACAAACATCGTTGTTTTGATAGTACGATATCATTTCTTTGTGATCAACAACCTACATGCATACGATCGATCTAATCGATATTTGAGTTAGAATAGATCGGTTAACCGTGAACAACCAAATACGAAACTATAGTGACGTCTGCGACAACAAATTTTCCAGTGGAATTGACTAGCTCTAAGCCATTCGTCACCACTCGCCCCTTTCCGTAACCGCCAAGAAGCTATTCGGCTTGTCCCGGAATAACACGAGTGGGGCACGAATGGCTCTAAGCCTAGCGGAGTTATGCCCCTTGATGCATCCTGCGTCAACAGACGCCTATGGGAAAACGCAATGCTTGTCTTTCATGAAGGCTATTTTTCATATCGAAAGGATAACGTTATGCATAAACATACAATCAGTTTAATATATATTAAATGCATCTTACGTTCAGATGTTAGGTAGTGTTTTGTTCGCGCATGGTTTCTGTAACGATATTAAACCTAAACATCGTTGTACAGTGAAATACACAATGCCATTTAGAAAGTGGTCAAATGTAACATATGTTATATTTGGGATTACACTTTCTCAGTAAAGTACAAATTCTAGGACTTTTTGAGTTGAGACCCATCTCTTAACAGTGACAACATTTTACGTCATGACAGCGTGTACATTTCGTCAGTGACAAGATATTGTTACGAGTCAATTTTCAAACAATAATTAACACAGGAATCTATATGCAAACAATTCACTGTGAAACAATCAAGGAACAGAGAAATGTTATACAATTACCAAGTGTATAACAAACTTTACAAATCAATGAAAATTACTACAAAGTAATTACAATGACAGTTGTACCCTATTTGTAGTAGGGTTGAAGTTCAATGTCAGTATAGAGTATTATAGCAGACGTGGTAGCTGTAAAGTCGCTGATTGGATTATTCACATGGCAGCAAAGTATTATATCTTCCCTACCACTGCTTACATCAGATAGTAATATATATTCCGTACAACTAATCGTTGTGAGCTCGCAATGTTATGAACATATGTTGAATCTTTCAAGAACCAATGTAGTACAATTACAACGTTGTTTCACGACAATATACACCCACACCCACACCCACACCCACACCCACACCCACACCCACACCCACCTCTCTCTATACACCTCCATAGAACATGATCAATTGATTACACCGAGACATTATGTGGAAATTCGAATCCGTTTGCAGTTGGCCAGTTCCCACACAATCAATAAATTGCGGAAATTATTGTCACTTGGAATGACGGACATTTGATTAAACAGGGTAAATAATTCTAACGAATCTTAAGTGTGATCATGTAATCAACGTTATTGACACAAAACTGGTTTGAGGTTAGTTAACACTTAGATAGTATTGTCTCCATTTATTTACACGTCATTCGTATAACAATGTGTTATGTAATGGACGGCCAGTCGGCATCTGCTTTCTCAGTGGGTGTTAGGTGTTTATCACAGCGTGAATATCGTAACAGGTGTTTGTTTAACGCCGCACTCCAGACAATCCAGTGATCAAAAGAATGAGCATTGATCCGTGCAATTTGAATACGATGACATGCGTCAGCGAGCCTGACCATCCGATCCTCGCCTGTTACGACAACCAAGGGTTGCTGAAGATCAATTCTAACCCGGATCTCGGTGACAAGGAGATGTAGGTGGATAATCAGCAATTATGCACGTCCCAGGCATTTACTACTTTGGTAAATTCCACCAGCACAGGTGCAGACAAACCATAATCAGCTAACATGGTTGTGTTTTTGACGGACGGGTTCTAGACTTTTGTCATGGCAAAGCAAATTTCCGGAGCTTTAGACAACTGGGTCGAAAGTACACATCAAATGTCGTACGAAATTAATCAACTCCACAAAGTAAATCATGTGTTATCCCTGACGGCAGATGTGAAAAAATACAGTATTCAACACATAGTGAAAACGTTTCCGATTCTATGTTTAAAAGATGTTATCGTAGTGTATTTTCGTAAGGACACTGTATCAAATGATATTAAATCCTACTTCTCCTAATAAGGGCATCTTAGCGAGTACAGTGGCCTCCCTTTGTAGTCCCAGGATGATGTACACAGAGTCCCGTTAATACGGACCCTATCCTTATCCAACAGCGGGTATTCGGTATTATCGGTTTGCATGCATGTTGATGTAAACACTTACTGTTCGGAAGGCAGGGGTTGGGACAAACGCAACATTTCTGCATTTGAAGTTTGACAGATGTACTCGTTATAATGTAACATATACTCTCCCTAAAAAGAAACGCATTGGGGTATTGTCACGAATGTTATCTACTGATAACACATGTAATTCTGGATCAGTTGCAGTCGAGTGTCACTTTAAAAACAACCAATGCCTGTTAATATGTATAGTTTATTAAAGATTCAATAAGTGAAGGCGTCCGTTTCCAGTTGTGTTCGATATCTGGTGTGGCCACCATGAGCCCCCATAACTACTCGACATGAACTAAATAAGTCTTCGAATTCGACCTTGTGAAATTCTGACTCATTCCTCTGCAATGCCTGCGACAGTTGATCTAACGTCTGGGACGCCGGTTGACGGTCACCCCACAAATGCTCGATGGGGTTGAGGTCCGGCGATTTGGAATCTCACGGCATCACTGTAATGTTCTCATTCTCAAGTTACCGAATGGTGTCACATGCCCTGTGAGGCCTGGCATTATCTTGCTGGAACAACTCCCTCTACCGGTCAATGATCGGAACGAGGTGAATCTTCACTATGTCGTCTCTGTACCGAATAGCAGTTAAATTGCCCTGATGGCTCACAAAGTTAGATTTCTGTATGCCTGTTGGATAATTGCCCCCACATCATGACCCTCCCACCACCATCTCGATCAACCTGTCGACACAAGTCTGGGCAATACCTTCATTTCGACGTCGTACTCTTCCGTTAAGGCACTGCAGCAGAAAGCGTGATTCGTCACTGAACCATACACGTCGTCTGCTTAGTAAATTCCAGAATATAACGTTATTGCACCACTGGACCCGTCGACGTCGATGTAGTCGTCGCAAAACAGGGCAAAATCGGATCTCGAAGTCCGAAGTTCAGCTTCTCGTAAACGATTACGAATGGTTTGAGCTTTGTTGCACTTGCACTTTGTTGCCGTTGCAATTGCTGTGATGGTTCGATTCCGCAAATGAAGTACCCTTATGTATCTATCCTGTGCTGCAGTGGTAATCCGGGGTCGAACCACTTCTAGGCCTGTAGGTTTGTTGACTCTGGTGAACATTGAGGTCACGTGCTTGGGCAGATTGAGACTCCTCTGCCTCCAGACGTCCAATGACAATGTTCCGATTTACAGCATTGTGTTCTGGCATAAGGATATTCTTTCATTTAGCTAAACAAAATGCCGATGACCGTTCAAAAGCAAAACGCTCTTATATAGACTATGTCCCTGCTCACGATTCCTCAGATCTGCACTTTTTTATCCATGAAAAATTCATGCAAGTTGACACTTTCGAACGTAAACGTACATAAACCAGCTATTATAATGGCAAAATAATAACAATCAAACACTAATTTTGAAAAATATTTATACTTTCCTTTATCGTTATCATCTATGCGTTTCTCTTTTTTGGGAGAGTATATATTAGAAACAATTTTAAAGAATGCTTAAAAAGCAAAACTGCTCCTCGAATGGTAATATTAATACCGTGAAAAGAACAAAAGGCTGGCCAGCGAGCTAATCATACATGAATTTTAATAAACCTAACTTTTTACAATATTAAAAAAATATCCAATCTACGTTAATATTAGCTAAATTTACTTATTTTCCACCAAATAATTCAGTGTATTGCATGTGTTTCTAGAAAATAACAATAAACATAAGCAGATCATCCGCTTGTATACTTCCCCTATACAATATTTAATAATACAGCATGCGAACAGATGGCGATGGTGTCCGTATTAATATGTACCAGCAGGTTCAACGAACCGTGCGGCCTTGCCCAACAAAACATCATGTTGGAAGAGACCTCGTTCAGTTTCCCCTCAATAATTCCAATACAAAGTGACGTCTTAACACATGACCCATCTGTTCGATTTGCACATCAATAAGTAATGACGCCCTCGTTCTGGGCGCTGCATAGGTAGAGCAGTGCAGGTGCGACATCAGACCAGCTGGTCTATTGACGGGGCGTTGCCGCAAGTCAGGTAGAGATGCAGATGCTGGCGACGAGATGGATTCCTGTGATGCTGGGTGCCTAGACGACAGGGTGGACAACTAGATTCCTCATCTAGCGTTGAAATATGACATGGGGTGCCATTTGGATGTAGACAATTGGCACGGGATACCGTTGATACGTGGTGAAGAGGAAGAGAGGAAGGTTGGTTACCTTGTTGCCTTCAGGTAAATGATTGTGACATGAGCAGCTGGGGCTATTGTAACAGTAACTCGCAACGGGAACCATAAAACTGTAGCTGAAACGAGCTGTTTTCATAACAGCAGCAGTAGGAGGTCTGCTCCAGGAAGGGCGTTAACATTGCTGTTCCATATCCCGGTGTCATTCAGAAGGATCAGGGGACAAACTGTGAAGGGTGTGGATTTGGGTGTGGACAACAGTGACCTCAGCTTCACTGTCGTATGCATACACCAACATGGGTTTCTTTCGACACCTCGGGCTTCTGATATGGAAAAACTCTCTACTTCAACGGAGGAAGATATGTGTCACCATATTTGAAGTGATCCTGCCCTTACTTTTCGCTGTTGTGTTTCTGTCATTGAGATTCGTCGTTAAAGTTCAACGTGTGGATAACTCAACGAATTATGAGTCGTTCCCTGTGTCCGTACCAAGGGGAATGCCAGGGAAGATACTGTACACCCCGAATATCCCGATCACAGACGACTTGATGGCAGGTGTACAGAGTGCTACGAACACTTCTGTTCGAGGTAAGACGAATCATAGACATATATAGACTCGTATCAACAGTATCAGAGACACATGTAGACATACGCATGACATTCAGGCATATAAAGGCACAAAGACACAAGCAGTACATGTATTGACCAGAGGACGGGTGCATGTGCACTCCACCTCCAACCCGTCGATCCGCGAGAAGCAGAATGTTAGGTTCATTTTGACTCTAGCTCATGTTGTCGACATTTCAAATCTTGACTCATCAGTAAATATAATGATTTCCAGTGCTATTCCCTAATTTTCTTGTATTATATGCTCCCGTGATTTTAAGTACCAATTGACTAGCCTTTGGATGTGTTTATAGCAGATGGCACCATAGGGGCGGGATACCACCTGGTATTATCAGTGTTCATATATATATAGAGAGACATTATTACACGAGCTAGTGTGTCATACGATTTATACGAAACGAGTGTGAAATTGTGTGAAATACACAATTTTGCACGAGTTTCGTATAAGTGGTGAGGCATACTTGCTCGTGTAATAATTTCTATATTATCCATTTCATCCATGTACATTTGTGTAGTAAAACAAGGTAAGCAATGGTGAGTGCCCTGTTCATTGACGTCACTGCACGTTCTATTGTTTAAGAACATCACAGACGACGAAATACAGACAAAATGGTTGCTAGGCAGAAGTGATATGAGCACAAGTGCATATATGGATAATAAAAGCACTTACTCGAGGTATAGTCTGACTCTCACGAACGACTCCCCTATCAGCAGTGATTAATAGTGAACATGGATATCGTATTTATAAACTTACCATTAAAAGTGATGACTGATAATAGAACGGATACAATTATTTCACACTTTCTCATCAAGAATACACTCTAACTGTATATGCATCGTTTAATTCGCACTTATATAAAAAAAGCTTGCAGCTGTCATGAAACAGGTGCGCAACATTTATGCATCAGCATGAATTTGCTATTGAATTTGATCCAATTGTTCTGAGTCACCTCTACCATATGGAAAAGGGGTAGATTCATTAGCCTATACAGCCTATACCTTGCAGTCATCGCAGGGAACAGATCGATAAGGAGACGTGTTAGTCAGCCGTGGAGCACGCTAATGAAGATGTCTTTCTTAATGTACATCTATGTATTTTGAGTTATTGTGAAAATATGAAAATGTGTCAAATGACATTTCTACTCGTAAGGTTAGTTACCGGAATAATTCGTGCGTATGTCATCATTTAAAATGTAATACTTGCTCATGTATTACTTACAAGTTGATATCGATCTGCCGGGAGGTTTCACAATACCTTAGGGTCTGTTTGGGTTGAACAATCGATACACAGATAATGATCTTTTAACCAGGAACAGAATAGACGTGAAATTACCTTGAGATGTGAGAAGGCACTCTGCCTTTGTTTACTTGTGGCATGGTATGAACAGTGGGATATTGACTGACATGCTTGGCATGAAGTAATTGGGGATATGGCGGTGAAAGGGTTGTGACAATAGGACAAGAACTGCTGTACTGTGTTTAATTGTGGCATGGAATTTCAATGGGCTGACACTAGACAACCAGTAGTAACCACAACTATTACCAGCAAACATACACTGGCTCTCACACGCACGCACACACACTCACTCACGTACACCTACACACTCTATGTGAAAGTACAATAACGGTTAACGGTGACGTTAACACTGAGGTGACCATACACTGAATGTGTGTGTTTGTGCATGCGCCGTGTGTGCGTGCGTGTGTATGTGTGGTTGTGAGAGGGGATGGGATGGGAGGTTATGGGTTCCTTGAGAGACATTTAGAAGCCAGAGTACTAACTTATGATCAGATACATGTATGACCAACGTTTTCTCTTACAATTGAGAGTGACGTTTCGGTGTAGGCTCTAACACTGTACAGATGAGAGGCATCGATACAACCACGAGGAAATGTTTCACCCTTGACTGGATCAGGAAGTGGGAAACACAAGTACACAATGCGATCCAGATGTCAACTTCCTTATTATGAGGAACACAACCTTTCCTCATAATAAAGGAGTTGACATCCCTAAAATTGTATGTATGTGCGTGCGTTTGTGTGCCTGATATCGTGACATGTGCCTGTGTGTAATGTGATATATAGTATGACCAGAAATTATTGAGAATTTTAGGAATATGTTTCAACCTTGACCAGATAGCAAGTGCTTGGTTTCATTCACGAGAGACAACTCCGTTGATCCTTTTTCATTAGTTTGTGAAGAGTTATCCCCCTTGTTTATTTGCTAGCAGACGACATTTTTAGTGATCCTCAGTATGGATGATTAAGAGAAGAGGAAGTTGATTTTTGAGTATTATAACAAGGACATCAGATCAGCTAAAGTGATTTCAAGTAGAACAGGCATCCCTTTGTCCTCTGTTTATCGTGTTTTGAAAAATATTACAAATGGATATGGCATTGAGCACCAGGGAGGCACAGGTAGGCCCAGAAAATTGACTGTCGGTAACAGGAGGCAGCTTGGCATTGTTGTTTCTAACAACAAACGAAGGAGTTTAGAAAACCTATGGCTGGATATGATTGATAGAGGAACTGTGGTTGTCTGTAAGGAGACAATTAGAACTGAGCTGCATGCAATGGGTTGGCAGAAAAGTCGAGGAATTCCATCACCGACAATGAAACCTGAACAAAAGGAGCGAAGGTTGAACTGGTGCTTACAGCATAGAAATTTTAACTGGGACAATGTGATTTTCTCAGATGAAAGTTTTATGTGGCTATTTCCTAAAACACTGACATTCTGGACCAAACAAACTGAAAAAACTTTGTATCAGCGCCCAAAGTACAGTCCGAAATTTAACGTGTGGGGTGGCATATCTGTTAGGGGCAACGCCCCTCTGTGTATTTGAAGGGAATATGAATAGTGAATGGTACACTGATATTCTCGAGGGACATTTACTTCCATCTGTTCACGTGTTCTATGGAAATGTTTGGATTTTCCAGCAGGGCAACGACCCAAAACATCGTTCAAAGCATTCACAGGCCTGGTTTCGGACCCAAAATATGACATTATTAGATTGGCCAAGCTATAGCCCTGACCTAAATCCAATAGAAAATGTTTGGGGACTTAAGAAGGAAAGTGTCAATAAGAAAAATCTGACAAATATTGCTGAAATGAAAGAAGAGGTGGTCCGATATTGGGACAGCATGGACCACGACTTTCTAACTTCTTTGATCAGTAGTTTGCCCAGCCGCATTGAAGCCTGCATTGCTGCCCACAGTGACTTGAAAAAATACTAACTGTTCACCTGTCTTTGAATCTGGAGTTATGTTCTGCTAATATTCACATTTAATACGTGAGTAATGAGTGTAAAAAAATTAAAAAATTACAATCTTAAATTCTCAATAAATTCTGGTTGTATCGTTGTTTGGGCGCTGTTAAAGTGTACTCACTTAGGATATGGAGGAGCTTGTGTTTGCGGGTGGTTTGATGGGTGTATGGATAAACAAGTGTGTTGGTGTGTGTAGGTATGGAAAGGGTTGTTGTGACTGTTTGTGTAGGTGGACAGGTCAGTAGGTGGATGGGTCGGTGTGTTAGAGCGTACGCGTATGGACTGCATGCCGTGTGTTGGATGGTAGCTTGTTGATTGGAGTGTACATGCAGGGCAGTGAGTTTCGTCGGTTGAGGGTGTTCACCCAGCTACAAACACAGGGCTGTGGTAGTGTATGCAGTATATGTCTGACCATGTTCCTGTTTGAATATATGTGTGTGTGTGTGTGTGTGTGACAGGTTTAAATTTTCGATTGACCTGCACGTATCTGCATGTGTGCGTGTGCGTGCGTGATGTATACGGTGACAGATGCATTGTGTCTGTGCGTGCATGTGTGTATGCGCGTGGTGTATATGTTTGTCATGCGTCACAACTGTACCTGAATGTTTTAATTGTGAGCATCAATTTAAGTACATATTTGAACCCACACTGTCAGTCAGGCACCTAATCGCCTGCATACAAAATCTGCTATCTATCCCACTCAGCCACAAATACGGACAACTGACAACAGGTAACCTGGACCTGGAACACTGTGTACCTCGCTGACAAGCGTTAATACACAGTGAACTGCAATTATTCCATCTTTATACACAGGTCCCTCTTTGGTCACGTTGGGCTTCTCGTCCGTGGAGAAACTTCTGGACTACTACAGACTAAACTCCGGTGACGTGTCAATGGCGGTGGAGTTTGACGTGAAGACAACAGACACATCCCTTCCCAGGGCCCTGCGCTATTCTCTCCGTCCACCTGTCAAACAATCCTTTGACAGATGGAGAACAACAGAGACGTTTCCTTTCAGACAAACAGGAGTTCCAAGATCTGATTTTTCACCACGTAAGTTGTTATCATATCACAAACTATAGATCAGTATAGGAATACGGACGGTGGGGTAGCCGAGTGGTTAAAGCGTTCGCTCGTTTAGCCGAAGACCCGGGTTCGATTCCCCACAAGGGTACAATGTGTGAAGCCCAGTTTGGTGTCCCGAGCCGTGCATTGCTGGAACACTGGTAAAAGAGTATAGTACGTTTATAAGGAACTCGCTTATAACCAACTCACTGATGTAACGAAGATGGTTTTGGTCCCGATCACTTTCTGCATTGCGTATTCAAAAAGCGTATATCAACTACGGTTATACCGAACTAAAATTAGTGGTCCTTTTGAGTTCGAGATAACCGTAGTTTACTATGGTTCCATCCAAGTGAAAACAGACTTTGATGTTTCACAGTATGTAAAACCCGCTTTAGCCGGTGACATTTCACTTAAGTGTATTTAAGTCTTCATTCTAGAAATGCAGGAAATAATTGGCCCTGTTAGTTGTAACTCGTTACTATGGAATCCTAGAAGGGACATTGTCGCGTTGTCGCATTGTCGCGTTGGCGCCCTCTCAAATACAAGTAAAATGAGGCAAATAAACCAAAACGCGACAACGCGACATTTCGCCCATTTGTCGCATTGTCGCGTGTCGCGTTTTGAATTATATTTTTCTATTCCTCCAAAGGGCGACACGCGACATCGCGACAATGCGACAAATGGGCGAAATGTCGCGTTGTCGCGTTTTGGTTTATTTGCCTCATTTTACTTGTATTTGAGAGGGCGACAACCTCACAATGTCCCTTCCAGGATTCCATACGTTACAGTTGAATACGAGTCGGTATCTGTAGACTGTAGCATAGCGACGCAGACATTTATCTTCTGTAATCTCATTTAGGGTACGTGTATAACACTTTCTCAGAGAAAACACAAATATTATTCCATTCTTAATCCTGAATTTTCGACAAGTATCCAGTATGAAGATAAAGACAGTGAAGCTAAGGGCACTTATAAAGTTATTTAAACAACATTGTTAGAGAACGAGCAATATATGCATAGTTTCTATTGATCTTTTCCACAATGGTTCCATATGGTTCCATAATTAAGTACATGTTTTATCTTACGTCTCTGGCAATCTTGAGTTCAAATGAAGTCCATTCCTTCAGTGTTAGTTGCTCACAGGAAGACTATTAATACCATTATCAGATATGTTGAACTACGATTTATTACTTACATTGCATTGATACTGACCATCATGTTTCAGGTTACAAGGACAGTGGTTTTCTGTTAATCCAAAGACTTTTAAACCAGGAAGTCATCAACTACTGGAACACCAGCGCAGGAAGTGACGTCAGTAACCTTGACATCCGTCTACAGCGCATGCCATACCCTCCCTACATTATTGACCCAATGATCACCGTCCTACAAAACATGCTGCCCATCCTGCTGATGTTGAGTTTTATTCTCATGACGATACAAACAACCAAAGGAGTGGTTTATGAAAAAGAAAGAAAATTAAAGGTGAATACGCAGTCGTATGTAAGAACTGATGTTTACTTTTCCAATTGATGATTCTACAATCAGAAAACAGCAGTCGGCTAATACTAGTGGCCTGATATTTTTTCGGTTTAAGGATCAGAGAGAGAGAGAGAGAGAGAGAGAGAGAGAGAGAGAGAGAGAGAGGGGGTATATTTCCAGCCTTCGAATAACCTCAATTCTGAAATTACTAATTTTTTTTTTCCTTAAAGAAGTAACGTAGTATCATTAACCCACCCTATATACACCCTATCTCCACCCCCATAATAGCCATAACTGTTATAAGTGTTACTACCTGTAACGTGTTGACGTCATCTCCACCTTCAACTGCACACCTCATTCACTTCAACTCCCTCCCACATTAAGCCAAATAGCCACGATGTAACTGGAATACGCTCAGTAACCGTAAACTCACCCATTGATTACAGATACGCATCATATTATAACTGGGTATTTATAATGATAATAGTAATATGAAGAAGAATATCGCCTTTCCAAGCTTCATATCCTGCTCAAAGCGCACAAGTTATAAGGATGCTCAAAGCGCACAATCTGATCATTATCATCCAGGACACGCCAGGCTGCCTGTGAGGCGCTAGAAGGTTAAAGGTCACATGTCTTATCCCACCGGGTACCCATTTTTCATGTTTTCAGGAATCCATGAAACTAATGGGCTTAAGCGCCGCAGCAAACTGGATGTCTTGGTTCCTGACCACCTTCATATATGTAGTGGTCATCATGGCTTTCTACGCTTTGTTCTGTGGACTGGACGCTAGTGGGAACGGGGCAGCGCTGAGTAGAAGTGACCCCTCCCTGTTCTTTGTGTTCCTCCTCTGTTACGGCATCTCCATCGTCTCCTACTGCTTCATGATCAGCGTCTTCACTAACAAAGGTAATTACAGGTAGACATGGATCTTGTGCGGTAAATGTCCCGAAGTAGATCCTTCACATAAAATATAGGAGTGGGATGCATTTGTTTTTTATCACTTTTTATTCACGGTGGGTTTTTATCTGTAGTGATTAATGTTTAGTATTCTCAGTAAATGACATATTCATCAAAGAATATTCATATCAATACGATAGAGGTTATTGCACGAGCAAATGTGTCATACGACTTATACGAAACGAGTGTGAAATATAAGTTTCGTATAAGTCATATGACACACTTGCTCCAGAGTAATTATTATTAATTATTTATTATTTATATATATTTATATAGCGCCAATATCCAGATCACCTGCTCAAAGGCACTTTGTTTTTCCCTCGATCATTGGATGTCAGTCTCAAACGGCACAATGTATTATCAATCTCAACTCCCTGGGGAGCATAATTATTCCTTTATTATCCGTTTTATTCATGTACATTTGTGCAGCAAAACACGGTAAGCAAATCGACGACCCTCTTCATTGACGTCACGATGAAATAAAGAAACAATGGTTGCAAGGCAAAAGTGATATGTGCACATGTGATATAAACTGACGTACAAAAGAAAGTATACACCTGGTGCTTTGGTAAAATGTTTTCCTGAAAACAGCGTAATATTTAGAAAAGTGTTTTGATTGCGACTCATTTATTGCGAAGTATTTACGTTGTTTTAATAGTCTCAAAACACCAGGTGTGTACTTTTTTTTGTACACCAGTATGACACAGGTTACCTTTCACCATATGTATACCCGTTTTGCAGGGATCTTGAACGAAATTATTAATGGATAATTTACTGATTTTATCTCATTTAATCATCTTATATTTTCATGATGTAAAAGGTGACATGTCGTTTCTAGTGTCAAGGTCTGTTCCCTTCTTGCAGCTAACATAGGAGCGGCAGTCAGTGGGATTGTGTTCTTCATATCCTACTGTCCGTACTTCTACCTTGAGAGTCAGTATGAGACGATGTCCAGATCAGCTAAGTTGGGGTCGAGTCTGGTTTTCAACCTTGGTATGTGCTTTGGATCCAAGGTGATTGGACTGTATGAAGGAACGGGTACGTATCTATGTTACACAGGGATAGTGAGTGAGTGAGGTTAGTTTTACGCCGATTTTAGCAATATTCCAGCAATATCATGGCGGAGGACACCAAAATGGGCTTCACACATTGTACCCATGTGGGGAGTCAAACCCGGGTCTTCGGCGTGACGAGCGAACGCTTTAACCACTGGGCTACCACACCGCCGCTACAGAGGGATAGAATCACGTGTGTAGATAATCATGATTAATATCATCATTGTCCTTAATGAACAAGACTGCAAAAAACTTCTGTTTTTAGCAGCGATTTCTCGCAGTGATTCAGAATTAACGTATCGTTTTCCGTTTCATAAAAGCAGTGAGTGTGCAGGCGAGTGGATTTACGGCCCATGTCTTATTGCGAGCACCTGGTGTCATCGCTGAATTGTACTGATCCAGTTACACCATGTTCATCGCTGTTTTAATTTGTCCTTTTAAAAATCGACTAAAAAGATCGACAATTGTAGCATTATATACCTCTTATACTTTCAGCCTAAATCAGTATGAATCTGTGATCAGCAGATCCTGAGACTGCTAAAGGGAGAAACTCTGCATGGGAGTTATGGAACCTTAGATTGGGCAACCTAATAGTTATCACATGGAAAATATTGTCAATATTTCAATGAATGTTTCAACGTTTGAAAGAATGACATAGTGTACACTATTTGTATTTTTTTCTCACAGGGTCGGGTGTTCAGTGGTCTAATTTCGACCAACCGGCATCTGTTGACGACAACCTATCTCTCCTGGACACCATGTTGATGCTACTCGTTGACTCAGCCATCCACTTCCTCATCACGTGGTACGTGGATAACGTCTGGCCGGGGGAATTCGGGGTGCCCAAACCATGGTACTTCTTCATGACTGTGAGTACTGGAAAATTTTGAATACTTCAGAAAGTGCATCTTTTTAACTGCCCTGTCTACAATTGTATTCATATATTTGAGCAGTAGTGTGAGTGTATTTTTACGCCGCTTTTAGCAATATTCCAGCAATATCACAGCGGGGGATACCAGAAATGGGCTTCACACATTGTACCCATATGGGAAATCGAACCCGGGTCTTCGACATGATGAGCCTTAACCACCGCCCATATTAAGCAGTAGGGTGGGGTGCTGATTTTTCTGAGGTTTGACTTAAGTGTTCCTAGGATTTCGGTCCCGCTCCATGCTGAAATACATGAAGCAAATGCGGTGGCTTTGCCTCTGTTGTCTATGTTCACTTAGGACCCGTGAAGGTCCGGGTTAGAATATTGATCTTCAGTAACCCATGATTGTAGTGAGGCGACTAACGGGATCGGGTTGTCAGGCTCGCTGAGTTGGTTGACACATGTCATCGATTCCCAATTGCGCAGATCGATGCTCATGCTGTAGGTCACTGGATTGTCTGGTCCAGGCTCGATTATTTACAAACCGACGCCATATAGCTGGAATACTGAGTGCAGCGTAAAACTAAACTCACTCACTCACTCAATACGTTCAATTAGTAGTAGGGCTGGATATCGATATAAATCATATTTTAAACATAGATAATCGTTAACAAAATATCGATCGATTATCGATAAATATCGGAGACGTGTCTTTGAGCAAACATGTCAAAATGTCTGAAAGAAATGAATATGTTTCACATCACTGGTGAGTGGTGACATGTTTTTGCATGGATTATTAACCACACATCGTCCTGAACATAATTTAGAAGCAGACCATGAATAAAGTTCTAATTTTGTATATTGTATGAAAACATTGAAACTGTTTTCTATCACAAAATCATGTACGATATCATCGATAACACAAATTTCAAATCAATGATCATTTATAATTTTTCCTATCGACGATATTTCCGAGTATCGATCACTGTAGCCAGTCCTACTTAGTAGTGAATGGGACAATGGGACTGTTATTTGTCTAACGCCTCAGGCAGCCTGGGTCGTACACTCCCAAGGGAGCTTAGAATGACAATCGACTGCACGCTAGACGTAGCACAATGGCCGTTTACTAGCCGGTTCTAATGATTTGTACATATTTATCCATACTTTCATTATAACAGTGTTGTATTCAATATTTACTTCTTGTATTCACATTTACTTGTATTCACATTTACTTGTATTACTTGTATTCACATTTACTTGTATTCACATTCACTTGTATTCGCATTCACTTGTATTCATATTCACTTGTATTCGCATTCACTTGTATTCATATTCACTTGTATTCACATTCACTCGTATTCACATTCACATCCTCAGATGAGTTCAGATATTATAGGCCACTGCACATTTTTCTTCCTTAGCTGATTTTTCGTTTTTCTTCATTTTTTTCGTTTTTAAATTTTCTCCGTGGCGTGATAATCAGGTCTCATGTCCAACAAGTGCTTCCTCCAGATAAATTCCTAGGGCGAAGCCTAAAGTTTTGTAACGTATCCAAGTGTTCTCATAACAAATCCTTATGGAGGAGTTATGGGAAACATGGTGTTTTACAAAACGCCAAGGTGTCCAATGCGCACAGATATCACATGGCGAGGTTATTTTCGCTATTTCAAGCTTAGTGCTCACCACACACTTTTTGGGAAGATGTCTTCATCTTTGTTCTGATACCCCTTTTACAAAATACTGAAACGAGAATAATGCGATTTTGTAACCAATATTTACTTTGATACACAGAACTGTATAACGTCCTCTACAGACATCTAACGCCGGCCTGCCACATATATGGGTTGTCAATGTCTTGTAATACAAACTGGTCTATTTCCAACAGAGTGCCTACTGGTGTGGAAGCTCAAGAAAAGTGGAACCAATCCAAGACATGAACACAAAACAAAACGAAAACTTCTTTGAGAAAGAGCCAAGTGGAATGGATATCGGAATCTCCATCAAGAACCTACAGAAGGTACACTAATATGTCTGAGAACACCATCTGTGTGTGTCATGCTTTATGTATGGAGATTGCTTAAATAAGGTCACATGCAACCAAAAAATCAAACATAATTAAAACACAATTATCACTTATTCATGACATATAATATACATTGCTTGTTATGAAAAAACATATAAACAACATTATAAGCGTACAATCGCAAATCAAAAGTGCAATATTGTGTACTTGGGTTTACTTCCCTAGAAACGAAGCAGCCGGGATACCGAACCCAGTCAGAGCGGGTGGGTGTGCACTCAAGTGTAACGGCTGGTTCATTTGCAGATGCCCTCACGGGTCATTGTGTGTGCATATATAGAGATGTTGGGTTTTGTAAATACATGCTCATTTTTGTGTATAACATTTTGCAATCAACAGACATCATAACATGTCATGTGTTCAAGTATCACACCTGCCTGTCTGTGTAATTACATAATGTGGCAGAGACCGAAGTCGGGCCAAAAAGAAATGCGTTTTGTTTATGGTGTATAGCCTGATTGGTGTTAAGTTCAAATTGCATGTGGTCAGTGATCCCAGTTGTGTATTGAATATTGTCAGTAGCAGACAGGCAGGCAGACACACAGGTGTCAATAAAACAAGACATTGAGTTTTGTCTGTGACAACGACATATCTATATCACAGTTAGAAATTCTGTCAACGCTAAATAATGACATTGCTTTTAAGTATCGAACTGAGAAAGTGACTCGGTAAGAAGAACGTGTGGTGAAATAGACAAATGAAATTATATAAACAGTTTATTTACTGTCATAACATATAAAAAGCTCGCGCCTGTGAGATATCAACAAAACATTAGAAAAATAGCTCACACCAAAGCCTTCACCGAGTATTCACCGGACATCCCGCTTCCAAGTTGCGCGAACCTATTTCTCACTGCGCACGTGCTATGCGCGCAGCCCAGCTGTTAAAACCAGTTTTCCCCCCGAAAAGTCGGGGGAAAATTAGTGAATCGTTTGAACTCCGATTTCGCGCGGTTTTTTTCATTGCGTTATTTTTCAACTTTATAAGTTGAATTTGCATTTTTTGATGATTTGTTTCGGTAAGTCCATACCGAAAGGTATCAGAATCTGTAAAGTTGTGTTTTGCGTTGCATGTGACCTTTAAGGAGGCTAGGAAAGAAAATATATTATCTGTTTTAAGGAAATTTTAAATTTGAAGAGACTCGATATTTCTGAAGTAAAGTTAATGAGACACTGAATAATATATATTCAATTTATTGTTTTCCTACACTCTATTAAGTTTTAATTGTAAACTGGGTAAATTCAGATTCAAATGCTAAAGTACAAACGTCGTCATACACATATAGGTATTTGGTAAAGGAGCAAAAAAGAAGGTAGCTGTGGATGGGATGAATATGAACATGTTCGAGGGTCAGATCTCTGTTCTCCTGGGTCACAACGGTGCTGGGAAAACTACAACCATGTCTATCCTCACAGGTAAGTTAAATCTACCTCCAGCGTTTTCACAGCAATCACAGAAATTAGCTGTGACGTCATTCCGCATTAGACCCGTGAAGTTCCGGGTTAAAATTGGTCTTCAGTAACCCATGATTGTCGTAAAAGGCGACTAACGGGATCGGGTGGTCAGACTCGCTGACTTGGTTGACACATGTCATCATAACCCAGTTGCGTAGATCGATGCTCATGATGTGTTAATTACTGGATTGTCTGGCCCAGACTCGATTATTTACAGACAGCCGCCATATAGCGGAGTGCGACGTTAATCAACAAACCAACTTATTAATCTGCATTACTCCAAGAGCACAATTACAATTTCTTTTCTGTGGTATTAAAGTTGTATTCGTGAATTCAGGTCTTATATTTTATCAAAGTCAGGAGTATATACTACTTGATGAATATTACGTTGCAGATGTTCCACCTGAGCGTTTATTTTTCCCTTATTCTTCTCTATTGAACAATGACACGATAATGATTCATTATCAGTTGTTATTACCACGACCTAGGCTTCAAAAAGCAAATACTGGCGGCACACAGACGTATCCCTTAGTCGTGATCTGGTTGGTGATCGTTGGTTCGAATCCTTGATTCATTCTGGCTTGATCAGTTGCATGTCAGCAACATTCATCGTCCAAACATCATATAACCAACACTACATTGCAATACAATATAGTTTATAGAGGTGTGACGATACGGAAATGTCACGATACGATACGTTACGCGATATCTTGGAACGATACGATTCGATTCGATGCATATCACGATATACTATCTTTAGTTATTTTCTTTAAAAAAGTATATTTGGATAGCAAGTAACAGTGTAAATTTTAACATAACCGTCAATTTCTAGTGAACATTAACAATTTTAAGGTTATTATGATCATATGCACAATATACAAATATAGATAATAGGAATTAAAATGATGAAATACACAAATAAAGACAAAATATTGAGTGGTTGTTATGTTATACATAAAGTATTCTCCTACGTTTAAACATTCTGGAGCACATGTTTCCTAAAAGAGGTAAGTTACCATGGTTATTTAAAATGGTAATATCAACGGGAGTACTAAAAACATTTTTAAAATAAAAAGTACGGATATCGTCATAAAAAGGACAGTGTAAAAGGAAGTGTGTTCCGTCTTCAACTTGATCCGTACAGTGTTTGCAGTAGCGTTGTGAAGCGGGAATAGGAGGGCAGTAGTATCGGCCCGTTTCTATGTCGAGTTTTAGGGAGACACATCTTAAGGAAGCAAGTATCCCTCGCTGGTATCTTAGAAGTCGAGTGTATCCCCCAGTGTCCAATTCAGTCTTAAAAAGTTCTGAGTTTTGGTGTTGACTGGACGCTGTCCTTCCAACGTTGTTGATCAATAGAGACAAGTCTGGATAAAATGTTATTTAAACCCCATGTAGAGGATTTATCCGTGGTATTTAGCAGGTCTGTCAGCTCAAGTTCCCTGTAGATACGCTGTAACTTCTTCTCCCAAGACTTTCCTCTTGTAAGTGACCACTGGTGAATTCTGTACTTCACTTACTCACTTACTCACCCATTCTTCCACCCAACCACTCACTCACCCACTCACTCACTCACTCAATGTCATTTACCTCAGGCTTCATCCCTGCGACGGGCGGTGCCGCTGTAGTCAATGGTTTTGACATCCGGACAGACATCCGAGGTGTCCGCCAGAGCCTAGGGCTGTGTCCACAGCATGACATTCTGTTTGACACCATGACAGTGGAGGAACATCTGGACTTCTTTGCCAGTGTAAGTAGCTGTGTCTGTACGATCGACATACGTCTCCTAGCAACTGAGTATGTTGTTAGTGTTATTCACATTAGGTATACAAGATATGTCTACTCCCTTGTGTGGAGTCTGTCGAGTATCTATAGTAACCAAATATAAAATACTTAGGCAACAAAGATGTTTCAAATGACAAGCTGTGCAATTTAGATCTAAAAAAAAGAACCAAGTTTAAATCTGTCAAATCTGTCTCCCGTTACAAACTCAAGGGAGTCTTCATTCCATGATTCATGGGTCTATTGTTACAAGACGTGGTAACCATGGACACAGTAACAAATCTAGCCTGCATGGTTCAGGGAGATTGCACCAACAAGAAACCAAATGCCAGGTGTAGTTTTTTGAGAAAATCCTGGAGTTAATCGTTGATAACACGTAAACATTTAGGCAGGAAGTTGGCATACCCAGAGGCACCAATTGTGTTCCGCTTCTTGCCGATCTGTTCTGTGTGCATGTCAAACGGAACATCTGCTCTCCGGAATAAGGACGATGTAATTTGACCACGACGCTTAACGTAAGCTGCAGATATATCAATATATCGATATCTTTCAAAAGCATTTTCCCTTCCACCTCGAAACGAAATGAAAACATTTATTGAAATACAAGTGGTTTTAACATTTGTCCAGCGTGTTAGTATCCAAGCAACTGAAACTTTATTTGGTAATGGTGAGATAAGTTTGTTTGTTTTGCAAATGTTCAGCTTATCTGGAGATCTGCAGGGTTTAGCAAACAGACAAGACCTGCCATCTAAACCTGCCATCATTACTCCAATGTATGAGAACATTATTGATTCATTTCATTGGTTGAAATTAGCTTGATATGAGCACTGGAATACATCATTTATGGCTTCTGTCTTACTGAATGGATTACAGACTTACATAACAGAACAAATCTCTGCTACACGATGACTGATATTATATGTGGCAGGTATCTAATCTACGGCGGGTTTCCTAATCCGTGGCAGGTTTGATTGTGCGATTGTTACATGACGTCATGGCGTAATGACGTATAATGGCGTATATCGCCGTTTTTGGCGATATAGTAATCTTAGGGAAATCTTCAAAGCTAAGAAAATGGAAACCATAGAAAATGATTGCGGAGCCACCTACAAAGAAGAAGAAACCCGTATCAAAAGATCCCAATGCAGAAACATTTTGGAACGACATGGAAAAACTTGATACGTGTGGATTACAAAACTGATAACGCTGAATCCGAAATGGGGAAGTGTAAAGAGTTGCAAGATCCTCTCGTTTGCATTCAACCATAACTCTTACTCCCCTCAGCCTACCGGACAAGTGGGAATAACCCCACTCAAACCTCCCATAGGTTCCAGTTGAACAGATATCAGATGCGTCATGGACAGATTTAGATGTATAAGAAATAAATGTTTTTACACCTTATTCACTCTTTTGTCTTTCTTCATGTATTGTTGAATATTTAAAGGAAAGCAAACGTATTCGATAATTAGCATGGCCTAAATTTTCGAAGCTCTCTTAGTTTCAATAATAGTCGTGAAAACGTTAGCAATATAGAAAGACGATCTTAGCGCAAACAGAGCTTCGAAAATCTAGGCCCAGGGGTATCAGTAAGTTAGAAACACATACATGAAATGCCATTAACCCCTATTCTACAGAGCTGAACTGTTCTAATGACGATGTGTAGGAAATCCGCCACAGATTAGAGTAGGTACGGCAACTAGCCATGGATTTGGAAATCCGCCACGGATTTGATATATATATATATATATGTATGTATATGTATGTATGTATATGTATGTATATATATGTATGTATGTATATGTATGTATGTATGTATATGTATATGTAATTTCCTCAACTGTAAAACCACTGACATTCTCGTCATGCCCGCAAAGGAGAGCGTTGTACTGACAGTTCTCAAATTTCTCATTTAGCTGAAGGGATGTCCAAAGAAACACGTCAAATCTCAAGTGGACACTATCATCCATGAGGTTGGTTTACATCACAAAAGGAATGTGAAATCTCAAAACCTCTCTGGTGGTCAGAAAAGAAAACTTTCTGTCGGAATCGCCCTTATTGGAGGCTCCAAGGTAAGTGTCATCGTTGTCCCTATAAATATTAGATACAGATGTGTGAAGCCAATTTCTGGTGTCCCCCGCCATGAAACTTGCTGGAATATTGCTAAAAACTCACAGACTCACTATAAATATTAGCGTACTTAATACGCATGGCTGTTACTCTGAAAGTACAACAGTGTCATGCCGATGTGTTTCTTCAGATCGTTATCCTGGATGAGCCTACTTCCGGAATGGATCCTGCAGCCAGAAGACAGACATGGGACATCCTTCAGAGGAACAAGCAGGGCCGGACCATGTTGTTGACCACTCACTTCATGGATGAAGCTGACCTCCTGGGCGACCGCATCGCCATCATGGCAGAAGGAGTGGTCAAGTGCTGTGGGACATCCTACTTCCTGAAGAAACTCTATGGTACATATTTTTGGACAATGCTGTTGTATTAATATCAGAAACTAATGGACAGTGGTCGATTGTTAGTTTTTCTAATACCGGTTGGATGACATTGAAGTATGACTGTTAACATTCTAGTACCTTAGTGTCTTAATTTGTATATTCCCCGGGGAGTTGATCCTCTGAACACCGATCCATTGGTCCCAGGTATATGTTGCTCTTTAGGCATGATTGTATATGCATTATATATGTGGATATCGTTCTTATTCTAAGGTGTACTTTGTAAAATCCAGGTATAACTGTATATAATAGCGTACCAAACGTATTTTTCAACAGGAGCTGGCTACCACCTGGTGATGGTGAAGGAACCCACCTGTCAGGTGGCATCAGTGACGGCAGTTGTCCAGCAGCACGTCCCTACAGCAGTCATGGAGAGTGAGATCAATGCTGAACTCTCCTACCTGCTGCCTGATGACCAGTCAGCCAACTTTGCTGCTCTCTTCACGGAGATTGAAGCCAGGGGGAAAGAACTCGGTATATGTAGCTTTGGTACCACCGCCACCACCATGGAGGAAGTGTTTCTAAAGTAAGTGATATCTCTGGATACTCATTATCTGTTTTCGTGGCTCATGTGAATGTAGGTCTTGTAGATTCGCTTTAGATTACACTGTTTGACAACACATACACTCAGAGGGGTTTTCGTTTTAAATCTTTTATTTTCAAAGTACACAGACTACAACTGTAAAATATATACACCTGGAACAAATATGAAGTTTAACATAAAATTAATTTGTTTGCTCCGTCAAATAGTAAGCTATATTAATCCTGGCAGTTTGACACTTATTACGATGTATCGACAGAGCTTAATATGCGATATGTCTCACAGAAAACTTAGTAAGGTTGTCTTTTTGTTGTTGTTTTATTTTTCGTTTGTTTGTTGTTGTTTTTTGTTAGTTTGTTTTTTGGTGTGTTTTGTTTTTTCCTTTGGTGTGTGTGTGTGTGTGTGTGTGTGTGTGTGTGTGTGTGTGTGTGTGTGTGTGTGTGTTTGTGTTTTGTTTGTGTGTTTGTTTGTTGTTAATGAGAAGAATACTCTCATCGCATTTTCACCAATCACTTCCATGTTTCTTTGCCATTAGATCTGCTGTTGTCCATTTCCCATTCTCATGACTGGGCGACAAAATGCTTCACCAAGTATATCAATTTCAATTGTTTCAGGGTGGAGAATTCACAAGAACAAAATCCAGACAAAGACCAAGCTGGTTCATCTGGTCTGAATTCTTATGTTAATCCTGCCATGGCAGAGGAAATGAAAGAGTGTTCCAGTAACAGTTATAAACTCCAAACTCTTCCGAGCAACGACAGAGACGGCGACATTATGGGTACGTGTATCATGCGTTAACATAAAAACCTGTGGTAGAAACTGCAAGATGGAAGGATGGTTGGATGGGTGGGTGGATGGATTGATGAATGAATAAAAGGATGGATCGATGGAGGATGAAAGGTTGTATGGATGGATGAAAGGATGGGTGGATGGATGGATGAAAGGACGGATAGGTGGAGGATGAAAGGATGGATGGAAGGATGGATGGATGAATAGATACTCCACTATTCAAAGATTCAGTAACATTTTCCTTCGTAGCGTGCCATCCATTTGGTCAAATGTATGAATTTAGATAAAGAGTAAATGATCTCCAAATCCAAATGTGGATAAATCAGGTTTGTCTGACACTAGATTGTATCTACATATCAAGGAAACATTTGAATTTGAACGTTGTCTATCTAGGATAGAAATAGCTAAATATAGAATAGCCTTAACGCGATTTCGATTAAGATCTCACATGTTATTTGTAGAAAAAGGACGGTGGAGTAAGTTAGATATATCGAATAGAGTATGTCCTTTTTGTACCAGTTATCTGGAAGATGAGTATCATGTTGTAATGTTTTGTCCAAGGTATGTAAAGTATACATTGTGTAGGCAGTTGTATTTAGATAAGAGTTTGTACCAAAATCCGAGTATGTACAAGTTTGTACAATTTGTGAAAAGTAAATCTGAAAATAATATTCTTAAGTTAGCCAAGTTTGTCTATCATATCCTTAAAGAAAGAGGTAATTATGAAATGTTTGCTAAGAAAAACCAGATATTTCCTGTTTTCAATATACTGTCACCAGGCAACAATTTTGTGAGAAACACCTATAATATTATGCCTATGATGTTACGTAACACATCTAACACATATTTTCCATACACCTTACTTTAACCAATGCTCGTCTGTGTTACTTTCATACAATTATATGTAGCCATTAACATATTGTATTTGTCTCATGCAGCATTTAACCAGGGTTACAAGCGAGCCTCGGGTGTGATGCTTGAGCTGTCCAGATTCAGAGGAATGTTCGTGAAGAAGATTCTCCACACCTGGAGAAACAGGACCATCACTGTGGTACAAATCCTCCTCCCTGTCTTATTCGCAATAGCTGCCCTAGCTGTGAGCAAACTTGAGCCCAGATCAATCACCGAAGCACCCCTTTCCTTAGACCTGGCACCGTTTGGAGGAAGCTTTGTGCCATACAGCGACGGCTCACCAGCAGTAGCTCTGACACAAGCTTTCGCTACCTCGTATTCTGATCAGTTCACCGGAACCGGGGACACACCTGAGAAGATGGATCTTTCAAACTCAGATGCTAATGCTTTCTTCCTAGCCAGAGCTAATAGTCTTGGAGTCGGTCAGTACAATAAGAAGATGATGATTGGTGCCGATTATGCGTCCAACACCGTTGCTAAAGGTTACTACAATGGACAGTCATTTCACGGAATATCCATTTCCTTGTCATATATGATGAATGCCATGCTGAAATACTTCACATCTCGGGATCATTCAATAACAACTATCAACAACCCCCTGCCTTATGATGAGAATGACTCGTCCACTCAGGTTTCTGGGGCAGGATTAGGAATTGGGTTCACGGTGGCTTTTTGTCTCCTGTTTGGCATGGCCTTTCTTACTTCTTCCTTCGTGTACTTCCTCATCAAGGAGAGGCAAGTGGGCGCCAAACATCTTCAGAGTGTCAGTGGAGTTGGGCCGTTTGTCTTCTGGTTGTCCAACCTGGCCTGGGACTACATCAACTACCTGATTCCATCCCTGTTGCTGTTGATTGTGTTTGCTGGGTTCCAGTCGCCAGCCTACAGTGACGATGGGAGGCTTGGCGTCGTGTTCTTGGTTCTCCTTGTATATGGAATAGCGGTTTTACCTTTCATGTACGTTCTACAATATGTGTTCAAGTCCCCCGCTACAGGAATGGTCATTATCATCATCCTGAATATTATTACAGGTACCAGTACTACATAAATATTTATCTAATACATCACCTGCGAACAGTCTAAAAAACCTATGAAATGCAGTGAAAACGTCCAATTTACCACAAAGTGTACAAATGTAACCTTTTCAAAAGACGCCAACAAGAAAATCATAGAAATAATGGACAGAGTGAGGAATTTGGATACACCGCCGTTTTACCGTATTGCACACATATCACGTTGTGAAAGCTTGACGAGGGAGGGTTGGGCGTCTGAATCTTTGCTTAAAGCCAAGAGCATGGTTATGGTACTTAGAAACCTAGAAACTAGGATTCCATCTCATGATATTTTTCTGGCAAACCTGATGTATACAACTCTGCATGAAGAATTGCAGCTCCTCCCTGCCCCGAATCCCCCGAAAAATACAGTTGGTTCCCTTTTGACGACACTTCTAATAAATACGCAATGTGAAATCGTTCCAGTTACACGGATCTTGATCTTGTCCTTGTCATTTGTGCATTAATGTTGACTTTCCTGGCAGAACTCAGTCGCAGGGTGAGGTTTTCGGAATATTAGGGTTTCACTGTGACTGTACTTGTTAAAATCTATGAATCAGGCGATACCAATTTTCATTTCCAATCATTTAACCTATGTATTTTGTATGCCAGGGCTGGCAACCCTCCTCACGACCTTCATGCTACGGCTGCTTGATGAGACGGATCTGGCCATTGCTCTTGACTGGGTCTTCTTGGTGCTGTTCCCCCACTACAACTTCGGCAAGTCCATCAACGACATATTCGTCAACTACAGCAATTTGGACTACTGCTTCGAAACCAACTCCACAAATCTCTGTACAAAGAAACCTTCGTGTTGTAAAGGCAGGTCTCTTTTAAAAAATGCAATAAATGTTCCTGATGTATAGACTCACATATTTATGTTCACATATTGAATATGTTTCTTAATACAGTTTCAGTGAAAATATAGCTATATGTTAATGTTCTTTTCTGATTGGCTGATAGCAGAGATGGGCCTTGTGTCGCATTATTGCACTGACCAAGTCATTTATTGTTTATTTCAGCTGTGAGGTAGCCTAGTGGTTGAAGCGTCAGCTCGTCACGCTGAAAACCCGGCTTCGATTCCCCACATGAGTTAAGAGTGTGAAGACCGCTTCTGGTCCCCTGCTGCGATTTTGCTGGGATATTGCTAAAAGCGGCGTAAAAGCATACACACTCACTTTTTTTAATAACTGTTGTCTATATAATTGATATAATGGAAACCAGACTGTAACGTTACTGTTGACGTATACTGGTAGATAATCAAGTACCATTGGCGGATCGGGGGTGGGGTGATCCACGGGTGAAAATTCCTTGATCCACCAATGAGTACGTGTACGATAATAAGAATTACATTTAAACCACCATAAATGCAAATTGAAATTAAATCAGTTCGTAATTAATCATCCTCATGTTAATCCGCCTGCAGATTCATGTGGTGACAACTGTTTGGAGTTCGCGGAGAATTACCTTGACTGGATGTACCCAGGGATCGGTCGTTTTGTGGTCTTCATGGTAATCCAAGGCGCGGTCTATCTGCTTATTACTCTGGCTATTGAGTACAGAATCCCACAGCGTATCGTATACCTCTTAGGGCACAAGGAGTCGGAGTCAGAAGTGTTCTCGAGAATTGAAAGTACTCTGTCTAAGGACAACGATGTTGCCGAGGAACAGCAGCGTGTGAGTCGTATCTCAGCAGGAGAACAGGGAACAGATGCTCTTGTGATCCAGGATCTATACAAGAGGTATGGCCACTTCGTTGCTGTGGACCATCTCAGTGTTGGGATCCCCGAGAAGGAGTGTTTCGGTCTCCTGGGTCAGAATGGTGCCGGGAAGACCACGACTTTCAAAATGATGACTGGAGATGTGATGATGACAAGCGGGAACGCTTACCTGTGGTCGTATGACATCAAAAATAATACCCAAAAGGTACGTAAACATTATTCTGGACAGTTGAATGCTTTGTCTTTTCACATTAAGATTTTGAACTTGGATTGTTTTGGCATAGAAAAATCTTGCATTGTTTCAGTCGTTCAGTCAAGGCTTAGATTAGAGAATTAGTGGTATTTGTAGTGGGAACTTTATTTAAGATTATATATTTTTAAGTGTAAAACATATAAGAATCTTATTTCTAGCACCAGCGTATCATATTTGTGCAACCTGAAATAAATGTAACAATTGTTTTATAGTAGTCCAAAAACGAATGCACACATACATGTAAATCAATGTCTATGAGAAACAAACTAGCAGTGAGACTCCGAATCATATTGTATTGCCATTGTGTCATGGCCAGTGGCCAGCAATATAGTCTGCCATACAGACCCTGAAACAAATATACCTAATACAGCCCATGCAAGTTTAGAAGGTGTGGCTAGGTTACCACAGTTTAACTGAAAAAGAAGAAAGTCTCTGGACTTTAAATTTTATTCTATTTTATTTTAATTTATAAACATTTTTCCTGTAAAACATGTCAATTTTAGAGACTAGCTGTCAGTCTACCTACAATACTAAACTGGCCCAGTTAATTCACATTGACAAACACTCTTTGATAGGCATTCAGAGGAGAAAGAACATAAATAGATGACACTGTTGTATCGATAATAACGTCTAATCTCTATTCCCCCTTCCTCGTTCGAAGGAGAAAGGAACATTGCCATAAAGAAAAGTTGAAATCCATTAAAAGAGTCACGTATTCTTGATAAGTATAGAATATTTAGCAAAACATGCTTCATCACAGGTGCAGGAGAACATGGGCTACTGTCCCCAGTTTGATGCCCTGATTGACCAGATGACCGGACGAGAGACTCTCACCATGTACGCCAGACTCAAGGGAGTGCCGGAGAACTGCATCAAAGGCGTGTGTGACAACCTGCTGGATATCATGATGCTCAGACAGTACGGGGACAAACCCGCAGGAACCTATAGGTATGTACTATACCAAAACTATCAATGAGAAAAGTGGTATTGTTATTCTTTATGCCATTAGCAACATTTATCTCTTTCTTGAGGTGATAGTAATATTCCATGACGATCATTAGTCTTTGGTTTGGGAGGGGGCGGTGGGGTAGTCTGTGGTTAAAGCGTTGGCTCGTCACGCCGAAGACCCGGGTTCGAATCCCCACATGGGTACAATGAGTGAAGCCCATTTCTGGTGTACCCCGCCGTGATATTGCTGGAATATTGCTAAGAGCGGCGTAAAACCAAACTCAGTCAGTGGTTTAGGAGGACCGGTCATTTGCAACATTTTCAAGACAGTGAAAAAATGGTAAATCCAACACTTCCACTTCGAAAGATCTCAAATATTGATCTCTTTTAATGTTTCGCGTGGTCTCTTCACAGTGGTGGCAACAAGCGTAAACTGAGCACCGCCATCGCTCTGGTTGGAGACCCGGCCTTCATCATGCTGGATGAGCCGTCCACGGGGATGGACCCCAAGGCCAGGAGGCAGCTCTGGAACGTCCTGTCAAAAGTGCGAGAACGTGGAAGGACACTCGTGCTCACGTCTCACAGGTAATCTTTATTGCAATTATCAATCTGCTTATTTTATATTCTCGATGGGCGATATACGTTTGACAGGTCCAGTGTATTACATGCTTGTTGAAAGCCGATTGACCATGGCCGAATGGTGTCAACATCGTCTGGCTAACTAAGTGTCGTACCCGACGCCGTGGGTCGTTTGCTCATGCACTCACCCACTGGTTTGCCTGGTCAGGATTCGACGAACCCTGCTAACTGCCTGCAAACGAGCTCTGTTCTATTTCATATTGTCCCACAAGCAAACTACCCGCAAAGATGAGGGGCAGAGTTGGACTTCAGCACTTCTGGCTAACTAAGTGTCATACCCGACGCCGTAGGTCGTTTGCTCATGCACTCACCCACTGGTTTGCCAGGTCAGGATTCGACGAACCCTGCTAACTGCCTGCAAACAAGCTCTGTTGTATTTCATATTGTCCCACAAGTAAACTACCCGCAAAGATGAGGGGCAGAGTTGGACTTCAGCACTTCTGGCTAACTAAGTGTCATACCCGACGCCGTAGGTCGTTTGCTCATGCACTCACCCACTGGTTTGCCAGGCCAGGATTCGACGAACCCTGCTAACTGCCTGCAAACAAGCTCTGTTGTATTTCATATGGTCCCACAAGCAAACTACCCGCAAAGATGAGGGGCAGAGTTGGACTTCAGCACTTCTGGCTAACTAAGTGTCATACCCGACGCCGTAGGTCGTTTGCTCATGCACTCACCCACTGGTTTGCCAGGTCAGGATTCGACGAACCCTGCTAACTGCCTGCAAACAAGCTCTGTTGTATTTCATATTGTCCCACAAGCAAACTACCCGCAAAGATGAGGGGCAGAGTTGGACTTCAGCACTTCTGGCTAACTAAGTGTCATACCCGACGCCGTAGGTCGTTTGCTCATGCACTCACCCACTGGTTTGCCAGGTCAGGATTCGACGAACCCTGCTAACTGCCTGCAAACAAGCTCTGTTGTATTTCATATTGTCCCACAAAGCAAACTACCCGCAAAGATGAGGGGCAGAGTTGGACTTCAGCACTTCTGGCTAACTAAGTGTCATACCCGACGCCGTAGGTCGTTTGCTCATGCACTCACCCACTGGTTTGCCAGGTCAGGATTCGACGAACCCTGCTAACTGCCTGCAAACAAGCTCTGTTGTATTTCATATTGTCCCACAAGCAAACTACCCGCAAAGATGAGGGACAGAGTTGGACTTCAGCACTTCTGGCTAACTAAGTGTCATACCCGACGCCGTAGGTCGTTTGCTCATGCACTCACCCACTGGTTTGCCAGGTCAGGATTCGACGAACCCTGCTAACTGCCTGCAAACAAGCTCTGTTGTATTTCATATTGTCCCACAAGTAAACTACCCGCAAAGATGAGGGGCAGAGTTGGACTTCAGCACTTCTGGCTAACTAAGTGTCATACCCGACGCCGTAGGTCGTTTGCTCATGCACTCACCCACTGGTTTGCCAGGTCAGGATTCGACGAACCCTGCTAACTGCCTGCAAACAAGCTCTGTTGTATTTCATATGGTCCCACAAGCAAACTACCCGCAAAGATGAGGGGCAGAGTTGGACTTCAGCACTTCTGGCTAACTAAGTGTCATACCCGACGCCGTAGGTCGTTTGCTCATGCACTCACCCACTGGTTTGCCAGGTCAGGATTCGACGAACCCTGCTAACTGCCTGCAAAGAAGCTCTGTTCTATTTCATATTGTCCCACAAGCAAACTACCCGCAAAGATGAGGGACAGAGTTGGACTTCAGCAGCTAACTAACGGGATCAAGTGATCAGGTTGCTGGCTCTGTTGATGCATGTCCTCGTATCTCAATTGCGTGGACCGATGCTCATGTCAATCACTGGACTGTCTGGTTCAGACTTCATTATTTACACACCGCGTTCATAATGCTCGAATAATTCCGCGTTAAATACAAATAAACACATCTTTAGCAAAATAAAGTCATGTTGAATGAATAAGAGAGAAAATATCTGATATGCTTCATTCATTAATTTCAGCATGGAGGAATGTGATGCCTTGTGTACGAGAATAGCCATCATGGTCAATGGCCAGTTTGTCTGTCTGGGAACGCCCCAGCATCTGAAGAACAAGTTTGGCCAGGGGTACACGCTCATCGCTAGGATGGGAAACGTCACGGTGCAAACTGGGTCGTCAGAAGAAACCTCCCCAGCGCCTACAGAACCCCTGATAGAGTACCTAGTGTCTAAATTCCCCAACACAAAGGTGTTTGACGACCACCAGGGCTACGCCCACTTCCAGGTGCCCGACACCTCGGTGAGTCTGGCCCAGGTGTTCACGTCCATGGAGCAGGCCAAGGGGCAGTTTTTCGTGGAGGACTATTCCGTCCATCAGACAACACTGGAGCAAGTGTTCCTTACCTTTACTCGAAGTCAGAACCCACCGAAAGATGACAAGACGAGCCTCTGTAAAAGGATATGTTGTTGCTGATTGAGATAGGATGTGTAAAGTTTGAAAGAGACTTGGTAGTGTTTGATGACCTATAGTAAATTGTATACGAGGCGGAGCAAAGTTTGATGAGCTTTTGCAAAGATTGAAAGAGATGAAACAATGTTTGTACGAAGTGTAGGAATGGGGGATAGAAGGGTCAGTGATGCTAGCGTTAGAACATTAGAAAGGGGTAGGACAATTATGAACGAGGCATTCATAACCCTTGAAAAGGGAGTACGGAAGTTTGAAAGAAGGATAGTGAAGTTTCAAAGGGCAGAGAAGTTTGAAAGAAGGCCATGGAGGTTTGGGAGAGCCATGAGGAAATAATATTTTAACCTCATCAGGGACCGTTCATACTTTATGGGGGCTTGGGAGGGTGTGGGGGTGGATGATGAATATTGTAAAGGGGTTACCCATTTTGTTCTGGGGAGGTAGGGGGTCATCGATTTTGTACATTTTGTACATTAAATGGTTATGCTTAAAATTATGGGGGGTGCTTTGACTTTGTACATGACATGCAGGGGGTCACTTACTTTGTACATAAATTTTGGGAAGGGCATTCACATTGGACATGCTTCTCCATATAAATCATCATCATCACCCAACCCTCCCCAACCCCTAGCCATGAATTATTAACGGTCCCTTACATGGTAGCCAAAGACTTCGTGTGACTGCTTAATTCTAATGTTGCGTCAGTATTGTGGCAGTTCAGTTTGCATTTTATATCTATATAGTTTATTGAATAATGTATTCTAGTACAGGAGAACAACAGTGTCTTTGGTGTTGTTTTTTAGTATTGACATTCATCATCAATTGGGCAACTAAACATTCAGACTTAGCTGCCTGAGTGAAGAAACAGTTAATATTCAACATATCCTATGTTTGTGATATTGAGATTGTTGTGCACGTTTTCAACAGCTTCTCTTTTTTTATAGTTTTATTACCCTGAAGTGGTAGAAGGGTACTGATAACTGTGAGACTGTTATCAATGGATGAATTAAACAATTTTGGGAATGAGATCCATACGATCTTTATGATGAAATGATACCAGTGTACCTGTCCTATATTCAGTACCTATAAGAATACATAAAATTAACCAAACAATGCGCACAGGTAAATATCCAGGTATCTGACGAAAGATTACAAGAGACGTTTATACGACAGACCATTGAGACACAGCAAGAGAGCAGAATTGTCCCATTTAGGTCTGTAACATCGGAGAAGGTTTCCCCAATAGCAGGACGTCGTGGGGGTGGTCTGTGCTGTGGTCACAGCGGTTTGGTGACTGTTGTGGAAATACTTAATACGGGTCCAGTGACGTCGCCACACGTCGACGTTTTAAGCGGGCATGGTCTTGGCGAAATGGTTGTTATTGACACATTAGCAGTGAAGCAGTGTTTCTGCGGCAATGGAAGCGGGTGGTTACCTTCCCATCATGCATCATTCTAGTGGCCTGATGATACATGGCAGATGTTAGTGATACAAACCGAAACATGAATCTCATTAACCAATTCAGACAACGGCCTACTTCTCAGCCGATCCGAATTTTCTCGTGTGAAAGTGAAAAGGGACACAACAAACAACTATGGTTACACTGAATTCCAATTACTTGTTTCATAAGAAAATGGTATTTACATGTTAAGTTTAATTTTAAACTTTAATAACATCGTATTTCTATATTTTATGGCGAGGTGTAGGCGGCATGACCTTAACTTAGACGTCACAGGCTGCCCCTGTTTGATGAGGTCGTGGAATGATTCACAGTGCATCTGGCTCACTGGTTGCACCTGTTATGTGTTCTTTGCGCTTATTCAGTGTAGTTTTGTTAACGCACAATGTGATTGATATATTATCAAGTCCGTACCAGACCCCCAAACTTTTCTAGCGGCAGAGCCTCTTTTTGAGATGTCCACGATTTCCAGATTTCCGTCTGTCAGAGCACGCTGTACGACAGAGCACGCTGCACGACATGTTTGCAAGGATTAGAAGGAGCGTAGTGTTGCAATATACAAGTGCTAAGATGTATAAAATAATACTGATAAATATTTATGTATCCAGTTGAATGAATTGGTCTCAAAATTCTGGACTGGTTATTGTACTATGTTGTGGAATAGGATGAAACCGAGTCAGCAGGAAACGAGACTGTTGTGTAATCAATGTTTTGACTTAGGTGACTTGATTCTCATGAGACGTCCAATTAGCTAAACGATGGGATGACCACTGAATGACATTTCAAACGGGAAGACTGGTAGCCCGCTGGACCAACGTGGGCTGAAGGATGTTCCATACGTCACTGTTGTTTTCGGTGCTCTTACAGTTTGTGTTTTGTTGAGTTAGTCTGTCATGTTGTCTGTGTTTACGTCTGTCGTCTTTACATATTACTATTTGACATGTTTTAACGTTTTCGGAATGTACGGTCTCTGTAATGGCAAGTTTATATTTTACAAATATGTTGTACACGGAAATGCTCACCTTTAACCATCTGTAAACACGTTGTCGGGACCATTGTAGACACAAGGGCGGTGGGGTAGCCTAGTGGCTAATGGGTTCCCTCGTCACGCCGATTCTCCACATGGGTATAATGTGTGAAGCCCATTTCTGGTGTCCCCTGCCGTGATAACATTCTCTATTTTCTTAAACAAATACAATATATTTTGCAAATAATACTATATAATCCGTGGTATCTTGTTGGCGAGCAAAGCAGTTGTTTTGTGTTAACAATTAGGCAACGACGACTAATGGAATGGTGTTCTCTGACTGGCTGTAATGGGGTGTGCGAGTTAGGGGTAGGTTAGGGGTGGGTGGGGTAAGGGTTACCGAACGATGTCTCATTTGTTGTCCACATGTTTGTAGGTCAGTGAGGAAATGTGCATTCTGTTATTACTGACATTTATAAGAATTGGCTTAAAATTGTATTTTATTTTATAACGCAAAAATATTGAAGTCAATTCTCCAAAAGCACTTGAATATTCTGGTATTATTAGTCAGTGCAAATTACTTCTTCAATAACACACACAAATACAAAAGGTGTGATACCAAGTGTGGATGTCAGGATGTTGCCGTTATTTGTTGTGTGAAGTCATTTTAAGCTGTCTGTGATATGATCTGGAAGTTTGTCTTCAACTTAGACGTGAATTGTTTGTTATTGAATAAATTATATGCTAAGAATCTTTGTATTGTTTGATATGGATATCCAGATTTGCAATAATCACGGAAGCAGAAAACAAAGGATAAAGGACAATCCACATTGGAATCACAATTTACCAAAATGATGTCCTCCGATTGAATTCTTTTTTTGACCATGTGTTCCGTTTTTTTAGGTGAACAATTGACTCGCCTTTGAAGAGTGAAGGACCGCCTACGTGGTGTAGTGGTTAGAGCGTCCGCCCGGAGAGCGGAAGGTCGCGGGTTCGATCCCCGACCGCGTCATACAAAAAGACGTTAAAATATGGTACTTGTTGGTCCCTGTCTGGCGCTCGGCATTAATGGGTACAAGGACTGGTCGGCCCGTAAAATAATGTGTCTAAGTGGGGTATTCATGCTTCACTGCGGTATGGTATCTGAGTGGGCTAGCACCATAAAACCAGCTTAAGTCTGGGCTAGTACAAGCAACCGCACATACACATACACACGCATGCACGTCGTCATATCAGCGACATATTCTCAAGCACCACGTAAAACCCAATTTCTCCTCACCTCACCTTGAAGGGTGAAGAATTTGACTTGACTTTGTGCCTCGGTGACGCAGAGATACGCTCACCTTTTCACAGTTTGAGTGCGATGCATAAACACATGTTTATGATATAGTCGCGATCGTAAAAGTGACCCTGCTTTAAGCAGAGTTTTCTTAAGAACATGCAATGGTTTTGTCACTTTTACTTATAGTCCGTTTGGCTCAAAAGCGGACCGATGAATTGCAATCTAACTCGAAAACTAATAAACATAAAATACTCAATGAAACACTGATCATAATCAAAACCTCACACAAATCGACGCAATTCACTATGTTACGAGGGACGAGTTGCAGAGAAAGGGACAGCCAGGTGTGCGAGAAAGGATGGAGACGGCACAGCACAAGTTAATGAATCAATAACGTTGTCGGCACTTGTGCACGTGCTTCTCTAACACCTGGCTGTCCCTTTCTCTGCACTACTCCCTCGTAACAAATGGTGAACTGTGTCAAAATTTTAATGATAGTTTGTTAAACAACTTTTTTAATTTAAGGACATAAATTCTGCAAACAAAACACAGTTGGTCTGATGTTTTGATTATGATCAGCGTTTCATTGAGTATTATATGTTTATTAGTTTTCGAGTTATATTGCAATTCATCGGTCCGCTTTTGAGCCAAACGGACTATACAATTAATGTTACTGTATTTGTACGGATGTGGAAGTAAAACCTGATTCTAGACAATTGACAAGGGAACGTTTACCCCCTTACAGAACCTAGGTCATATCCACAGACAAGGTGCAATCTCGGTTCAACAGCGGGTTTAATATTCGTAACTTACATAGCGACGTATGTTGTGCCCTTAAACCTACAATGGTCTTAAGTGCACAGGAATCATAAACAGACGTACACGTGCGTTTGTTGGACTGCGTATGCTAGCCCGAATTAATGCCGGTTTTATGGGCTGGCAAATAACGATACCTTCTGTGTGGAAACTCATTTTAGAGACAGAATTTGGGTCCCACGTCCACTTCTTTCGTTATCCCCTTTGTTTAAAGTAATTCTATTCAACCGCTATTCAGGAATGAATATACATGTAATCAATAATGGTAACTTAAAACAGATACAGTTAGGTTCCTGGAAATGAATTTTTGATAATTGATACAATTTGAAAGTGAGTTTGATTTTACGCCGCTTTTAGCAATATTCCAGCAACATCACGGCGGGGGACACCAGAAATAGGCTTCACACGTTGTACCAATGTGGGTAATCGAACCCAGGTCTTCGGCGTGACGAGCGAACGCTTTAACCTCTAGGCTACCCTATCGCCCCTTACTAGAGAATAATAATACTGGTTTTATGGTGCCAGTGAGCCCGCTGTGATGCCATGCCGCTCTTAAACATAGATATAAAAAACAGACGCGTATACTGATTCCGGGACAGCTACTCCTTACTCTGTCCTCTAATCCCCGAGCGCCAGTAGGGTTTTAACCTCTTTTGATAACCCGTGAATTGATCTTCAGCAACTGATGCTTGTCGTAAGAGGCGACTAAAGTGATCGGGTGGTCTGACTTGGTTGACCATGTCATCTTATCCCAAATTGCGAAGATCGATGCTCATGATGTCAATCACTGGATTGTCTGGACCAGTCTCGATCAGTTGCAGACCGCTGTCATTTAGCTGGAAGATTACTGAGTGCGGCGTTAAACAACAAACAAAC